CCAAAAAACAAAAAAAAAAAACCCAGTCTCTTACATACATGATCATAAAATACAGATGGCAAGCTACACCGGCTGCGCCAGCCTGGGAGACTACACCGCGACCAAAGCCGGCGTGCTGGCCCTGCACGAGACGCTCCTCGCCGAGCTGCACACGCGCCACCGCTCCCAGAACGGGCACTGCGTCCAGGCCTCGATCGTCCACCCGATGTGGGCGCGCACCCCGCTCGTCGGGACCTGGGCGACACAGCTGTCCCGCTCGCGCCAGCAGGTCCTCGAGCCCGTCGACGTCGCTGCCCCGGTGGTCCGGCAGGTCCTGCGCGGCCGGAGCGGGAGTGTCTTTGTGCCGGAGAAGTTCTGGGTCGGGACGCTGTTGAGGGCCCTGCCGGACTGGGTTGGCGTCAAGTCCCGCATCGACACGGCGAGGGCGACTGCGACGGGGTCCTAAGGAGGTTTTTTGGGGGGGCCGTCGATATCACAACCATCATCTACCTCTATTACCATACTCACCATCACCTTCACCATCACAATCAGAATCAGAATCAGAATCAGAATGACAATCACGACCATAGTCACAACCACAGGCGTTCTCTTTTGGCAGTTGGGAGGGGGGCACTCGGCAGAGCTGGGGGAAAGTGAGGATACGCGATGGCAAAGTACAACCACACTCACTACCCAAGTGAACAGAATGGCATGAAATAAGAGCACGAACAGTCAAAGTCGCAGGGGGGACAGATATTCAAGATATCGAGGATATATATATACTAGTTACAGGAACTTACAAGAGTCAGTCTCCTCTCATTCCTTATTTCCATCGTTGCTCGTCGTCACGTAATAAAAAGGAACCCAGGCTTTCGACTTTTTGTTTCGACACTTTTGTGGCTCCCTCTCTTGTCCAATCCACTCAACATGATCCAACATGTCCCTCTGTCTCCTTCGGTATCACATGGGTAGGTAAAGAGATAGATAGATAGCCGCTGGCTATATAATGAAACATGCCCAAACATCTCGTCCTTCTCGAGAAGTGAACGTAAAAAAAGCAACGTGCAAGTCAAATCAACAAGATCAATGGAACTGCGTCTCCGTCACGCCCTTGCCCATGGCACTAGTACTGCTGACTCCGCCAGTGACCATCTTGAGCATGTTGTCGACATAGTTGGCGCCGCTCCATTTCTGGTGGGTGACAACGTCGACCTTGTTCTCCATTTCAGGCTCCTGGATGAGTTCGCCGTACGCACGCATTCCGCGCTTGGCAAAGGCTTTGGCAAAGGTGTCGGAAATGAGAGCAGTCGAGTGCAGGCCAGCCAAGGTAATAAATTGCCAGCAGTATCCAAGTTCGGCGAGGCGTTGAATGTACGTCTCTTGGTCTGACGACGACATGGCACGTTTCCAGTTGAAGGACGGAGAGAGGTTGTATGCGAGTCTAGCAAGATGTTAGCCAAGTGTTCATCTCGAGAGTTTCAGAGTGACTTACTTCTGCTCTGGCCACACAGCGTGCACGCCCTCGGCAAACTCCTTGGCCTGAGCATAATCTGGCAACTTACTCTCCATCCAGATCATGTCCGCGTATGGCGCATAGGCGATCGCCCTGTTCACCGCACATTCACAGCCACCTTGGTACCTGTAGAAACCTTCGCGGGTTCGCGGGGCATCCCAATCCCAGTAGATATCAACACCCGTCAAGCCCTTGGCAATGGCGCGGCATTCGCTGTTGGATTTACCCTTGGAGGCGGTCTTGTATTTCTGGATGAGCGCTGCTTTATCCACATGGACACCGGCATTGATGGCGTCAATCACGGCGTCGTCGAACAACTTGATGCCAGCTTGGGCGATCCAGCTGTCTTCGATGGCTTGGAGTTCGTCTCCGTTCTTGCCGGCTTGTTCGGCCGCAACCATGAGATCGTTGAGCGGCTGCAGATTGGCGTTGGTGGATCCAAGAATGAAAGGGTGGTCACGGTAGTCGATAGTCGTGGTAATCAGGGTTGCTGCCTCTGAGTCGGTACGAGCAACGGCAAGCAAGTCAACACCCATGATGTCGGCCTGGGCGCGGATTGCCACCAAACGGTTGATGTGTTCGGAAATGGGGACGAGTACTTTGCCAGCCATGTGGCCGCACTTTTTGGTTCCTGGAGCTTGATCCTCAATGTGGATGCCGGCAGCGCCTTTTTCGATAAACAGCTTTGTGAGCTTCATGACAGCCGTCAGACCTCCGTGGCCAGTGTCTGCGTCGGCAATGATGGGTCGGAGATAATCGAAGTTGGCCACCTGACCTCGCTTGTCTTTGGGAGTGGTAAGGCGCTCCTCTCTCTGCTTGCGGTCGTGGAAGAGCTGAGCCATGAACAGGTGCTGAACCTTGTTAGGCACAGTGTTCATCGGGTAGTCAGCCAGATCGGGAGAAGGCTCGTCAGTGGACGAGGCGGTGGAGGACGACTGCCAGCCAGACACATAGACGGTATCCAGATATTTGTTCATTTGTGTCAGCATGGTGGGCTCGAGGCAGCCATAGGTAGCGGACGCGGTCTTGGTCTGTACCAGTCATATTAGTCGTGGCTCTTGTTTACATGGATGTCTCAATTGTATTGCCTACCGCAAAACGATGCTCAACAATCTTCCACAGCTTTTTCGACAGGTCATTGCTAGGATACTGGATCTTGAGCGTGCCTCGCTTCTGCACAATCTGCTCGGCTGTATATGGTCGTCGTGTGTAGCGCCAGCGGGAGTCAGTCCACCACTTCTTGACGGCTTCTACATCTTGCAGGTAAAGCTGCTCTTCTTGGTCGAGGGAAGACATTGTGAAGGTGTCAATGACCTTTTTGAGGGCAGACGTCATAAAAGAGAGTTCTCGCAAGCTTCAGCAGCAGTAGTTGTCGGAACGAATGATGCTCCCACGACAATGCAGATCTCCAAAAATCTATACGGAGTGGAGAGGACAGGTGTAATACAGAGGAACCCAAGGTCTGAAGGTCGAAGATTGGGAGGCAAAGGAGGGCGACGCAGGAGGATTAAGTAAAAAAGCTCAAGCCAGGCCCAAGGGAAGCTTGGGGTCGAGGCTCGAAGGTGGTTCGAGCGTCGAGCGTCGAGCATTGCCTCTCGGCCATGGGGGATGGATCCCGATGATTCAGAAGGCAAAAAAACCTGGAGTCCAGACATGGCAGGCTAAGCCTTTGCCGCTTGCGGCCGGATGCCAGGACGAAAAGAGATTGGCTACATGCAGGAAGAGCGCGGAGGAAGCGTGTCGATACCTGATGTAGTGTCTAGTGGGGAGATGATGGTGTCGATGGTGTCGGTGCAGGATCGGCTTGTGGGGGAAAGTCAATGATTGGCATGTGGCCATGACGTTAAACCAAGAAACTCCGTTCACCCGCCATTTGTCGACAGAGTGCCCGGATTGGAGGAAGAATGATTCTCTTTGCTTGGGTGCAGCCACTCCATTGTTGCTGTCCTTACTCGTAGCATGCAGTGATGTGTGCGCAGGCAGAAGAGGAAGCAGAGGAGGTCCTTGTGGTCGTTGGTTTGTGGTGGGACAAAAAATTAATGACGCAGTCTGGCCCTCAATGGCGCCTCGGCTTCTTTGGTCCATCACGAGGCATGAGACTTTGACTGCTCTCACGTGAGCGCCCGGCAATTGCCAGTCCATCCATCGCACCTGCCGCACGCCGCTTACGCGAGAAATACCCGGAAGCCTCGTCAAGGGTCAAGCGCACCACGCCGATTGGCTCCTTCAATCTGTCTGCTGCACGGGCAATTTGGTAGAAGAACGAGGTACAAGGTCTATACTGTTATTAGCCGATATCGCTTGGTAAACTGTTCATCCCATACTCTTGCAACTCGGTGAGGGCCTCTACGGTAGTAACACCTCTTTTCCCGCAGCTGCAACAGACTGTTTGTATGACTATGTATACCAACAAACTCCACCCAGGGTCTATTAACCCTCCCATGTCTGCCTCTTGTCTGGTGGTGCCTCGCAGCAAAACTCCCGCCATAACCACCCTGCCAAAAGGATACCCGATGGAAAAAGAGCCTCCGAACGCAGTCTCGAGGCATGATGTTCTCGTGCTCGCTAACCATAAACAATCTCGTCTCTTGCGCATGATGCCCTCTAAGTCTATTCCCGTGAATAGATGATGCATCGTGAAAGGTATCCACCAATTCGCTTGCCAGAAATGCGACAAAACAAACAAAACAACCCCCAGTGACATCGGGACTGAGATCATACGGCCACTTCAGAGCGATTCCAGGCTCGAACTGACAACCGCCTCGTCCGCCGAGTCCTGTCTCGATTCGTCAGAGCCTTCTTGGATAGTATCCTCAACCGCCCCAAGTTTGATTTCTGTCGCCTTCGCAAAGGTCTCGTATGGTGTGAGGGTGCCGAGGGCGCGCTTCATGTGCATCGGGATAAAGGACAATCCATACACGTAACTGGCATTGACCCAGCCGAATCTGAAACAATGTCAGTGAGAAGGCGGGGCAAAAAAAAGAGAGAATCAGACACAATACTCACCCTTCCCGAGGCACGCCCTTGAAGTCGGCACCTTGGTTGCCATACTCGGCCTCAACCTTGTGTGGGTCTAGCTCCCGAGTAACATTATACTTCTCCACCACCACCCCGTTGAAGTCGACGAATGCCTTGGTAACCATGTACAGCCACTTGTACGCCAGTCGCTGTGCTTCTTCAATATAACCATACTTGATGAAGCCTCCCCATGCCAGCATCTGCTGAGGAGCCCATCCGTACGGATAGTCCCACTGCCGGTTCGGTCGATCAAGACCTACTTCGCCGCGAGACTCCTCAGTACCCGACACGAGCCCTCCAAAGCAATCGAACTTGGGGAGAGCGTTGAGCACCAGTGCAGCCGCTTGTTTGGGAGATGCGCATCCTGCCCACATCGCCCAGAAGGTGGTTGCCGTCTCGTAAGTGGTGCGTTTTTTATTGACCGTGTCGTAGTCAAAGTACATGCCCTTGGCTTCATTCCACATGTACTTGTCGATGCGCGCCTTGCGCAACCGTGCTCGTCGATCCCACGTTGCCGACGTCTCGAACCCTTCCTTGCAGTTGGCGTCGGTCTGAAATTCGGCGGGTATGCTCAAGCGGTCTTTGAAATATTGCCGTATACACCAGGATATATCGATTTCGTACTTGTACAACAGCGAGTTCAGGTCGATCGTAGCCAAGTTCGCGGCACAGCCCTCCAGGCGGTATGACGTGTCGTGGCCAGACTCGCGGACAGCACGATCATGCAAAAAGTATTCATCCAGCTCAGGCTCGTGCACCTTTTCACTGTTATATGCCTCGACAAACTCGGAAAACGTCATACCGTGTTTCTTGGCGTACGGTGTCAAAATGTGCACAAAGTGAGACGCCTCAGTCTCTGGTGGTACCCCAAGACCATCTGGCCGGTATCGTGACAAGCCAGTTCCGGAGTCGTAACGAGGTTCAGACATCCACACGTTATAGTATTCCTTGATGGCTGCCCGGATGGCCAAGCGTAAGAAATCCAGGGCTCCCGGTTCGTGCTTAATCTTGTCATAGACTTTAAGCGCCATGTCGGTCAGGAAGGGTGGTTGCGATCGAGTGAGGTAGTAGGAACGGTTGGCGTTCAAAATCTTACCATAGTGTTTGATGCAAAAGGCAAAGTTTAGGACCATGGACTTGGCCAGGTCGACCCTTCCGTTCTCAAGCAGACCCAGAGACTCCATATAGCTATCCCATCCGTACAGTTCATTGAAACGCCCTCCCGGGACGATAAATGGCTCCCCTTTGAGTGTCTCTTGCCCGTTGACCATCTCTTTTCTCATGGCCAGAGCTAGAATGCCAGGTGCATGGTTGAGGCCCCGCACGTATTCTGCAGTGATGGGACCTTCGGGCAGGTAGCGGACATCCAGCCGCATGTCCGGACGGTCTCTCGCGACCTGGGTGTAATATTCAAATTGCTCTGGGCAGCCGGATGGGATATAGATGCGAGGTCTCGGGTCGGCAGTCCAGTCTTTGGGATCGCGACCTGCTTTTTCGATTGTGGCGGCGTCCAGACAACGGGTCAGGTTGTTCCAGAATTCGTCCTTGATACGTCGCGAAAGCCGATCGACGGGGTTTTCACTCAGTCGAGAGCGGTGTATCTTGACCACCTTCTTGCCCAAGTCTTTTGCCAAAGTCAACTCTTGTAGGAGGTTGCTGATCATATAATTTCCACGAACTTCGGCCGATCGGTAACCTGCAGAGGCCAATGTGCCCAAGCTGATGTGCTGCGTGGGGTCAGTCTCTGGAAATGTCCAGGGGTACTATAGGCCTACCTTGGGACCGTTGTCTTCTATGGTGATTTGTTGATTTTTGTCCACGTCTTCCCGTTCCAAGAGGTCCTCCAAAGTGCGGTCGACATCCACCAGTAGCTCCTGGTGTTGTTGGTGGTGTTCATCTGCAACAACCTTGTATCAGCCACCTTCTTCTGTTCTGCGTCGACGAACAATATCAAGGGGGCACATGTACGCACCGTGACTTGTCCTCCGAGCGGGATAACTGCCCTTGAAGGCCTCGAGAGCGTTTTCGCGTGTAGTTTTGATGTACTACCAAAAGAGTCAGCAAGGGTCAGAACAAAAAGGGGGTACAGGTGACAGACCGAAGTGACGGCTCTGTTTCGTGAGCCCAGGAGTTGACGTCTCACGGCCTCCTCGTCATAGTAAACAGAAGGGGAGGAATAAGGGTCTCGGCGCTCGAGAGATGAACTCCGTCGACGATGATGGTGCACCGCATTTGGCAAGCTCATGACCAGCACCTTCCAATTTCTTTAGATTTTTTCGGGGCGTAAGGAAATTTGCAGAAAAAGATTGTGCAAGAAACCGTTAAGTTTGTGCGGGTGCGTGTGAAGAGGACGTGTGGAAAAGACAACCGGATTGTCGGCGTTCTTGCACGGGTGATTATTCAGATGTTTTCCCAGGGCAGGAAACAATGTTGCAGAGAGAAGCAACGTCAGGAACGGGGACGGAGATTGGAGGCTTCGGGCAACGATGATGTCGACTGTCCAAAGCTCGGACCCGCTGAAATCTCCAGATCTTGCAGGGTTGTAGGCAATAGGCGGTTTGGTGGCGGTGCCCGGGGTTAAGGATGGTCTTGGGTAGAGCTTTTTAGGTCGATGAATTCGGCCGTGCCGAGTCAGTTTCTTCCGAGCACACGACCAGCAAAGCAGTGTAAGAATAAAGAGAATGTCGGGGGAAGGGTCAGCTGGACGAGGTGAGAAGATGTAAGGAGGTGAGAGGAGAGACGAGGAAGACGCAGATGAGGGATTTGTGTTGTTAGTCAGTGGTCGATAGCGGTGAATGCACGATGATGAGAGGGCCGTTTTGTGTCTTGTTCGCTCCACTGTTGGTTCCTGCCCGTGAGAAGTTGAATCCGAAAGAGAAAAAGAAACAAAGCAGAATTAGCAGCAGAACAGCAGGACCAGCAGCAGCCACCAATGCGTGTCAAAGCAACCAGCGTCCGGGGTGTGTGTGGGCAGTCGCAGGTCAGGCGGACAGATCTGAACACAACAATTGAAACCAATTATATTTTTATGGCTGAACTTTTCACCTCGCTTGGTGATGATAGATTCTCCTTTTTCTCTCTTGTCTCTTTTCCTCTTTCTTGGACCCAGTCAACACCTCAGGCAGAGTCTCGGAGTACTCGGTAGAATGGTCTCGATGGGGAATTTCCCTAGAGAGGGTTGCCTCGAAAATTTTTCATTCGTGGCGGGCGATCGACACAAGAATTGCTTTTGGTCCAGACTGCAGACTCCAATACCCTGCGAATGTGCTATCTGCTTTTTGTTAGGCATTGCAGGATTGGACCAGGGGCTTGTGGGGGTTTCCAGGTGCGATAGTAGAATTGGGATATCGAACCGCCGCCGTTATCATCGTAGGAGACTTTAGAGACGGGCGTGACGGAATGCTAAGAGCCTCTCGGAGTCCGTGTCAGGTGCATGCGAGGTGATCAGTGTCTCGAAAGACGGCCACAGACCTGCAGTGTGACGTGACCCCTAACCCATCACTGCCCATCCATGCCTCGATCATCAACTTAATTAAAGCGACCCCCAAATTCTGTGGCATGTTGTTGGTGGGCGGTACTACTAGGGCACGACATAGGCAGCATGTAACACACGATCGACAATGCCTACCCCAGGGAGGCAGGACCTCGTCTGCGCACTTGGCGAGAAGTGAACATCAAGGTCTCGTATTCCTCCATGCCCCTTTAGCCGAGTTATGACACGCTGACTTCCACCTGTCATCTTCATCTTGATCCTGTCCATCATCTTCCTCGTCAGGGTCTCAGCCTTGTTGCACAGCCTGGACGCGGCTCCGGCCCCTTATCCATAACTTTGCACTCGGTCCCTAAGAAGACATTCCCCAGACGGAGCTTCTCCCCTCCATCGCTTGCTTAGCCTCTTTGTGCCGCCCACGTTTCCCTGGTTGGGGGCGAACCAATCGCTCTCACTCCAGCTTTCGCCATCCGCATTGCAGCTGCATCCGGCCGACCGTCTTGCCGTGTTCCTGCAGGGACACTTAAAAGCACTAGTTAGTGAGGATCGCCCTCCACTGCGATGGAACATGGAGTCAAAAGTGCTACCCGTCCGTCCTACCCGTCTCGCCGTCCAAGATCTGCATCGGAGGACGCGACCCATCTACAAGGATCTGGTATCTCGTCCTGCTCGTCTCCCACGGTACGGGGCATTCTGTCCCTTGACACAAGACTGTTAAGAGGTAACAGGATACTTTTTACTACTTTGGTACATTGTTCTCCGGAACGCGGTGTGCTGGTACCCAGAAGACCCCTGTTGCCATGTACCGCTACCACGACTGGTTATGGTAAGCGTCGCCAATGCCTCTGCCAACACACCGCTCTTCTCAGTCTACCAAGTACCTTGTCCCTGGACACCTAGACTGCCATGCTGGTCAAGTCCATGCAAGACTCATTCCTGTCCTGCTCGGAGGGACATACCCGCCCGCACCAACCGCACCAACTGCGCGCCGTCCCTTCGGCTTCCCTCTCCAGATATTTGCCACTTTCTCTCTCGTCTTCCCACTCCCAAACCCCAGCTCCTACCTTGACACGCTTCTTTACTTTCTTCTTGACCACTCCGCCTATGCCCTCGATCTCCTGCTGGAAATATCCAGGTTTGTTACTGCCATAGGCCGAATCTGGTGTGCCAACTCGGCTGAGACTGTTCCTCTCCAGATCAGACGCGTCATGCGCCTTGCCCTCAGAACAATCGATTTCCACCCAACATATGGCTTTCCCGCTCATTTCGAGGCAATCTTCTCCGCGGCCGCATTTTTGAGCTTGATTTCCCAACCCCAGTCCTGTTCCTAACCCGTCACCAATATGCGTCGAGTACCGAGAACGCCAGGTCCACACCCTTTTGTAAGTCGTGTCAGCTACCCGCAGACTCTGTCCGCATGGTGCACATAAAAACACCCCACGAGTCTCGCAGGTGCAGGGACCTCGAAGAAATGCTGAAGAAGTAAAAGACCGGTGCGGGCAGGTGTCTAATTCGGTTTTCTCCAGACCCATGGAGGTGTCCGGCGTGGATGAGCTGGAAGCTGACCGCTCGGACCTCATCGAACTCGCACTGGACACTGGCTGGCTGTCGCTGGCGTCGTCAGCAGAGCTAAGCGCTTGCAGATGCGCTTCGATTGGGGCGTCAAGACACGTCTTGCAAAGGCGGCGAAAGCGGTCCCTCAGTCGAACAGTGCTGGGAGATTTGGCGGCACAGTTACGGCATACAACTGTTCCACATCGACGACATGGGGCCACCAAATCTCGAGCACAAGAGCTGATCTTGCTTGTAACGCCCATCGAAGCATAGAGGCCCCCAGGATGGTGTGAGTTTTCAGGACCTTGTGCCAGGGTAGTACTCCCAGAGAACTCTTCGGTAAATGTTCTTCCTCTTTGTGCCAGGAGTGCTTCTGCTAGAACTGGTCTTCCATCATGGTTGCAACGCAGAGACTCAGACTTGAGTTGACGCGCATACTGTGTCAGTCCGTTGTGGACACTTCGACAAGTGGACGCGAGGGCGTCCAGATCATTGAGATCCAGATGAGAGGACAGGGAAAGGGCAATACTAATAGATCCGGAAGGTTAGTACGTAGAGGGCGTCCATGCGGGTACGTGCCTGCACCTACGGATAGCATGTCACTGCTGCAGCCAGTTTGTTGGCTGTTGTTGACGGTATTTGTCCACCGCCAATGCCAGAAACGCTGCTCAATCCACCCGTGCCTCCATTGGTAGCAGGTTTCAACTGATTTTGTTGGGATGACTCGTCCGTGTCAAAGCGCGATCGATCGCTGGTTGAGCAATCGTCGTCGTCAAGATCGAAGAACACTGCCATGTCGCCATTTGAATCCGGGAGAAAAGATGGACAGAGCGGAAAGCCCGCGATTTGAAGGAAAGATAACCAGTAGCAGGGAATGAACAATGAAATGAGGATGGGATGAAGGAGGAAAAAACCACAGAGACCTTGTGACGGCAGCAGATGCGGCACGATGATTGTTGAAACTGCGGAGGAGTTGCAACAAGTTCGCGGCACCACGATATAGAGAAAGGAGGGGCTATCACCATCGCGGGAGGGCCAGGGGGTTACCTGTGCGAGGCACATGATGGCGATGCGTCACGACTTGGGGACCCGACGAACCACGCGTTGGGCCTAGTAGGTGCCTAGGCCTCGTTCCGGTTAGCATGGGGGCTACTCCCGCAGCTGCTGAAAGCAAAATGGAGAGCTGGTCACGCTGGTTTGGATAGAGACCTTGACACTGCACACATGTATTCTGTCTGATTTCTGGGCGGCCATATAGCCCCTGCTACATTTCCAGTGAGCAAGTGAGCATACAATTCTGACGAGATCCACGAGCAATTCTCCGCCATCTCGGACCTGAAGCCCGCGCCAGCAGTTGTTGACGAATCACTCAAACCTGAACCGAGGCATCGTCAGACTGCTTGGCTACATACAAAACATCTCGTCTTCTAGTGCTCACTGAACCTGAAGACAAAGAACATCCTATCCTTCTTGCCATCAAGATAACGATACCCTAGCTGAAGTCTTCTCAACTGACGACGAGCTGAGATATCCCACGGCAACTGGTAGAATCAAAACATGATGACGACCGTCCAACTCCCATCGTTCACTAGCACGCCAGTTGAGCAGATTCCTTCGATCGTCTCCCGACTTCGGAACACATTCTTCTCTCAGAAGACGCGCCCTGCCGAGTTTCGAATCAAGCAGCTGCGTAAACTCTACTGGGCCATCGCCGACCACGAGAAAGAGCTCTTGGAGGCGCTAGCACGGGATTTGGGCAAAGGCTCTTTCGAAGCCTTCACCGGGGAGATCAATTGGACCCAAAATGATATTATCTTCACGACCCAAAATCTAGAAAAATGGATGAAAGATGAGAAACCAGCGGATATCGCCCTCTCAAATCGCCTGGTCAACCCGAAGATCCGAAAGGATCCCCTGGGTGTAGTGCTTGTGATCGGGTAGGTAGTCTCTGTCCGTCTCGTATATTATTCGTGCACTAACATTTCATTCAGGGCTTTCAACTTCCCCGTAAATTTGTCCTTCGGTCCCATGATAGGAGCCATTGCGGCAGGAAATACTGTTGTTCTGAAACCCTCGGAGCAGTCACCGAACAGTGCCGCAGTCATGCAAAAAATCATCGAGACAGCGCTCGATCCCGACTGCTACGCTTGTGTCCAAGGCGCTATCCCAGAGACTTCAGCATTACTGGAGCAGAAGTGGGACAAAATCTTCTTTACTGGCTCTGCCCGCACGGCCAAGATCATTGCCCAGGCTGCCGCAAAGAATTTGACTCCGGTCGCGCTAGAGTTGGGTGGACGGAATCCCGCAATCGTGACCAAGAAGGCAGATATGCGTCTCGTGGCTCGACGCCTCCTGTGGTCCAAGACCATGAATGCAGGCCAGATATGTATCAGTCAAAATTGCATTCTGGCGGACAGAGAAGTCGTCCCGACTCTGATTGCAGAGCTGAAGGCGGCTATGAAAGAATTCTTCCCAGAAGGAGCCAAGAAGAGCGCCGACTACTCCAGAATAGTCAATATCAACTCGTTCAACCGCATCAAGAAGATGCTCGACAATACGTCGGGCAGGATCGTCATTGGCGGAACCATGGATGCAGACCAGCTCTTCATTGAGCCGACTGTGATCGAGGTCACAGATCCCAAGGACTCGCTGCTAGTGGAAGAATCTTTTGGACCTCTTATCCCCATTTTACCCGTCGACAACTTGGATCAAGCGATCAGTATTGCCAATGAGCTCCATGAAACTCCATTGGGCGTATACGCCTTTGGATCCAAGTCAGAGACTGACAGAATTTTAGCAAGCACACGCTCTGGCGGTGCCAGCGTCAATGATGGCTTCTTTCACGGCATCATACCGAACTTACCATTCGGTGGTGTAGGCGACTCGGGCACTGGAGCGTACCGCGGCAAAGCTTCATTTGACTGCTTTACACATCGTCGATCAATCACCTATACGCCAAGCTGGATGGAAAGTCTGTTGGCTGTGAGATACCCCCCCTTCGCTGGAACTGGCAAATTGGCACAGTTCAACAAGATGGGACTTCTCAAGCCTGACTTTGATCGAAACGGCAATCGGAAGATAGGCGTCGTGTGGTACTTGCTCACGCTGGGAGCTGGGAGTATATCTGGAGGTGCGTTCCGAGTTGCCTTGTTGGCAAGCATCTGTTTCGCCTTGAAGGCCTTTATGGATGGAAAAGCACTCACTGTCTCCAAATGAAGGCAGGATTCATCGCGGTGGGACGGCTTGAACGGGTATTCATCATCAAGGGATAAGCAAATGTATCGAGTAGACTGATCTCACTCGGTCTTATGTGCATCGCACTGTAATACTTAATGGCAGCCTTATTGTCAGCGGGGATGGTTTGGCGCCAGACTTGACAGTGGGAGGGGGGTTTAATCAAGCTGGCAGCTGGCGAGCATATGGCGGGCTGACGAGGCTGGCCTCCGTACCTCCTTGCCTCCCAGGCCTCCTCAGCTTGTGACTAGTAGGAGCTCTTGGTGGCACCCATGGGGCTTATCGATAAAGTGGGCACAGCCACAGCAAATCGAGCCACCACGGCCACAACTTAAGAGGCTTACGTCCCCTCGCAGGGTCCAAAGTGCGCGTCATGCACAGCATCAAGGCTGCCCCAACGAGGTTACCGAGCTGTTTCGTCCATCCCGCATGGGTTTCCCATACCACGATTATCATCTCCTGCCTGGGATTGGATGGTTTTTTCGCAGCCACCCAACTTCCACCGCCCCTGCAACCCATACGAGTATCTTGTTGGCATTATCCTCCCAGACAAAGGCCCTCGAGTCCTCTCCTCCAAAAAACCTGACCTCTCATTCTTATCCATTTCACCACAAGACAGTCGCTCCTTGAACTCTAGTCCCTCCCAGAACCTCACCGGTGGTCAAAGTGCGCACGCGAGTTTCTTTGCCGGAGCCTGCGACAGAAAAAGATCCCCAAGGCTCATATCATGACCTCTACCTCGAATACACCTTTTGCAACACCTGCGACCTCTAATCCCAACACCAGACCGCCTACTCCTACTCCGTCCGCCACTCCCACGGGAACCACTGTTCCTGCCGATAACGATCTCCGAGATGATAGCTCAAAGCTAAGGACATTCTTGGGCCTGTTGAAAAAGTACGTCATTGCTACAAACGAAATATCGCCGGATTTCGATGGGGAGGGATATCCCGGCCTGTTGAGGATGTTGTGCTGACTCCGTTGGGCATGCACCAGGTTTATCGGTGTCTCAGATATTGCAAATGTTCGGTTTTCATTGCCTTCGCAGTTAATAGAACCTATACCGAACCTAGGTATGTGCAAGCAGCTGGCGCTACAATGGAGCAGAAGTGTTGACAGCATACAGAATACTGGCACTACTTGGATAGGCCGGAGACTTTTGTCAGGTAAGGCTGCGTGGCTTGAGAGGCCTTTGTCATTCGTGAACGTGCTGACAAAGTCCTGCAGTATAGGAAGATCAGACGAGCCTCTTGGTCGCATGTTGGAAGTCCTACGCTTTTGGTTCACCAAAGATCTGGTTAGTGAACGGTTCTTCGCCGTCTGCTTGTGTCTGAGGCTAAAAGAACATGCACAGAAATACGTGAAAGGCAAGCCTTGCAAACCCTATAATTCGACGCTGGGAGAATTCTTCAGGGTATGTTTTCACTTGTGATGCTTTCTTCCTATCTCTTAGCCAGCATGCCCCTTCTGCTATGGTGATATCCATCTAACGGTACATTTCTCCCATCTAGTGTCACTGGGAAGTCAATTCCGACGCGCCGCCTATATCCAATCCATCCAAAGCACCGCCCCAGCCTTCCGTCGATCCTACCGAGCCGCAGGCCAATGGCAACACCAGCGAGGAGCCGGTCCGAATATCCTTCCTCACCGAACAGACCTCACACCACCCGCCCGTGTCAGCATATTGGTATGAGTGCCCTTCTCGCGGCATCATTGCCCGAGGCTACGACCAAATCTCTGCCAAGTTTACAGGCACATCTGTTCGTGTGATTCCAGGTGTCTACAACAGGGGGATTTTCGTTACCCTCACACAGCGGGACAATGAAGAATACCAACTCGTCCACCCGGCCGCTTCCCTGGGGGGCCTCCTTCGCGGCTCCCTGTACATCTCGGTCGCGGACACATGTTCTATAACCTGCCCCAAGACGAGGCTAAAATGTCTCCTTACATATGTGGAGGAATCCTGGTTTGGAAAGGCGCAGAACCGGGTCCATGGTCTTGTTTTCCGCTATGACCCATCTGACGACAAATATACGCGGGTCAAGGACGTGCCCGAGAAGGACATCCTGGCGAAACTTGAAGGATGTTGGCAGGAACAAATCGTGTATACGATTCCGAACAGCGCAGCAGTCAAGGAGACGACCAATATCGAACCAACTTCTGACAAGCAACTCCTCATTGACCTACAGCCTTTGTTCCCGGTGCCCAAGTCCTGTCCCCCACCGCACGCGCAACTGCCGCATGAGTCTCGCACATTCTGGGCCGAGGTCACCACCGCAATCAACGAAAAGCGCTACTCGGACGCAACAAGGATGAAACAGGATTTGGAGCAGGCCCAGCGAGACAAGGCTGCAAAGAGGAAAGACCTGAATGTCGAGTTTAAGCCGAGGTTCTTTACTTCGCCCACCGAGCCCAATGGGAAGCCTGAGTTGACCGAGTATGGGAAGGCGGTATTGGCCGGGCTAGAGAAGAAAGAATATGGGATCGACTTTGTGCCGGAGCCAGGGATTGATGCTGACACATAGAGTGTGAAAGCAAGGAGTTGCGATGATGTGCTCGGTACTGGGATGGTGACAAAGAAGAGATGGACTAGACGGCGTATATCATCAATGATTGGGTCGACAGAGACATACGATAGTGTACATACAGGATAGTGGGCGACACTTGGGTTGTGTTACTCCATGCCTATGCTCCCAAGAATGAACGACTGGATAAATATAGAGCGACGTCCAGCCAGGGAACCATCCAACCAGCCCGTCCATGGCTGGATCGGGACCGGTCTTCCCCAGGTCTGAGGGCGTTTGCAATACGTGCAGGTCTGGGGAACGGGCCCTGATATGATATGGGATTGGAATCTAGGGTTGCATTTTTAATGAATGATAGATCATCTGGTTTAAATGTTACAAGCGTAACATCCCAAAGCATGGTATCGGTCACGGCGCGTCCTCGTGAGTGATGGGTGTTTCTTCTTTTTAAGTCGGTATTGGGAAGTCTAGAGAACAGAGTACATATATCATGGTACTGTAGTGTACTTTGGACTCCCAGACCGAGAACGCAGCTTCATAAGGGGAGACAGAACGTTGAGGTCAGGTCAAAGAGACTGTTCTCCACAAGGACAAACTAAGGAGCTGCACGTTTCTTCGGTCACGACGTCGTGTTTATCCCCCCCCCCCCTCCTGATCGATTGATTTGCCGGCTGACTGACTGACTGACTGAACTTCTGTACGCGCCAAAAACAGATATCCTACATCTCATACATCTTCGACGCCTACCCCGCGCCCGGCACGCTCTCGGCGCTCACCGTGGCCGCCAGCCTGCGCCTCCTCGTCGCTGCCGCGATTCCCCTCGCCATCATCCAAATGATCACCAACCTGGGCGGCGACTGGGCGTACGGCACCTTTGGCGTCATCTCCGCCGCATTGTACCCTATTAGCTTTGTCGTTTTCAAATTCGGCGCGAGACTGCGCATGAGGAGCAGGTACAGTGGCAGTGATGGCAGTGGTGGACACAGTCTTGTAATGGTCACCCTTCGCACGCATCAGCGGGTCAAGTCCACGCCAGCGAACGGCATGGACTCGTCGTGAGTGTCTCAGTCTCTCTCTCTCTCTGTGGACTGGAGAGAACAGGCCCATATTCGAGACCTGCACAGTCACGGTGGCAAAGGAATGGTCAGGGAATTTGCGATATATAGAGGTTACAAGTTACAGGTTACAGGTTACAGGCGAGAAGGATGGTGGGATATATATCTGGCTGGTGTTTCGTGTATCCTAAAAGCAAATTTCCATCTGTATTTCCCCCCCTAGTTTTCGTTCGTGCCGATATTTAAGGATAGAATCTGGCTAGCTAACTACATAAACAATCAACTCTCTTTCCAAGTTCCCACCATCCATCCTCTGTCTATCGATGTCGATGTCGTGTCATGTCATGACGGTCCGCCCCGGTAACAGACCCTGCGCCGCGATCGTGATCCTTCCAGACTATTCGTTGCCAATCCCTGCCAATCCCTGGATTCTCTTTGACGGAGAGACTTCCTTTTTCTCCTCCCTCTTTTCCTTCCCGTCCCATTTTCCATCCCATCCCATATTGCCTCGTGTTGCCGCATATTGCCTCATACTGCGTCGTACATCTTCAGAATAGCCGTTCCCATAACTCAGACCCCACATTGAACAGAATTCAACAGCCGCCAGTCAACAGCCACCAGTCAACAGCCACCGGTCAACAGCCACCGGTCAACAGCCTTCAGCACAAACGCAAACAAAACACTCTCTCATGCGCGCGCACGCAATATCTCTCACTCATTCAACTAGAACCAGAAAGACAGGACACACGCGGCGGTCATGTAGACGCTGAGGAAGGTGTACTGGGCCTCAAAGATCCAGGCGACCCACGAGGTCTGGGTCTTCTTGGACGATTCCTTGGGGTAGGCGACGCCGGTGACGGGGTCCCTGTCGAGCAGCTCCTCCCTGTCCGGGACCGAGGGCGGGAAGAGGGCGTAGTTGAGGGGCGCCCAGCAGGCCAGGCCGCACGTCATCCAGATGATGGGAGGCCACCCCGCGTGGGTCAGCACGTCGATGAGGATTTTGGTCTTCGTGTCGTTTTGCGGGTTGGTGATGTTGGCGTGCAGACTGATGCCGACCGCGGCGAGGATGAACACGATGTAGACGACGTGGAGGTAGCACTGACAGTCCCAGATGGTGACTTTGAGACGACGCCACAAGGGCGCCCGGAGGCGGGCGTCCCGTTCGTTGAGTTGATCCTTTTGTGACCCAGACGACGTGAAGACGGCGACTTTGCCTCCCAGCCACTTGGGGAGGACGAAGGTGCGGATGACCGAGATGGCGTGGACTGAAGGACGTGGTTAGTGGGCTCAAACATGTTGCCAGGGTAAAGTACTCACATGGTGACATCCACAACAGAGCCCGCGTATCTCTCTGGCCAGTGCGATACCCCGAGGGCAAGAAGGAGATCATCTCATTCACACGATTCAAGAGCATGCTGAGGAATGCAGAGCGAATGAGCCACCGCAACTGATTGTTATCTGCGTATGGGACAAGCTTGCCGCCCGAAGCGAGCACAAGAGGTGCAGTGAACATCGACGCCACGAGAAAGACGGTGAAGAGCGAGGAGATCGTGTAGACAAAGCCGCACAGTCGCTGGGCAATGGTCATGTGCTTCACCAGCGGACCACATAAGCTGAACCGCAGCTTCAGGGCGGTTTGGACAGTGCCGATGGTCTGTCACAGTTTAGCAACCGACAAAGGTACAATGCGTGACCGACTTACCCATCTTGTGCGTTGCTTCAAGTGGCTCACCAGAGAATCAGGCACAGTTCCAAATTGCAGGGGCTCGTGGACGAAGGCGGTGTTCCAACCTGAGCCAAGAAGCATGCTTGAACAGCAGACATCCTCGGCAAGAGATCCAGTAGGAAATCCTCCGATCGAGGCCAGGGCAGAGCGTCTCAAGACATAGCCAGATCCAGTACACCAAGCCACACCGAGAGAGTCCTTTATCGGTTCCGCGATATGGACAAAGGTATCCAAGCTCTGGCAGAGAGGGTCATCCCTAGGCACATTGTAGAACAACTACGCGAACGTCAGTATATACCGCTTTAGCCAGAAGGAAGAGGCGCCCCCAACGTACCTGTGGTGGACAGGCCATCGAGCATTTTGGATCCTGAAGCATGTGAGGCAAAAGTGCCCGGAGCCAGTCTTTCATGGGAATCATGTCAGCATCAAGAGCCGCAAGGAAGTTGGCCGCCCCTCCCGGTAGTTTCTTGGTCTCTTCTATAGCATCATTCAAATTGCCGGCCTTGAAGTGATGTGGGACGCCAGGGTATTTCGGTCTTGAGCGGTAGTAGAGATTTGAATACTGGGTCAAGGCAAGCTTCTCCACCAAATTCCGCAGTGATTCGGATTTCCCGTCGTCGCAGACCATGACGCGAAACCGTTCGCTGGGATAGTCGATGTTGCAGGCTGCTTTAGCGGTGTCGAGGATCAAATCATCTTCTTCTCGACAGCAGGTGATGACCACGTCGACCGAAGGAACATTGTCTCCAACCAAGCGAAGCTTTGGTCTCTTTCTCAACCCGATAATATGCCACCCCCAGAGACTCTGCAGCAACACCGGAAGTGAAACCAAGAGCTCGACGATAATGAAAGCCCACGCCATCCAGAATACATCATGTGCAGCATCCTCGGCAGCTACGGTGAACTTGACGCGGAGAACGAAATACAACCAGTTGGCTCCAATCGTAATGATGACCAAGAGTGGACACAGCCTGTAAAGGATGCGTTTGAGGGTTGAGAGTCGCTCGATGTCGTCGTGCATTGCGAGTCTCTGGATCAAATAGTCATCCTCTTTCTCGCTCATGCCTGGGCGAACCGTAGAATCGTCTGAGAAGGCTTGGGAGGTTCGGGCAAGCTCTGGAGCGGATATAGCGGGGATTTCGGACGTTTCGCAAGAGTAGCGGCGGGCATCAAACTGGCCTGGTGCAGAGTAGCCAGCCGAGGAAACGCCTCGGATTTCGTTGATCGCAAGCCCCAGAGGGTTGCCTTGCGTTACTGTAAGAGGATCAACCTTATGCGCGACATCGACTATGGCAACGGAAGCCCGTCTGGTGATATTGGACATCCTTCTGCGCATCTCGTTCGTGTGCGACGAGGTACACGCTGTAGCGTGGGTGTTGGCAGAAGAGGCGTTGGAAGGACATCGCAAGACGGGAAGAGACCATTTCAGGTGTTCGGAAGCGTTGGCATTCTGCTCAGGTCAGAGCGACTGTCTCAGAAAAACAAGTGCAACTGCATACCTCAGCATGGTCGCGAGTGTCGACATCATGCGGCCTATCCGAGGGGCCAGCAACATCTGACGTTCCATCTCCGGTTGCTTCCACAGAGGACACCGTTGAAGCGCGACGAGCCCGGGTCGAAGACGCCGTTGACGAACTCCTAGAAGAGGGTGAGCCCATGGTTGCTACGTACCTGGGTAATGCTCGAGGACTGAAGATGGAGGTGCAAAAACCCCGGGGTAGATCCCAGATTTATGCGCATTAAGTATGTGGCGATGGAATTCGGATTTGACTTTACTTCCACATGGAAAAGCGTTCATCTTTTCCTGTCAATGAGGACATGCAGCAGAAAGTTTTGCAGGTCTCAGACCCCTCTTCAGAACCGATCGACACCACCTCAGAGAACTCATGTTATTCGTCTGTCCTTGGGAAAAGAATATTAGATCCGTAGGTTGGAGACGGTACCGAAGAGCTGCATCCATTGGAAGAACGTAGCAGAGCCCCAAGCTGGCTTATGTTCTGGACATCGCGTCTGCCGAGCACGAACTATCACAGCCGCAGGTGATATGCATGAGCTTGTTACGGACTTTCCGTCGACCAGAATTGGGTGGTGCATACAATTCGCCAGTGGGGACAGGTCAGAAGGTGACAAGGCACGCGAGCCCTCGTCCTCCCATCGCCTAGTAGATGTTGGAGTTTGGATCCACAAAGGTGAGCCATGGCGAGCCAGTCGAGGTGGACTGAAGGTCCTCATGGAATCAAGACGGGCTGATCTGGAAGTTAGAAGGCTTTTTGATACCGGATTCACAGGCTGCCAAGATGAGGAGGATGTGCATCTAGCTCAGCCGCCATGACGAGCTTGAGTAGCCGGGCACTGTTCCTCAACAGTCACTTGATTCTGCTGAAGCGTGAGTTGTGTCCAGTTGCTCTCATCACGAGTTTGACACGAAGTTGCAGTTGTTGCCAAGCCTTTATGCCAAGAAACGAGGCCCACAAAACAGATCCATTAAAGGGGGAGCAGAGCCTTACGTGGTTGTTAGATACGAGATTGCATATTCATTCCACAGTAGTCAGATCTGTTCTGCTCTTCTCTCTACACATAGAGGGTCCCTAAAGGACATACTCAGCAGACTCGCAAGGTAATGGCGGATTAGGCTGATGGACTGAGTTATGTAAGAACCTGCCCTCTTTCTATCCCGGTTATACCGACCCCCTTCGACATGAAGTATTCAAGCACTTACTTGCCTAACCATCTACCAGGACCCCGTCGACCTGCTTCTCATCCGGCCCTAACAGTCCCAAAGCCTCCCGCCTCGTCGGCGCACTAGGGTCAAAGAAGGGCTTTTCCGCCAGAGAAGTGACTCGTGTGCCGTGTCGCGGGTAATTGCCAGCATAGTCCCAGGAAGCATTATGGATCTTGGAGAGAGTTAGCAAGTCAGCACTCGAGAGCGGGTTTAGCCATGAGAGCAACAAAACTCACCGTGATCCTGTTATCCCAAAGAGCTGTTTCGAATGAAGATTGGTTCCGTTAGCCCCCACAGAATGAACATCATGATATCGACTGCTGTCCGTGGAAAGGGGGAGACATACCACTCGTGCCCGGCGTCCATCTGAACCGAACCTGGATATCAACATTCTTCTCGTATACGTCGTACAGGTACCCCAGTATAAGATCACTCTCGGGCTTGTCAAGCCCGACAATTCGATCAGTCATGGCTCTGTTAACCCACAACGCCTTCCAGCCGGTCGCCGGGTGCACGCGGACTAACGGATGAGTTCGTTCGATATATTTCGGCCCGCCCGTTGGGTTCTCACGGTCGAGGTATGGATGAGCTGACCGGTACACGGCGTACTTACCATCGATCAATTTTCGAAAGTCTGGCGACAGCTTCTCGTAGGCTGCATAGCCGCTGGCCCAGAGCGTGTCCCCCCCGATGGGTGGGACGGTGTCGTTGTGGAGGTGAGTGATGCCCGCGGGCTGTCGTTCGTGGACCAAATCCGTGTGCCACCGCGAAGCGCCTCCCGGCTTGCGGAAGCTGGCCGGGAACTCTTGCGCTTGCAGGGCGGGCCAAATTACCGTGACGCCAGGAACACCTGGGACTTGAGGGACTTGAGGCTATAAGTTTCCGACAAAGGAGAAACAAACAGGATGCAAATCTTAGCACAGGGAACCACTTTCAACTATGTCAAGAAGGGTCTGATTTACATGGATCTCAACCTCGCCATAGTATTCTCCCAGCGCCTTCTGCTGCTGCGGCGAGATGTCTTGATCTCGGAAGAAAACCACGCTGCGTTCGGCGATCAACAGCGCCAACTCATCCTTTTGCTGGTCGGTGAGGTCCTTGAGCTGGAGCCCCTCAATCTCGGTGCCAATGTAGGCCGTCAGGTCGGTGACCTTGGTCGCGGCGGAGAACAGAGCGCTCTTTGACTTGTCGGCGCGAGCACCGGCGTCGACGTGCTTGCGCTCGTTGTTCCGGATGTTGTACACGTCTTGGAGATACAACGGCCGGTTCGGGCGGTACGGGTATCCGTTTGAAAGATCGATGCCCGCCTTCACGAGTCTCTGGTACGCCGGCTCGGGCAGTCCCAAGGTGTCTTTTTTCTGGACGACAAAGTCCGTGATGGTGGGATCAATGGGTGCTGGTGCCATTATGAGAGATGGATTGAACTCTTCTGCCTTTTTTTCACAGGACAAAGATTCCTCTGAGAGAGACAAACGGGTAAGGAAGGCTACGTTCTCACAATCAATCACCGAGCATCTCTTTTTCAAGCAGCACTGGGAACAAAAGAGTTTCAAAGATTACTCCACAAATCCCGACTTGCTTACAGAGCCAGATTGCCAGATTGCCAGGTTACGACCTCAGTACATTTGCTCAGAGACAACAAGATTGCGATATCAGAATCCCTCATTGCGTGCCCGCTGCCGGTTATCGAACATTCCGTCCACTTGCGGAGGAGAACATCGATTAGCTGCATGAAGACGGACGAAAGCTACTCTACCGATTTGCAACCACCTCTCCCAAGGGGGCAAAAGCTACCCATCCACACACACCCCCCGGAGAGACACGCTCACGCCCTTTCTGTACCTATACAGAACCATCCCTACCCCCGCTTTTCCAGAGAGGTTCCTTATCGTTCCAATCAATACCATGCCAACGTGTGAGGTCTCAGCTGATCTCTACAGGAGGACAACGCCAGAGGGGGGGATTGTATATGGACCGGACCGCAGCCGCAGTCACGTGGGGGCAAATGGCGTGCTTTAACCCCCCTATTTGCTGCTCGTCCATCGACAGAGATCCTTGCTTTCTGGCAATCAACAAGAATGCAATGCGTGCGACGTGCACGACGTGGTATCATCTGGCCGGTGGGGAGGGGGCTTTCATGCAGACGCTCTCAAAGAGTTCGTCGCCATCATCCTTGCATTGGACAACCAACGCAGATCGCCCCCTTCTTTCCCCCGGCTATATGGAACTCTGGCCAAAAAAAGACCCCCCACTAGAATGACTCGCTACACCGAGTACGCCGTGTGCGCACATCGCGGCCGAGCAATATGCGTCGACCAGGGTTCGAGAGCGTCGGCAATGAGGAGCACGCAATATCTCGTCAAAAGGTGCGATGGTCTAGAGGGGAGGGGAGACTCGATGGCCCGTTCATGTGCTGGGAGGGGCCTCCTAAAGAAGCTTTCAAAAACAAGAAGAAAAAGCCCAGAGAAAGTTTAAAAAGGGAGCTTCAAAGGAGGCCATTGGCATATCTCTCCAGCGGAAAACGAATTGCCCACGGAGAGAAGCAAAAGTGGGAAAACCACTGGGCTGGGCACCAAGAAATACCAAGATGTCCTTCTACGAGCAGAGCAAAGAGATCACCGTCAAGGGGGTCGAGACCGATCTGTCGACGACGCCGGTGGCAGTGGACGAGACGCTTAGCTCCAACAGCAAGATCTCGGACACGATCCAGGCCAAGCCAAAGCGCACATGGCAGTCGTACGTCTGGGACACGCTGGACAAGTCGCCAGAGGAACGACGGTTCCTGTTCAAGCTCGACGCCGCGGTGCTCACGTTCGCCACCCTGGGGTACTTCATCAAGTATCTCGACCAGATAAACATCAACAATGCATTCGTGTCGGGCATGAAGGAGGACCTGGGCTTGTACAAGAACCAGTTGAACTATATGCAGACATGTTGGACCGTGGGATATGTCATTGGCGAAGTGCCGTGTAAGCAGTGATCCCCTTGGCCAGCCAGACGGGCTCTCAGTGAATGTGACTGACGGACCGGTAACAGCAAACATGATCCTCACCCGCGTCCGTCCGCGAATCTGGATCCCGCTCATGGAAGTTGTGTGGGCAGTCTTGACCTTCTGCCTCGCAAAATGCAACTCCGCGGGCTCGATCTATGCCCTCCGGTTCCTCATCGGTCTTGCCGAAGCCACATTCTACCCAGGCATGCAATACGTAATCGGATCGTGGTACCGGAGAGATGAACTGGCAAAACGGTCTTGTATTTTCCACACCTCGTCCGCCATTGGGAGCATGTTTTCCGGGTATCTCATGGCCGCCGTCTACCACCTCGGGGGCAAAGGAGGCTTGAAGGGCTGGCAATGGCTCTTCGTGGTGGACGGAATAATCTCCCTCCCAATTGCTCTCTCCGGGTTTTTCCTGCTCCCTGACGTTCCCGAAATCACCACGGCATGGTATTTCACCCCAGCGGAGCGCGAGTATGCGCGCAAGCGGATGGAGCTGGAAGGCCGCGCCCAAAGAGCCCCGTACACCAAAGCCAAGTTCAAGAAAATCTTCACATCTTGGAAGATTTACATGTTGGCGGCCTTGTACATGACCTTCAACAATGCCGGAGCGGGAGTCAGCCAGCCTACCTTCGCACAGTATCTCAAGGACTCAACACATCCCAAGTACACCATCTCGCAGATCAATACATATCCGACCACCACATATGCAGTGCAGGTGGTCAGTACTCTCATCTATGCTTGGACCTCGGACACCATCTTCCGCGGCGCCCGATGGCCCCCGATCGTCTTCGGAGGTCTAGTATCGATAGTTTCCTACGCGAGTCTTGCAGCCTGGGACATACCAGTTGGGTGGCACTGGGCGTGCTACATTCTGGCCGGATGTGGTGGCGGCCTGAGTGGGTTGTGCATGGCTTGGGCGCACGAAATCTGCACAGATGACAACGAAGAAAGGGCAATTGTGGTGGGGACCATGAACGAGTTGGCCTATGTGTTTCAAGCTTGGTTGCCGCTGGTAGTGTGGCAGCAGATTGACGCCCCGAGGTACCACAGAGGGTTTATCACTTCTGCATGTTTGAGCGCCGGGATGATTGTGTGCGCATTGGTAATTAGGGTCTTGTGGAAGTGGGAGCTGGCAAGAAAGAGAAAACTCGGCCCAGTCGTGTGATGAACTCGGGATATTCGAAGGCCAACTCAGGTGTCTAGAAGGAGAAGTCTGGAGACGTCCGCAGACAGGTGTGTAGCTGAACAAGAGCCCGAGGTGGATAGTATTCAGATGTGTCACCGCCGTCAATGAAGCTTTGATGGACTGAAATCATTACCGACAGTGTTGGCTGGAATGTGTACATTTGTCATCCCTCGATGAAGTTATCGAGCATAAGTTGTCATAACGCCGAGATGGTCGGTCGAATTATAGTTTTGCCAAAAGCACAACGCCTATGGCGTGCTTGGAAGAGCGTATTTGCTGATATGTACTCTCTCGTGAAGGAACTCGTCAGACCACCTTTGATTGGTAGCCCCTGTAATGAGATGCCACACACCCGCGGCTTCTTATAGTTCTTAAGGCGGGATGAGCCACTCGCAAGGATCTTTCTCGAGGGTGATGTTATCGGAGAAACATCTTTGAAATCCTTCCGCAAACCATGGTCCAAAATAGGAGTAACCGAGTCGCCGTGATAGGTGCCGGTATCAGCGGCGTCTGTACAGCTGCACACCTGTTGAAACACGGCCTCGAGGTAGTTTTATTCGAGAGATCAGGAATCGCCGGCGGAGTATGGCACTTTGACGAGCGTTCATCAGTCGATCCCTCCTACCCGAATGAGCTCCCATCAAAAGGCGACTATGAGACAAGGCCGGAGCTCGCATTCAGCACTCCTCCGCCGGAGAACGAGGACAACGACAAGCTGGAGATTGCTCATGCACCACCAGGGCCATGTTATGCTGGCCTGAAGAACAACGTCTCGACCAGGGAGATGAGAACAAGTTTGCTCGCGTGGCCTGAAGGCACTGAGGATATCGTCAACCAAAACGTATTGGAGGAATACATCCAGAACATTGCACTCAAGCATGGCGTCTCCGCAGTCACACAGTACCACACTCGCGTTGAGGAGGTACGGAAGCATCTTGGTGAGTGGGTCGTGCGGACGACAACGCTGCAGAAAGAGCCTCTGGGGTCGCGATTGGCAGAACGACGCTGGACATTTGATGCCGTGGTCGTGGCATCAGGACATTACCATATGCCACGTATACCCAACTTTCCGGGGCTCCAAGAGTGGAAGCAAGGGTGGCCCGATCGAGTCTGGCATTCGAAAAGATACCGCAATCCCCGAATATTCAAAGACCAGAACATCCTTCTCGTTGGTGCTGGCGTATCGTCGAGCGACATCGCCAAAGAATCAGCTGCCTACGCCAAGCACATTTATCAGAGTTCTCGAGGCGGAGCTTTCGACGTTCCTTCCAGCTTCCTACCACCAGGCGCCACGCGAATCGGGCCCGTTAAATCCTTCCAACTGAATGAGGACCGCGATGTCAATGCTCCAGCTTCAGGACCAATTCCCGGGAAGGTAATTCTCGAGAATGGCGAGGTGTTGACGGATATCCATTCGGTCATCCTTTGTACAGGATACATAACCTCCTATCCGTTCCTCCCACATCTGCACCGGGACGACATTCCAGCCGGTGAAGCAGACGACTTTGTGCTCGTCACCGCCGAAGGTGAAATGGTGCACAACCTGCACAAGGACATATTTTACATCGAGGATCCCACGCTTGCGTTTGTCGGGGCTCCATATCACATTGCCACATTCTCGTTTTTCGACTTCCAAGCCCAGGCGGTCGCGAGGGTATTGAGCGGTAAAGCCGAGCTGCCACCCAAGCAACGAATGCGCGAAGAGTATAATGAGCGGGTACGGACCAAAGGCTTGGGGAGAGACTTTCACAGCCTAGCGGAGCTTGGGGCTGAAGAAGCATATGTGGAAGATCTTGTCCGATGGGTCAATGAGGATGCTGCTCGGCTTGGAATCGACGACAAAATGCAGGGTCATACTCCGGAGTGGCTTCTTGCTAGGATCGACCGAGGTGCAAAGTGGAAAATGTGGCTGGATGCAAAAGAACAAGATCAGCAAGAGAAGGAGACAAGGATCGGAGTTAGAAAGCTGCCCATAACCGTCTGAGTAGAGGGAGAGATGAGGGAGACTAAGAGGGAGAGGAGATGCGCGGTGCACGTGGAGCACGTGCAGCACTTTGAGGTAGACCTTGGCTTAATGATCCGCACTGGATACTTCACTAGACAAGACCTGCGCGCCACCGTATCTAGATTCTCCAAAATTTCCAAGCTGCGATTTATTGCGCAGAAGGGTCATTCATTTAGCTCGAGGGCAGTTCCAACTACTTTTCAAATCTACCGAGTACACCATCATCCATCGCCCTTTGTCCTCGTTGCACATTCTCCAAACGTAAGGGAATTTTCGCTCCGCAAAGTTGAATAGCCCAAGACACCCCCAGCAGCCGACTCTCCAACACTTCTTTCCACAATGCCTCCCAAGCGCATCACAGTACAGCCCGCGACCCGTCGGTCCCAACCCAAAGGCTGGTTCGGCCAGGTATATCATACATTGACCTCCGAGGAGAACTCGAGTGTTGTCATCAGCGTGGCCATGTTTGGAGTGAGTTTTCTCCTGCTAGAGTCGCCTCGCGCGGGCACTTCCTTTTCTTTTCCAATCCAGGCGGTCCTCCACTCTTGACGATCGTTGACTGACCTTTTCTTTGTTTAGGCTGCCGTCGCATTCTTCAACTCGGAATGGAGTGAGATGCTTCTCCCGGGATTCTAAGCCACCTTTTTGCACCATGTTCACAACGAATCATCTCGCTACTCCGACTCCAACCGCCAGTTCTGCAGAGAACGGCACCACTCAGGCGTTATTTGGTGTCGCGCCGGCCCCGGCCGCTGACGATATCGCATGTATTATAAGGAACGAATGTACAAAATCAGGAGGGAGAATGGCGAGTGGATTGAGCGGCCGCGCAGGAGGGATCTGTGATGAGGCGGATTCGGATTGATGTGATTTGACTGTCGGGACAAGGACGATTAATATCGCACTTTCTCGTGGTGGCTAGTTGAGCCGCGACCAAGGTTGGAGGATCCATCTACACAGTCGCGTGCTCGCGCAGAGGACTACACCGGTAGCCAGTCCGTCAATTATACTCCGCTTCAAAAAAGATACTCAGAGGCGAACTTACATGCGCCGCACTTGGGGAACAAATCCACCCGAACGTTCCATCCCTTCCGTCGAAAAGAAAACTACAGTCCTTGTTTACAGCTTCCAAGAGAGACAAACGAGCAGCCATGCATTCTTTAGTGAAGTTCGTGAATGATATGTCATAATATACAGATGCCAGATCCGCCATACACTCAAATCACATGTACAAGCCCGTCTCATCTCGTCCCATGTATCTACAATCTCGCCGTTACAACTCGCTCCGCCGATTCTCGTAGATATCGCTCGTCAATTATCCTCCCAGCCAATTACTTCGAAACGTTACGACGTTTTGACATGCTCGTACCGAGTGCAGGTAGGCATACTGTACATGCCTAGTATGTACGTACGCGAGTATCTCGGGCGGTCGTGGTATTACATATATGTATCTTGGTTCATATATACGTATCAATACCCGGATATCCTCACTCCGTAACTCGCATCAAAAATTCCCTCTCTCTTATAGACATTGGGTCCGTACTGGACAGCAAGTACTGGTACGATCCACGAACCCCGTAAATGTCAATCGATCTGAGATGATCTGGCCTGACCTGGTCATAAAAGCGACGAAGCCCATTCCCATTTTGCTCCGATCACTTCCGGGATCAGTTAATGCATCATCGTCCAACAGGCGAGCGAGAACATTTCTCCCCTCTTCTCTTGAACTCAAGAGTGCCTGCCTATACACCAGGACATATTTTGTCGCCGTTGCAAAGTAAAACTCGACATTTTCCCTCCCAAACTGGATCCGGCCGGATGGGCTGCTTTTCGTGTTGCACTGGTGTCGAAAAAAAGAGGAAACAGAAAACAAAACAACATGCGCAGTTCGAGGGGATAATCCGCCGCAAGAAGCTGGGATATCTCCAGTCTTGAGAGTGACAATGCTCTTTGGTTTGGTATTGCGGGTGCTGACAACTCCACCCATCAATCTCACTTTTCTCTCATGTCCCATAGCCGCTCCCGTTCGTCATGGCACTGGGCATCAGGGACTCTGTGGCCCCTTCAGCCTCATCCTCCAAGAAGTCTCTCTTCATCGTCCTCGCCTTGATCGATGTGAACGTCACCAGCGCGGAGCCCACAATCACCGCAATGCTCATAAGGATCACGTTGACAGGGATCGGGTTATTGTTGAACACCATATGCGTGACTGCATCCAAAGGACTCTGCAAGAAGTTGAAGAGCCCTGCGAGACAGATTATGAGACCGTAAACCTTGCCAAAGGTCTGAAACCCGAATACTTTTGCAGAGTAGTCCGAGACAGTGGTATAATAAAAGGGCCGGTACACGACGAAGAGGCAGACGTTGGCGATGGCCGCCCACATATAAGGGAGGCAGCCCAGTACACCAATAATGGTGGCTACGACCACCAGAAATCCCAAGGCGAAAGGTGTGGATGTGTTGTCCAACAACAGGCCAATAAACGGGATGCTCAAAACACCTCCTAGAGGAAGTGCCACGTCGAAAAAGTCATTCACCAATTTCGCTCTCTCGGGAGAACCTAGAAGGTAACGTTCTTGCGGCCGAATCGTGGCCACAAAGTAATTGATCCGCGTCATCTGCACGACAGTAAAGAACGTGATGAGCCAGAACCATGGCGATTTGATCTGTTGAAGGGCGGAATAGCCATGCATAGCTCCCCACACACCGGACCTCGCGTTCTTGTGCTCTTCTCTCTTCTGGCGTTTTGTGTTGGTCGACTTGTCCAGGAGTAAGGATATCTCCTGGATAGTACTTTCTCTTCGTTCTTGCAGAGAGCGACGTTCATCTTCGGATGCTTCGGGTGGGGTGGGAGCGTTGACTTGCTCTTCAGCGTCCTTGACCACTTCACTCACAGTTTTGTACGAGTCCTTTGGCATTATAAAGACCTGGACGATGAAGATGAAGATGGGCACGATGAGATAGAGGAGGAAGAGGCGGTGAGTGTTCAGTTTGCCGCCGGTGGCTTCGTAAATGAGGCGGAAGATGAGGAAGAGGGCTGATGAGGAGTCGAAGGCACCTGTTAGGAGCGCCAGTATAAGCCCCGAGTTTTGTGGAAAGGTGTTTGAGAGTTGAAAGGAAGAGATAAAGACGAAAGGACCGCCAAGGGCGAGGAAGAAGTAGCCTGGAGTAAAGAGGTCGCCGTCGACCTGGGAGGCGAAGGAAAAGAGCAAGGCACCGGTCGTGAGAAAGATGCTGCCTATAATTCCGCAGGCCTTGGGTCCGTACTTGTCAAGGATGGTTCCGATAGGGAGGGCTGCGACATTGGTCGAGACAGCTGCCACAGTGAACATTAAGTTCAACCGAATCTCCTGCTTGTAACATGGCGAAATATGTTGGTCCACCTCTTCTGGCGTACACAGGTCTTTGAAGACGCCTTCATCGATCAAGACAGGCTTGATGGCCGCGTAGCCGAAAACTATTCCGGCCGCGAACAGGCAATATATTATGGCAACAACAACCTGGACTGCGGTAGCACAGGCCTGTCAGCGGGGATCTTGTGCGTCCCTTACATGGGTCGTTAACATACCTATGCGCTTTCGCTTGGAAACTTCTTCGAACTGCAGAGCAACCGAGACCAGACTGGGTTTTCGGTCCGTGGGCGGAATCCATTCGCTGACGGGATTGAAACTCATTCTGCGATGCGAAGAGACGTGAGAGCCTCTTCTCTCACGCTCAAAGCCATCGACCGACGCAACTCGCGTGAGCGACATGGCGGAGTCACTCGCCGCAGCCGAGCAGAATGAATTGTGGCCGGCTTGGGAGTGGGGACGGGGAAATGTCGTGCAGCCCAAAAAAATGCGGAGTGGCCAGTGACAAAGGGTGCTGCGGTGAGAGGACGAGATCCGATGACGAGGTGACGTGCGGAGCGAAGTCTCACAAAAAGTCAAGATGAGATCGAGGTGTTGACGAGGGTATCTTGGGTAATATAAGAACTGACAAGCGGTGTGGAACAGGCAGATTGAAAGAGCTTTATTAGTACTTTGATTGACACTTGAGCTTTTTGCAGCTGTGATAAGGTGGAAAATTATGCGCTCCTCAAGCCACGCATCAATGACACTGTGCCCCAGCTTGACAGTTTCCCAGACAGATCCTGATAACGATAAGGAAATTTTCGCAGTCATAGGTACCGAGTAACTGTAGATGTATTGGATGGACGGACCATTTGGTGGAGCCAATGGGCGGGAAACATCGAAGCTCTAAGCACCAACCAAGCACTAACCGGGAACCAGTTGGCGGGCAGCTCATCAATTGGCCATCCAGGCGAGAGCCACCAATTGGCGGCTTTTGGTGTCCGGGGGCTGGAGCCTGCGAGCCTGGAAGCCGCCGATGATCAGTGTCTTGCGCAGGCACGGCGGGCAAGGCGAGTGGCAGCCTCCGATTGCCTTGCTGCCTTCCAAGGTTGGAGTCAGCTCAGTGCCACGTACCGAGGACCTTGTCAAGCTTGTCAAGATCTTGACGAGACACCGGGTGACTTGTTATTGGGTACTCGGTACCAAGTACACCTCTTGCCGACGTCGAGAATCTCCTCTGTTGTTGAAACGCCAACCAATGTCCAAGGCACGTCCTAGTTTGACCAGACGCACCCTCAACAAATCGCAGCGCTGAGACTGAAGGTTGGCGGCAACGCAGCTTGGTGTAGAAGAGAAGGGAAATAGCCGCCCAGGAGCATGTGCGTAGATGGCGTATGGCAGGCACAATGGCCCGAAATAGACTCTTGGCACCCTGGCCGAAACAGCCTTGTCGTGGTCCGGAGCAGACAACCACCATCCGTTATGGGATCCATTCCCTTGGTTTGAGACTGGCCAGAGACATCAGAGACATCAGCTGGCCTCATCTCTCAGCATGCAACACGTCCACAATGTTTCGGTATTCATCCATCGATATTGATCACCATCTCGAATACTTAAGCCATGGTCGCCCTCCATTTCGCTGGTCCAATTCTTCATTCTCTAAACCAGCTGCAACACACTTCCTCTGAACCAACGCATCTGTTTCCAATCCAAGAAGCATTCCTTAGATTATCTTTCAGTCTTCAGACGCAGACGCAACATACTCTCCTTCTTTGTTTGTACACTTATTGGCTCGACGCCATCCACCACGATCTCTAGCTGCGTCGTTTCACGGCCACATTCCCTTCCTTGAATCAGATTCCACCTTTTCTGTCGTTATATCTCAACATGGGTCCTGACCACGGCGTCCTCGGTGCGACATTCAAAGTCACTCGGGCTCTTCAGATGGCATCCATGATCGCCGTCATTGGAATCACAGCCAATTTCATTTCGGAGATGGTCAACGCTGGAGCAACACCGCCTTCGGTCCTCGTCGCTATCCTGAGCATTGTAGGTGTCAGGTCTGTCCACAGTCAGCAGTATTGTCCTAACCAAGCGCTTTAGGTGTGTATCGCTGTGTTGTATTGTGCCATCACCGTCATTCTCTACTTCGACAACATCCTTCCTTTCCTGATCAGCACTGGCATCGACGCTCTTTTTCTCATTGCCTTGATTGTTGTTTCTGTTGTCGTTGGCAAGCCACTTTCATACCTTAACTGTGTGATTCTGGATGAGATATCCAATGCCACGTCGAGCGCATACGACTTTACTTCGGCACTCGGTAACAGTCTCAATAAGGGTGGTAAAGTCAATTATTCCCAGTGGATTGGCACTTCCAAGGCCACATGTTTGGAAATGAAGTCCATTTGGGGCTTGAGCATTGCACTCTGGTGAGTTTCCCCTATTATTCCCTCTAAAATTTCTCCGCACCTGACCTTTTTGGTATTCCAGCATTCTATTCACCTTTTCTGCGGTGAGCACTGTCTGCCTTTGGAAGAGAACAAAGAAGTCGAATGCCGACAAGAACGAGGCTTGAGGCCGGGGCATGCAAGTCTCAAACTGTCCGGTTTGGAAACCAAGTCTCATGCTTGGAGTGGAATCGAGATGCATGGCATTTCTCCTACAGGGGGAAAAAAGAAAACAGAGGGCCTGGCGGGTGAATTGGCTCTCTGTGAGAGCTTCTCCCGGGTTGGCTCGGAATCGTGTTTGATGCAATACCACCCCAGCTCGGGCTTGCACAAAGGGGCTCACAAAATTCGGATTAGAACTCTTGGTCATCTCGTCACGAGCACGACTCGTCCCGCTGAGCGGATAGATGATGATTGACATCTCAGAGCTGGTGGATACCTGTGATTTCCAGTAAGCTAATATGTGTCACATAGTGATAGGTCACCGACCCAGAAGCTAGTGCTAAGGTTTCTGTTTGCAGAGTGCTAAAGGATCAGAGGGTCGGTTTTATGGCGGAATCTGCAGAGGCAATGCACCTGGTGTGGGCTAACGGGGACAGCTGGAGACAAGGGGTCCCAGACGGGAGGCTGGGACAGTCGCAATTGAAATCCTAGGCAATGCTTTGGAGCTTTCGCCGCTGGGTGGAAGGCAAACAACAGAGTTTGGAGATGATGGTAGCTTTGGGAGCTGCACGTAAATCACCTTGACTTGCTGGTTCTCGATCCCGTTCAGGTGATGTATACCGCGGTGTGTAAGTACGATTGGGAAGACTGGTTTCACTTTGGTCGGTCTGGAGATTGACCTGGTGATCCTTCATTTCGGATTGATGTGCAGAGACATGGTTCCATGTCCAACTCTTTCTGCACGCCGCTCGTTTCTGAAAAGTTTCTCGAAAAGATATGTGGTTCGTGTGAGAATGCGTTGTCTTTTGTTGCAGGTTCGGGTGCTGCGAGTATGAGGATCCGCACCTTGGTTCGCCTGGCGAGGTGCAAAGGACGCCGTGCAGGGGTCGCCGTACGGCAGAATTCCGACTAGAAAACGTGTCACTTGGACGATTCATTGGCCTCTTTTTCTTTGTTCTCGACTGTCACTCAGCTCTCGCTTGTTACTGTGATCTTGACGGGCGAGGATGGTGTAGGGTTACAAGGATCCAGGGGTGAGATGAGAGGTGATTTCTTTTTGTCGAACCGAAGACCGACCCATCGAGTTTCGAAGGAGAAGCAAGGCGTTGATCTCAAAGCATGAGGGTGCATAGCTGTACGAGTATGGAGTACAGACTAAGAATGGATGGTGACGACGGCGGCTGTAGGAGCAAGGGAGTAGTGCGAGTAGTGTAAGAAGCGAAGTGAGAAGACAGTTGTGTCGGGTGGCCGGGTCCATGGGCCGTCCGTCAACCCGTTAGGCTGCGACCAAACTGTTGGGTCGATTTGTGGCTGTCTGGCAAGGCGAATCATAGGGGTGCGACAATTCTCGGTACGGGGGTTGGGTGGTACAGAGGGATCCGGCGATGGATGTTCGGGGTGCGTGTACAGGATGAGTCTCATTAGCGAGTAGAAATCATGTGCAAATCTCGGTCAGTGACAGAGCTTGGAAAGGTAAAAGCACCAAGAGCACCACAGGCCCCTTGAAATGGGGGATTGTCTGTACCTAGATATGCACAGTCAATCAATGGAGGCAGCTAGGGATCAAGCTGCAGGAGAGGGACAGAGGGAGGTCGGTAGCGACACCGTAGGAGTCCTTGTTCCAGCATTGACAGGGCACAGTTCACAGGCAACACAACGGGCAACGGGAGCACCCAATAACTCGGGCCTAGGTAGTTCCCGGGGATGGCCGATCGCCGGTAGCACCAGTTAGCATCAGTAGGTGTGGTTGTTAGGTCATTAGCCTCTATTAGGTCAGGTCGTCTTACTCGTAGGGGGCTGGATCCAAGCTGCTGGGAACCCAGTGACACAGCATGACAAGGGCTAGTGAAAGCCCCGTGGCCGATGGAAACATTTTCTAACCCCCTGTGCCTTCCTTTGGATATTCTATCCCACTTGCCCTACCAAGAACGAGTTGGCAGTAGTGATTGCCCACCGCCTGCACCTTCCACAGCCAGTCAGGTGGCAGGCTTGGGACTCCACGCCCAGCACCGGCAGTGCGGCTCGGTTTTCTGATTCGACAGATGACGTGGTGCAGGATTTTTCTTGGGTAGTTCTTTCCTCACTTACGAGGTACTGCATGCGTTGTTGATAGTTTCACAATATCGAGTCATGGTGCATCATTCACATTCATCTCACATCTTTCACTTTTCTCTTTTTCACTTTTCACATTTCAATTTTCACTTTCAACTTTCAACTTTCAACTTTGACTTCTTCGTCCCGATCTCCTCGTTCGTCTCAGCTGGAGTCCCCACCATGCCTAGTTAGTTCTCCATTCTCATTCTCGTTGTAACTCAAACGCAACCCTTCACCTACCACCAGCTACTGTACGATGACCCGCTATCGAATCATCCATTCAATCTCTTCGCTTATATGCACTATCTGACTCTTGTTGCCTTTCGGATTCCATCCATTCAGCTTCTTCTTGGTCCCCATTGCCCTACCCACCTCCCCTCACTCCTTCAACTCCTCCCTATGGTCTCTACCCACCCCTCTAAAACCCCCCAAGCCTTGGGTCAAAATACCGCCCGGCTGGTTCCCCTTCGTCCCTTTCTTGGGACGACACACTATTCGCATGCACACTTTTTCCGCTCTCATCCCAGTCTCCACTTCAACCGGTCGTCATCCAGATTTTATTCTCGGTTCGCGGTTCCCCATTTCCGGCAACAGCCAAGTGGACGGTTTGAAATTTAAACAGATCCATTCACCCTCTGCCTCTCCCTCTCATATGATAAACCCAACCGCTAAATGCTCGACTTACTCGAAAGTTATGACCCTAATCCATGCGCAATGCCTTCTGCCTCACTTAGTGATCCATTCGGTCTCCACCCCGTGCAACCGAAATCTTTCCCTTTGGGATTCCTTTCACGAGAGTTCTGTTGGGCTAACCTAGTAGTGCCTTTCGAACTTGTCTTTGCGAATATGCCCAACTATCTCTTCGTGCCACACTCTCGGAATTTGCCTGATACCCTTTCCCATCACTCTCTCCTCGAGGATCTCACATTTAACCACGTCTCCTCCCTTTCCTCCTTGTTGACTTCTATCTTTCGTGAGGCTGACGGTTGACTTTGAATTGGTCGAGGCCCGGATGACCATGTTTTAAGGGCGACTTTTAGGTTTGGACAAACAATGGAGGACCTAAATATAGCGAGCAGCATCCCTGTTGACGAGGACTATGGTGAATTCGAGTACCTGGAGGACGAGGAGGCCAGTTCCGCATACTCAGTCGCTTCATCAGTCTACAATTTCCGGGTCGAAAATGGTCGTCGCTATCACGACTACAAAGACGGCCACCCGTTTCCCTACGACGAAGTCTCGGAAGAGAACGAACAGGTCCTGCACGCAATGGTTCTAGTTCTCTTCGACAACAGATACTTTATTTCTCCTATCGACGAAGCCAATCTACAATGTGTCGTGGACGTGGGTACGGGGAAGGGCCTGTGGGCTGAAGGGGTTGCTGAAAGGTACCCGCATGTCCAGGTCGTGGGCATCGACACTATTCAGCACGAGCGCTCGCTCCAGCCCAACTGTTCCTTTATTCTTCAGGATGCCACCGACGAATGGGTCCTAGATGACCCTTCGATGAAGTTCGACCTGGTTCATATCAGAAACTTGTTTGTGGGAGTAAGAGACTGGGATGCATTATACGCTCAATGTTTCGAGTGAGTCTACTTCTCCCATATGTCCACAAGACCAGATTAGTCAAGTATCTTCCCGTCATCGAACCTATTCTGACCTGGTTTAGGAAAATGAACTCTGGTGGATGGATCGAACAAATCGAAGTGGAGATCATCGCCCATGTCGACGACGAGTCTGCACTCCCAGACAGTCAGATCATGAAGCTATGCAGTTTCGCCGACGAAATGACGGCTGCCTCTGGGAGAGATTTCCGTGCCTCGTCCAAGATGAAGACTGCAATCGAGGAAGCTGGTTTCGTCGACGTCCAGGAGCAGAGGGTCAAGCTTCCCTTGGGTCCTTGGGCTTCTGATCCGAAATTCAAAGACATCGGGAGGTTCTTTGAGCGGTTCTACAAGACGGGTCTTCAGGGTTGGCTCCTCCAAATTTGCATCAGATACTTTGGGGTAAGGACAAGAGAGCTCAACGCTGATGTGTCTATCGGTGACTGACAAAGGGGTACAGTGGACACTGCAAGAGGTCAACGACGCATGCGTCAAAGCATTCCAAGAGATCAACTCACGCCAACAACACATGTATTTCACACTGTAAGTCATTGCGTTCCAACCTCCTCGACTGCTCTGGCTGTTTGCTGACAATGGCTTTTAGAATCATTGTAATCGGTCGAAAACCTTGAACCCTCACCTCTCTTTTGCGCCACTTGATACGGTCGAAGGCGGGACAAGATCCCGACAAGTCGATCTCGCGACCAGATGATATGACCATTCTAAATGGAACTGTCTCGCTTTCAAACGCCTAGGGCTAAGAGCATGGAGCATGAATACAATGGGACGAGTCACGTCATGTCGATAGCAGAACCTACCGTCCAGCACCTGGGTACAAAGAGGCGGGGCGTACTCGACGAGAGACGAGCACATTGGAATAGTTCATACTTCTTTTTTTTCGAACGCAGTTCCTGGTTAGGGTATGGGTATCAGTTGATGGATGGAAATAGAGAGTCGAGGATCATGGCTCACGATGTTTACGACAAACCAAAGGCAGATATCCTAGTGATGACGCCAAATGATGGTGTTCAGGCTCCTTGGTCGAAGGTTCCCGACGATAGCCCGGTCCCTGGTGGGATTAGATTTGATCTTTTCGTGACAGACGGCAGAGAACCTAGATAGCACAATACACGCATAGGCTTTAGAGCAAAAAAGGCTACATACACAATTTCAATGTCTGCAAGACCCTGAAACTTTTCTTGTCTGGTTCATTTGGCCATATCTCGAATGTGTAGCAAGGAGGTCAGGCAAGTTTTGCGTGGTGTTCGTCGTGCCATGTACATCGGAATGTATTCCTGGAATCTCAATTATTTATATACATAGAAGAGAGGGGAGAGAGAGACGAGGCCCATCACATGTAGAGAGACCCAAAAAAAAAACAGTTTTTTTTTAGTCTCTTGGATAGAAGGACCTTTTTCTACATTTGTCCTCCGGCGCTCTCGTCCAATATCACTCTTACGTTCTTACATCAGCTCTGGAGGCACTCAGCGAGTAGTGGCGCTGGGGAGACAGCCAGTCGTCACAGTGTCACATTGTCACAAGTCATAATGTCGAGTTCCCCATCATTATAGAACCAGAATTTTACTCGTACAGTAGTTTACAGAGATTCAGTGTTTACAGACCTTTTACCAGATGAGGGCTGAGGGATGTTCCTAGGGGGGGAGTCGTGGCGGCGGGTGAACACCGAGGACGACGCCCGCTGGGAGAGAATATACTGTACACAATTACTCTACTCGCCGGACTTATGTACTTACGAGTAGAGTAGCCCATCCCATATTTAAATAATTAGTCACTCCTTTCTCCCAGAATTGACATCCCCGTTTTCTTTGAATGTCTCGCCAGTGATGTTGTGGGATTGGTCATGGTAAGGCAAGGTGTCTATCTGGCCTGTTCGGCCTGTCTGGCCTGGACTGTATCTGGATTTGGCTCTGGTTCAGGGCAAGGGTCAGCTCGCTCGCTGGCTGAAGGAGGGCATCTTTTGGACACACCATTCACTCACTCACACAATCACACACACCATATTCGGGCTGGCGGCTCAATAAATAGATGATAGGTGGATGGATGGATGATTGTGGATTCAATCGTCCAAGGAAAAGAGCAAAAAGAGAAACATTGAAGAAAAGGACCGGCACCAGTGCACCATGAATGCGGCGCGTAAGAGACATTAAAGGCTATATAATATATTGTAGCTAACCGCTTGGATGATGGAGGCAATATGATCAGTGAACCTGTAGCTTTCTTCCAGTGCGGTGGTATTGCCTAGCAAGCCCCTTGATTCATCAGAAGTATCGTCGACATGGCCAACGACACCGACACCGACCAAGGTGACGAGTACTTTTTCTCTCGAACTTTTCTGTCCTCTGCGCGGTATGTTGCTCGCCATCGATGGACTAGTCGTTGTCCCTGACGAATATCAAGACTCACGTCGCAGCACTTTGTGTGGACTGCCAAAGCGGGATTCTTGCTGCATCCCGCAGTCGAAAAGAGGCTGTCGGAAATAAAGACACCGGAAATTGTGGACGTTGCAGCGGGTAATGCGTATGTCCTCCTCAAGTAGACGCCCCAAAAAAAACATGGGGTGATTGACAAGAGAATATGGGAAAAAACAGGATTGTGGCACTCACTCTAGCCCACGACCATCCCAAGAGCACGGTCGTCGCTCTCGATATATCGGCCGGCCAATATCCTCACCCCTGGAACCGTCCAGCAAACACTGATTTCGGGGTGTGGAACTTCTTCGACCCTGTTCCCGAACAGTACCGTGAGAGATTCGACGTCGTCTACATCCGGGCGGTTTCGACGATATTGCACGGTCGAGAAAAGGCAAAGGTGGTGGAAAAGCTGATCAGGATGCTGAGTGAGTCGCGAGACCTGGTTCACCTTCTCCCCTTTCCCCCTGTTGAACAAAAACTAACCACGAACAAACCGTCGTCATCCAGAGCCCGGAGGATACCTTCAATGGCACGAATGCTGCTCGACCGCGATGGGGGTTTTGGATGAGCAATCGCCCCTAACTCCCTTACCAGGCATGCCCGACTATTTCCAGACGATTGAAAAATACGTGGGTGGATTCAACTCGGCGGAGCATTACGGCGATCTCGACAAGGTGTTTGCGGACAATGGTCTGGTCGACGTGGACAGGAGGGTCTCCCCAGTCCTCCCTCACTTGCTCAAGCATGAAACGGACCTGGTAGTCATGTCAATGAACGAAGTCTTTGCGACTCTGCGCCGGCGCCCTGGACAGTCGGCCGAGGCTACGCGGGAGCTGGAAGAGGCTCTGGTGAAGATGTCGGCCGCCGTGGCCAGCGGGAAGTGTTTTGTCTACCTGATGGCAGTCGTCGTGGGGCGGAAACCTGGCGGGCAATGAATGATATGCACTTGCGATGATGTCTCTTGCGTATTGCGGATACCAAAAGGTTGATCGACGTCCATCTCGAGTCAGTAATAGTCAACTCTGGTGGGCCGATCGACTTGTCCTAGGAAGCTGGACTCAAGAACTGGACGGGGCGTCTTCAATAGACATGTAAACCATTCAACAAAAGCTGCAAAGTCGCGCAGCAGCTTTGATTCGTCCTCCCCTTGACCCAGACCAAGACCCAGAGTTGAGCTCGCATGGCCACTTGTGAATGGCCAGGGACTACTCCCAAAATTGGACAAGTCAGTAACCCTGCTTCGTGGAGAGAATACTAATCAAAGAAGCAAAACCATTTCCAGAGTGTATAAAAACCACAGTGGGATGTCGTCTGTAAATCATCGATCCAGAACTTCGCCCCCTTCTCCGACATCATTTGATGCCTCTCCACAAAGTGACAGTTCTTTTCATCCCGTGAAGCCCGAGAACTAGCCAGAGGTCGGCGACTTGATAAAAAATGACAGCTTCGGGGAAAGGGGAGAGGATTGATATTTGAGATACACAATCGCGCGCAAGCTTCCTGTGGAGGGTGGGAGGGTCTCTAGGATTTCAAATGACAGCTAAAACAGACACAGTGACCATGGATGGTGGTGTTTGTGGCAATATTTCGGCTGTCAGACACAAAAGCAATTTTCGTCTTATCCTTCGACTCACCGCCGACTCTCCGTCAAGAAGCGCAAAGGATGAAAATCGGCTGCCCGCTCTGAAAGAAGAAGGTCCGAGAACGACAAGAAGCGAGCAGCTAAAGGTCACGGAACGGATAGCTACCACCAGCTACTCTGTTACTCTCCTTACACACCGTCAGCACCTTTCCTGACTGGGCCCGTTGCCGCGCTACCCATTCCACATTCCAAATCATTTCCTTCTTCGAAGCACCCGAAGTTCCTGCGCCGTATTCCCCCTCTTTGCCCCTCAACCACTAGAAGGGCGCGGACGGCCTCTCCCAAAGGCCTAGGCTGATCCTAGCAAAAAGAATCTGTCACGAATGACGTCCACCCACAGCGAACAGCCCGGGTTTACCCCCACCATTCTTCTGAAAACTACCCGGCGTCAATCCACGGCACCCTCCGTTTTGCTCGCTCGGAAGAAGCTTATTCAGATGGGCCTCTGGAAAGAGACAGGTGGGAGGACAATCCGACAGAAGAATACAGTTTATGCATGGTAAGCAAGTGTCCGGGAAGCATGGGAACTGCTGACTACGGCGAGGAACGAGGGAATGGTTCTTGTGACGATTGTGTTCCATCTGTAATAGGCAAGTTGAAGATGGGCTGGCAATGAACCCTGAGGTCCGACAGCTTCGACTCGATTCTCTGTTGTGCTGGGGACTGGCCGGCGAACCTTCCCAAGATACAACAGCTGGGCTCCACGAAAGGAGCTCTGCTCAAAGACAACAGGCCATCCCTGTCTACCCATCGACCGCGGGGGAGGAAGATGATCAGCAGTTCTGCGCGTATGCAGCTGCTATCTGTCACTCTGCCTTGAGCCCCTCCCATTTCTGACGTGGACCGCCATATGACGAAACGGCACCGTCAGGGGCACCAAGGGGAAAGGATCAATAGGCGGGACAAGCATGATAGCCAAATGTAGCTGCCTGTGGGCCGCTGAACCCCTCCAATGGTAATGGTCGGGCTGCCCTCGCCCAGAGCATTCCAAATACCTATTCCACAAGCACCCTATCTTGACCTCATCTCTGAGCTTGGAAGCTGTTGAGAGATATATAAAGGTTCCCTCGACGTCGGAAACTCGAAGATTCTACTCCTCCATCATCTGAAACAGCAACCAACACCTCTTTCAACGCTCGCCAGAACTCGAATTCAATCTTCCAGCTCACATCTCGTCTCCAACCATCATTCCACCATGCCTGAATATAAGGGAGTCTGCCACTGCGGTGCCATCGAGTGGACCGCTGAAATCCCAGAGGAGAAGCACATTCTCTGCCACTGCGGCGCTTGCAAGTTGATGGGCGGCGGCGAATTCACCTTGAACCAAATCATTCCCAAATCCAACTTCCACCTGACCAAGGGCGATTTGAAGGTCTATTCCTACAAGGGTGACTCGGGTACGTTTTTCCTTACAACCTTTTGGTGGCCTGTTCTCCCCAGTGGGGGTGATGGAAGATCGAAATCCTTCTAGACCAATTCGCTGACCTTTACTCGTGGCACATAAACAGGTAACTCGGTCGATTGTTACATGTGTCCCAACTGCGGATGCTCCCCGTACCACCACCAGCGTGTGATGGGTAAGTTTGCGGAACCACCTCCCCCAAAACTGTCTGGCTATCCAGGACCAATTTCTCTGTGAAACTGGACCGACATAGCTACTATCTCCGCCCTACCAGCTATGCCTTCTTATTCCATGTCCTATTGCTGACACGGCACGCGCGACAGGTGATGACAAGATCGTCATCCGAACGGGTCTATTGAAGGGCACCGACAAATGGGGCAAACCCGCCGCCGAGATCTACGACAAGGATCGGGCCTCATGGCTCCCTCAGACCGCCGATGCCAGCTTCCCCGTGGTCCCTCCCTCGTAGGAGGTTGTCAGTGATATCCTTTCGATCTCTTGACCCCGACATTGCCACGAATCTTCCCCGTGTAGCGACAGGAGCCGCCTTGTTCTCGGAGAGCCGGTAGAATGTGCTCTTGGGGATGTGGAATTGTTTTGGTGAAGTTGGGAGACGACTGGAAATTTCTATTCTACATGGGAACGATGCCGGTGTGGCTGGAGATGTCTCGATTGGGTGGGCAGATGAAAAAGGAAAGGAAGGGAAAGTAAAAAATGGGAAATGGGCGGGGAGATGATATCGACGGTGACTTAATCGGGGCAATTGAGCAATTGAGCAAGCAAGTTGATCAACACTCTATCACACCATCACCTACTTTATCACCTTCTTGGTATTCACCACATATCTATCTATATTACCAAACACATTATCAGACGGATATCGGATATCATATGATATATTGAATGAGAAGTATGCAGTACCTTGGAATTCCACTCTCCTCTACTCTACACATCCGAATCAAATCGAGCATGGCGGAGTTGGATCTAGACTTGGATCTAGACATAGTCTTGGACTTGTAGTATGTACGTATTTACGGTGGCTAGCTCGCTACGCACGTATATATACCGAGTATGTATATACACGCCCACAGTCCACATACATTCACACATGTGTATACGTGTATACGTATATACGTGCATAGATGTACATTTCCTAGCTAGCTAGGTAGGTAGGCAGGTAGGTAGGTCGCTCTACCTTCTCTCCTACCCTCACCTCTCCTCATCTCATTTCACGTTGCCTCGACTCTTCTCTCTTTTCTTTCCTTTCTTTGCTCGCTTCTCTTCTCGCTTCATTCGACATCCCCCCTCTTCCGCATTCTGCTTTAGTTTTCACATTCAGCCCCTTTTTCCTTACCTTACGTATAAATAAAACAAAAGCCGTGATAAACTCATCATTTACAATGTACGCGGTGTTAATTGTATCCAACCCACAAATCAATCGACGTCCGGGACGGGCAGACCCTGCACGATCTTGACCCGCCGGCCCAGTTTCTCCAGCGCGCGCCTCGAGTTCTCGGCCCGCAAGTCCGCGCTCTCCTTGTCCGTGACCAGCACAAAGTCGTGTCTCAGGAGCGCCGTGCCTTCCTTGACGCCGTATTTCTGGGCCGTCTCGGCGTCGCATTTGCCGAGTTCGACGATGAGCGAGTTCTTCACGCCAAAGACCGCGTCCGAGGTCTCGTACGGGTCGTCTTTTAGGTACAGGGCTCTAGAGAAAAGAAAGGTCGTGAAGTCAGCAACATGAATCTCCTCACCTACCGAGACCTGTGGTAGGGATAGGGGTTGGTATTAATAAACTCACGTTATCAGATGATCAAACCCTTCCTTCTCAAACATGAAGTGCATATGCGACGGCCGCATGGGGTGTCGACCCAACTTCTTCAACAGCTGGCCCACAGGTCCGTCATGCGGGATCGGATACGGCACCGGCACGATGGCATTGAACCAGAATGCCCCCTGGGCATCACTGATCATGATACATCGCCCGTCGGGCCCGTCTCGGTCGGCGTGCTGCACGTCGTAGTGTCCTGACGAGTCTGTCTCCCAGATGTCAATCTTGACTCCCTCGATCGGGTTCCCCGACACATCTTTGACCGTGCATATCGCGAGCAAGGGTTCGCCGTTGGTGTCGTGCGACATGAGACTCCCGTGCTCCAGGGTTTCGGCTTCGTGTGTGTGGAAGGGTCCGAGGACGGTGCCCTCTGTGGAACCTTTGGGTTTGGGGTGGTCGATACTGTCGACAAGCAAAGAGAGGCCCAGGATATCGGAGAGGAGGATGAATTCCTACAATGCCCACCAACAGATTAAGTCAATGATCACGATTCTCGGCCAGATTTTGAGGCGTTGCAAGCTGAAAAGGGAGAACCAGGGTTCTGAGTAGGAACATACCTGCCTCACATCGGTGCAGATGTGACCTGTCTTGGTGAGGAACTGGATCCCCGCCATCCACTCCTGCGTACTCAACCGAGTCTCACGGGCAAAGTCATGCAGGTGCACCACCAGCCGTTCGAGGATGTATCTGAACCGCGGGTCCGGATTGGCCGAGTTGATCAGGTTGACATTCTCGGTGATGTTGTCGATTGTCAAGTCCTTCAACGGCGGGATCGTGACTTGGGAGGGATCCATTGGATCGGTCGTCTCTAGGGAGGTAAGTCTTTCGTCGGGAGCAGACTGTCTATGGAGCGCAGGGAGGAAGGCGTCACTGTTGAGCAAAAAGTCACAACAACAAGACAAAGGCTGGAAGATTGAACAAGACCACCAACACAGCAGAGCCCAGGCCAGTGTTATAAAATAAGCGATAATCCTCTCTCTCTTCTGTCCTTTCCACCCCCGGTATCGTGGGGTAATCGCTGGAGGGGGGAGGATCCGAAGACTTGGTAACTAACTGCTCACGACTTCAGGAACCACAAAGGGCGAAAGTGAGCAATGACGAGCCTCTGCAGGAAACCTCTCGTGTACGGGTATAACAAAGCCATCTTTGCTTATGCGGCAATTGGTCAGTTGGTCAGTTGGCCAGTGGTCAGTGGTCAGAGAACAGCGAGAAAAGGTGATGGTGGAGCAGCTTGTATCATCCGACGGCGAAATGCATCGGCAAAGGGACAAACTTCCCCACCATCCACCATTGAGGGGCAGTTGCTTCTGGACATACGAAAAAAAGCGGCTTTTAACGGCATCTGTCTGGCCCCGTCGCCGTGTCTCTGTCACCACTGTCTACATATCCACCATTTCTGTACTAAAGGATGACAAAATCCCCTCGTACATTCCCGGTCAGTTCCAGTCAGTGCCATCGTACACAAGCCCCCAGCTGTGGAATCTATTCCGTCAGAATGCCTCATGCCTCCCCCCAAAACATCAAATGCTCTATTGCAATAATACAAACCAACGCTCGATGCTGAATGAAACTGTTCAATCCACAGTATGATGACCTATGCTCCTGACAGATCCATGCCATCTCCTCATACCAATAATACTGCCAATTTGCTTGAGCATTTTTTTTCCCTTCCACAAGCACCACTCACCTCCTTGAACCCAGATCAACGCCGTTCATGCTGATTCAACCTCTTTTGCAGCACTCCTAGCGATGTCCGCCTTGAGACGCGCTTCGGTAGACTTGTGCTGCTAGTGCCTGCAATCGATCGCCTTCGTCGTCATCATCATGGTCGTCTATTCGTCCCTTCTCTCGTGGCGAGAATGTCGCAAGGTAAGAACTTCGTGCGGTGGGCGAGCGTTCGGCTGCAGCATCTTGCAATTGTTGGATCAGCGGCGGTGGCCGGACGTCAAATCGTCCCGTCGAACTGCTCGAGGGGGCCGTCTCAAGCTGCGCAGTCGACTCTGCTGGTAGCTCCCGTGACCCACTGTCCTTTGGATTCAAACCCCTTTCACCTGCCAGATCTAGCGAGGCTCGGGCAATGGTCGCAGACCTCTGCATGTCGTCTGTCTGGCGACCGCCCTCGACGCCGGATCCCGCCGAGAGAGGCGGTGGACTCTCCTTGCCCAACTCTTCTCCTGCTGTTTCCCTGTCGGGCGAAGCGGACCCCGGTGCCGTCAGCTGTAATTCTTCCTCTTTGACCTCCTTCCACGAGCATTTGGCATGCTTTTTAGTACATCCCATGCACGCTGTGAGGTTCTTCAGACAGTCCATGTGTAGTCTCCGACATCGATCGCACGGAGGAATCACCCGGTCACCCTTCCACATGTTGTCCATTCGTCGCACCATCTCTGCCTTGAATGGTCCACCGTCATCCCTGTCCAGCGTGATTGGCTTCATATGAGGCATCAAAGAAGCCGGCGTATTCGGGATGGCCACCGACGATATGCTTGCCGCTGCTAGTTCGATTGAACGGGAACGTGGTTTCTCCGCAGAGGACGCGTTCATCGCCTGTGTTCGACTAGTGCCAGCTCCTAGAGAAGAACGACGAACAGTATCTTCGGTCAAGCCAGCTTCTCGTTCGCTTGGTGTCAAGAAATTCTTTATCATCTCGGTACGCTGGACCGGGGAAGCATCCTTAATCGACTTGCCATTGATGATGGTGACATTTCCCGCGTTTGACGAGCCATACGTCTCCTCGCCAGCACTTCGTAGAAGGTCGTTGGAGGAAGATCCACGCCGCAGATCTGATTCAGCAGCTGTAGACTGTCTCAGGTTGACCGCGGTAAATCCGACCGGAGGCGATTGAGAGACCTCGATACTCCTTACTGCGCGGGCGCTGCCGACCCCGTTTGTGTCCATGGGCGAACCGGGGGCAGCTTCGGTTCTTGTGGCATGTCTTTTGGCCTCGGCTTCCTGGTCGCGTCTGCTCAATATGGCTGTGCGCCGACCTTTCATCTTGTGGATCAGTTGTCGCGCTCGGCCAGACACTGCTCGAGGTTAGCTTGGATAGGTAGGGACCTATGAGGTATTGGCGACATACCTTGATCTGCAAGCTGAATGACCTGACCGAGATTGCGGTCCAGGAGGTCCATGACGCCTAATTCCTTCTCTTCGTCTTCCAGAATGGGCTGCGGGGGAATCAATTTCTGAGGCATGCCACTGGCGATGAGGACGAAATCCTCCTCCGAGATCTCAACCCGACACTGCTTGGTGTAGAACTGGCAGACCCGCACTCCATTGCGAGTTCTTTCCAGGTTGAATTGCTTGGGATTGTTCTGGGCAAACTCGACCACGTCCAACCAGGTCACATGGGCATCCTTTGCGTGAGATTTGAGAATCTTGGGCGGCCCGTCAAACATTTTCTCAAACCGCTTAACCAGGATGGGGCCGACAGGACAAGCTCCCAAATTACCTGCCATGCTCTCGTGGCGTTGTATGACCCCATCGTATTCCCCCAGCAGGCGAGCTATCTCGGGAAGCTTGTCATTGACTGTGACGAGGGGGATAGTATCCTTGTGTTGCCGGACAAGGTAGTTGATTTGCAAGTGGTTCGCAGCAGTCCGCGGGACCTTTGCTGCTGGGAGGGGTTGAGGCTCCGTTGGGGAGCGAGGTCGCTTGAGAGACGAAGATTGCTCGGAATTCATTGTCACGGACGATGGACGTTCCATTGCTTTGGCATAGAGGATGGAGGGAGGGAGCCCGAGTCACCTTGGTGTGCTCGGGCTGCGCGTGCTTAGCTAAGAAGCTCTCGGGAAGTGAAGTCGAGAAAAGGCGCGGGCGGAGAATCGTGGAGGGGTTGCGGGATCAGCCTCGAATAGTTTGGCCCAAGCTGGGCAAAAGCTATTCTTGAAGCTGCAGCGCCGTGAGCGGAGGAGAAACCCAGGTCGTAGTCAAAGATGGTAGCAAGAAGTAAGTGCGAGAGGAGGAGAGGTAGGTGGGAGGAAAGGGTAGCAGAAGTGAATGGGAGGGAAAGCTGCGGCACGTGGCTTGGGCCTGGTCTGAGAGGTTGTAGTGTGAAATGCGAACCCAGGAATACGTCCGGGAGGACACAGGAAAAGGCTACGGCCAATGGGGCGAAAACTAGGTGCCAAACAACAACAAAGAGGTGAAGACGGAGCAAGGGGAAGCAAAAAAGAAAGAGAATGTGCGGGTGTCAGAAGAGAGGGAAGGAGATGGAGAGGAGAGGAATAGTACCAGCTCGCCAGGTATCCAAGGTGCAAGGTGGAAACGGCGAGGAGGGCGGCCGAGGGCGGCGAAGGAGCGGGTTCGATGGATGGTCGTTGGATGGTTGGATGGGGGAAGGGGGGAGAGGTACGGAGCACGGGTTGCGGCGACCAACCAAGTTTTCCAAGAGGCCCTTCCGGCCCATCAGCTGCCAACAACAGCCTAGGCAATAGATAATTAATAAGGGAGTCTGAGGGAGTCGTTGGGCGTACGCGGGGCTTATCACTTCCCCTCTCCGAGCGGCACCCATGGCCGAGAGCTTAGGGCGACTGTGGGCAACTAAGGCACCGCACCTGGCTCACTGCCACCAACGACCACCTCATTTAATTATTGTTTATTGCGCGGTGGCTGATGGGAGGGGAAAAGGGACGCGTGGACGTCGAAGAGAAATACAGCAGAGACCAGCAGGGCGCTACTGGGACTGGAACCAGAACTAGACCTCTGTACCGAGCAGGAATTGTAGACAGCCTCGGATCGAGATGGCCATTTGCGCTTATACGATTGTGCTGCCGTGCCTGCACTTTGCTCGGAAGCTAGAGGAGGAGGGGAGGAGAAAGCTACGGTCATGTTCGGGGATGAAGTGTTCCTTCCAACAACTTCCAGGTGGTTATTTGGTGTGGTAGGCGTAGGTAGGCATGGTGGCCTGGCATTAGTGGGTGCGCGCGGGGTTCGTCCCCCCAGGCCCTAGGCTGGGCGGGAATGGGAGTCTCGGGTGAGCCAAAGTGCCAGAGGGCAAAGAGCGCAGAGATCAAAGCACAGTTGTCCGCCTTTTGACTGGTGGGGGAAATCCAACCACACCTGCACCTTTCTTCCTCTGCAGCCATTCACTTCTATCTCATTCCTCGATTCGTGTCGATTCCTCCTCCTGTCCTCCGATATCTTGTCTGCCTCTCCCTTGTGCCCTGCACCATCATCGCTGCCCCCGTTATCACGAGCTCACAAGCACGGAAAGGAGCAATGTGACAAGGGGTCCAAGGGAGGGTGAGGTGGAGGCAAGATCCGTGCGCAAGCCCGAGGGCGGCGCTCCGCCCAATTGGCAATAACCATTCCGCATGCTCTGACGGTGGCTTCGGCGGAAATCGTGGCGCACCATTCACATCTCGCCCTTTGTTCCTTCATCTTCTTCCCCCGACATAGCCCCCCGTCTCTCTCGTTTGGCACTTGCTGACCCTTGACTTGCAAGCTCTACCTCTACCAGGACCTCGTACACGTCACTCCACCCATTGATTTTTCCAAGGCTGGCCTTCGGCTTTAACGACAATCCAAATCACCGATTGCCCCCTTCCCCGACAACCAGACCAGGGCTTCAGGCACACAAACCACCAGCTTGTCCCAACTTGGTTCTGAATCACGCCCCAAGATTCCCCTCCCTCACCCACACACAAGCCAATTTTGCGCACTAGACTCTTTACGGCTAGGGGAGTCATTTTCCGCCCTTCACTGTCAACCTCTTGCGGAAAAGACACAAATTTCCCTGTGTTACCAACAAAACCACCCTTCAATTCTCAGGTAAGGAAAATGTCCGAGCGAGGCCATTTTCGTGGAGGTGGCCGGGGAGGGGGCGGAAGAGGGGGCGGAGGTGGTAGGGGCGGTCGTGGTGGTACCGGCGCATCTTCGCAGCAGTCCAATCAACCACACGAAAAGCCCAAGAAGGAAAACATCCTGGACCTCAGCAAATACGTCGAGAAGCAGATCAATGTCAAGTTCAATGGTGGACGAGAAAGTATGTCCTCTCTTTGTGTCCCGAAAATCTCTGGCTGGACCTCAAAGGGAAAGCAAAACGCCAGCAAAAATTTCCTGCACTAACTCGTCTTTGTCATTTTTTACCAGTTGTCGGCACACTCAAAGGCTACGACCAATTAATGAATCTGGTGTTGGATGATGTCAAAGAAACCATGAGAGGTGAGTTCTTTCCTCTTCCCAGCGTACTTACCGCACGTCCGATGGCAAAAGGCTTTGCAGTTAACAGTTCCCGCAATGGCAGATGACGAGGGCAACGAGACAACCAGACCACTGGGCCTGGTTGTCGCCCGCGGCACGCTGCTCGTCCTGATCTCTCCGGTCGACGGGAGTGAAGAGATTGAGAATCCTTTCCAACAACCGCCAGAAGAGTGATTGATTGCAAGAGCCACAACACTCAGCCTTTTGCCAACCTCAAAACTCAAAGTCTAGAGCGAGAGAGAGAGACAGGCGAACACCATCCTGCGACGATTCCTCAGCACAGAGATTTAGCGCCCAGCCTGACGTTACCCGGATCATCAATTGCATTCATTGATCGACTGCTCGACGAGGCCACGTCACGCGCGAAAGGTCTCCAACGCCAGACCCCAGTGTATCATTGCTTCTGCTCCAAAATCGTGCATCCAACATCTGGGTGTCGCAGGTCGTTCCCCGACCTGCTTCACGACATGATCTGTTCGGGAGCGGTGGAAGATCTCCATCCACGGGGCTCAACAGCAGAGTTACAAACAGAGATTTACGATTTTTTGTTTCTTGTTTTCTAAACTTCACTACCAATCTTCCTACACTCCGGCTGTTCTCTCCCAAGATCATAGTCATGTCGCCCCATTTCAAAATTCCATCATATCGTCTGCAATGAGTATTGGTCCTTTGGCGCTCTTCCTAAAACAGATCTCCTTTCTGTTCCCCTTGGCAGATCGGTAGTTGTCCAAGCAAAGGTCCCTCTGTTTCTCTATCACTTGTTGCATTCCAGGTGCTGAAGATTATTTTCTTGGACGGGTTAGATTCCATCAATCCCTCTTTCCAGGCCGTCCTGCTCAGTTTACCTACCTCAAAGGTCCTCCTCTCTTCCCAACTAATTCCTGAAATGCACTTTCTACCCCCTTTTTTAGCTCGCGGTAGCTCACCACAAACACGCTCTGTTCGTCCCGGCTCACGAGCATGATCTTCTCCTCCGTACCCGCGTCTAATTTGTTGAGACACATCAGGACATGGCCGAGATCCACGACGGGTCGGTTTTGTGCATCAACCTGGTGAAAGACGTAGTCACGGAACAACTTGAGGAAATAGCGTTCCCCATTCTCGCTCCACGACTGGTCATGATTGTATTCAGGGCGTTCAGTGATGAAGTTGATTTTGGCCATAAGGCGCACCAGGCGCGCATTCTCCACCTCGCGCGACAATTCAGAATATAGAGCATCATCGCTGTGAAGGGCCGCATTGAAAGCGGTGATCATCTGGTTTGCGATAAGAGTGACGAATCCATCTATGGTTTTCTCCGAGTTCTGCATTGCAGAGTATAACCACACCACGGCGTTTTGAAGTTCGGGCTTGTAACACCGTTTGAAAGTGTCCATGCTGCGAGCAAAATTCTGACCCACATCCAGGGATCCTGAGCCAACGGCAAGGACAACCAGGGCAAAATTGACGAGATCCTGTCGTTGGACCTGAGCGAGAGGTGTGTGGGTATTGGCGTCATACTGCACCACATCCAGAATGCCGCAGCCGTTCAGACGGATGCGATTCTTTCCTGTTACAAGGATTTTGCTGGGGTCGAGGATTCGAGCGGCTAAGCCAGAGTTGTGGATGGTTTTCAGAGCAGAAGCTATTTGCACGACGTAAGACCACAAGGCAGGCTCCGTGGCTTGGTCTTTGTTAGAACGAGCGGGACGAGGATTGTATGAATGTCCAAGGTGATGGTGTTCCAAAAGGGTTTTGGACAGAGGATGATATTCCGTGGCGATAAAGAGGGATGAGTCGCCGAAGCCGCGGTTTGTAAAGACGTCGACAATCCGGACAATGTTAGCGCTGATTATATTTTTCCAAGCTTGTCCGGCGCGGATTGCGTGCTCGTTTGTTAAGCGGAAGCCTGCACGTGAAAGCGTGAGCTTCTGAAGACCGCAACGAGGTTGATGGAGTGGTATAGTTCAAGGTCATACCTTCAATTCTGCGGAGGGCAAAAAAGTGCCCATTGGCGCTGGATTGGGCTTTATACACCCAAGATGTATAACCTCCAAATATGGTTGAACTTTTGTGGGCTGTATCAAGAGGGACAAGAGAGTGATAACTCTCAATGTGACTTGGTAGCTGCGAATCTGGAGCGCAAAATCAGCACCGCACCACCCTATCTTATGAACCAGCGACGCATACTGGGTAATATCTGGAGGGCTGCCGCAGACTTCTTCTGAATTTCCTCTCGGAGATCGTTGGGGATGAAAAGGTCATGCACTGTGCGCTGGTAGGGAGTGAGGACCGCGTTATAGTGGCCAATAGGCGCATACTGGTGGTATTGTACCTAGCAGGTGATTAGCATCATCATCACAGCCTCTGTTTGAGATGCGTACCGGCTGCTGAAAACCGGGGGTGTTTTGATAGAAAGCCGTTCCATTTATACTGTGATCGAGATATGGGTTCGGGGTATGGCTCGTTTGAAACGTCTCAAAAGCATGAGAGACAGGAATCTCGCTTTCAGTGGTCTAGACGGTACCTATAAGCATCGGACGGAAGCACCTCTGCTCTGAGAGAACTCACTAGAGACGGTTCTTGAGTTCGTCGGGGCACAAATTCTTGGACGTCAGGCAGCGCCCAGTCCGGGGTTTTGGCATCTTGTCGAAGAGGAGTAGCGTTCGACGATCCTGGCATAAGTTGTAAGCCACCGGCGTCGTCTGAGTCCGAGACGCTGGACATCTGCTCACGGGAGATGATGGCCTTGGGCATGAACGGGGCAGCACTTGCTGCCTTTGGAGATATGCCAGTCGTTGGCTTCTTGATAGCAGTGGCTGCAGCTGCGGTGCCATTGGGAGACAAGAAAGAGGGTGTGAAACTCGGCGAGTCGACGTTGAGCGTCTTTTTCGACTGACTATTTCCTCCGTCTCAGCTAAACAGTGCCTCAGTTTAGGCAGGGCAAGACCGTTGAGTCGTACCTATCACTTTGTCCTCCATCAGAGGCAGGCTTCTCTACGGTGTGGTTGAAGGCACATCCTGCAGCAGCAAGTTAGTCTTATGTGCAACACCTGCTATTCCCAGTGTACCTTTGTCCTCGTAGCGGCACTTCCCGTATATCGTAACATTGCGACATAGAGTGTCTTTCGCATTTTCTGTCCAGATACAGCTCAGCGCTCCATATCTTCCCTTCAACGAGCCTCAAAGAAGCATCCAACATACCCCGGCCTTTGAGTCTAGGGGACGAAGCTGCCTGTTTTGTATCTTCCGCATTATTTTTGATCACTGTGGCCATAATCGTTTATTGACTGCGCCTGAGCATGCTGCTCCATCAGTCTTTGGGAGGGCAGGCTTGGAGTTTTCGGTAAGGATCAAGGCATTTCCTGGGCTCGCCAGTGCCGAGCTTGGAGAGAGACACGGTTTCGAGGCTGTGCGCAGGCTAGATGTCCGGGGCTGATCCTGTGACTGTTGAGGCGTGAGCGAGGGTAATGTACATGACGACTGAGATATCCAAAATTAAGAAATAGTAGCGATGAAACGAAGATAATGGCGCAGTCGCCAGCCAGTAAATGCAATGAAACGAAAATATGACCAGGATTCTGAGCGCAGCCGCGCTCTGTATGGAATGCGGTTTGTCGAGTCAAGTCCCGCAGAGAGTAAGTGATACGAGGTGGGAGATGGGAGGTGGTCGGCGGGATTGTCGAGGCAACATAAGGGTCCAAGGTCCAACCAGCGGATTACATACATCCATCCGCCTTTCCACTCCGCGGCTTCGCGTGCACACGTTCCCTATACCACACAAACGCAGCCATCAGCACAAGAGCTTCTAGCCATCGGCCGGTACGATCTAGCCTTTCCTACACAACACATCTATACAACTGGCGTGGTTTGAATATAGTGGGCCCCCGCAACTCACCCTAGGCAGGGCTCCATAGGTGAAGCTAAGGCTTGAAGAGAAGGGAAAGAAGCATAGTTGACCATGTCTGTTCGATCGAAGCGATAACCCCTCGATTATATCCCTGTCTCTCGGTCTCGATTCGAAAAGATGTCGACCCCCGACATCTCCCAACTAACTGCGTCCCAACAAGAAGCTCTACAAACCTACACCTCCGTTACCGATCAAGACCCCATTGCCGCAATCCCGCTCCTACGACGATGCGAATGGAACGTACAAATTGCTGTGGCCCGCTTCTTTGATGGTGAACCTGCAAGCGACCCTCTCGCCGAGGCACAAGCACAACTACCTCCTGCCTCTGCCCGCCAAACTACAAATTTGCAGTATGAGTCGCTTCTAGCAGCATCACAAACCTCTCCCAGACCTCCCCGGGCAAGCCCCGGGGACATAGTGGCACGAGTTGACACGAGCGGCACAGTCAACGAACCGGTATATCGTCCTTCGACATTATTCTCCATCATATTTACTCCTGTGAATATCCTGTACAGAGTATTTACAACCGTGTTGTCGCCGTTTGGATTCCTCGTTCCCACGTTTCTCTCCCGCCTTTTTCATCGCCTTCTCTACCAATCCCAGTCGCAGTCACGCACCCAGAGGCGGGCTCTACCACCAGCTGAAAATGCAAGGAGATTCATACGAGAATTCAGTGAAGAATATGGCACCGAGAGTCAGGATGGAGAATCATCTGCGCCGCTTCTCCCATTCACCGAATCCGGGTTCAACTTAGCCCTCGACACCGCCAAAAAGGACCTCAAATTCATGCTTGTGGTCCTTCTCTCGCGCAGCCATGATGACAATAATACCTGGGTCCGAGAGACCCTACTATCCCAACAGTTTAAATCATTCCTCGACTCTCATCGGTCTGACTTGATACTTTGGGGTGGAGATGTACGGGATTCGGAAGCCTACCAAGTATCTGCGAGTCTTCAGTGTACCAAGTTCCCGTTCGCGGCACTCATATGTCAGGGTTCGGAGCCAGGATCGGGTGCACCATCCGGAGCGATGACAGTTGTCATGCGTGCTGTTGGACCAATATCAGCACCGGAATTGGTTGCAAAGTTGGCCACGGCGATGACGACCCACCAGACGCAACTTACTGCGGCGAGAGCTCAGCAGGCAGAACGCCAGGCAACCCAGAATCTACGTAGGGAGCAGGACTCGGCTTACGAGAGATCATTGGCGCAAGATCGTGAGAGGGCTCGTCGGAGACGGGAAGAGGAGGAAGCGGCAAGAAGAGCAGAATTGGAAGCCCAAGAACAGGCAAGACTGGCAGAGAAGAAGAAGAGAGACAGAGAGCAGTGGAAGAGATGGCGTGCCCGTTCACTTCCGGAAGAACCGGATGCAGAGATCAAAGATGCCATTCGAGTGAGTATCCGCTTGCCTTCTGGCGAACGAGTCATCCGAAGATTTCAAACAGATGCTGAGATAGAAGAACTGTATGCCTTTGTGGAATGTTACGAGGTCATCAAATCCAAACATTCGGAAAAACAAAGGGAGGAAGAGGAGGAGGAGGAGGATGCGGAGGAGCCAGAGGGGTATGAGCATGAATACAAGTTTCGACTGGTGTCGCCCATGCCCAGAATAGTGTATGATTTGGAAAAGGGAGGTTCGATAGGCACAAGGGTGGGAAAGGGCGCAAACCTGCTCGTGGAACCTATTGATGAGGATGAGGAGGACGAAAATGAGGACGAGGATTGATAGAAGCCGATTGCGTGGTTTGCTTGAGATAGATCTGGCTGGCACTAGGGGGATTTTGGAGAAAGGCGCACACCCTTTGCAGCCACGGTAGAAGGGTGAAACGAATGGATGTATTGTAGCATGGTGAGGACATCAATAGCACTCGCAGGTCATGTTATACCCACGCGAGTATTTCCTGATCCGCGTATGCTCATGGTATCTCATTGATGTCAGTCCATCGTGGACAACGTGTGGGCCTCCTCAACATATCATGTCTAGCCAGGGGAAGAGGGAGACTCCTGGATGTCCATGGTAATGCAGGTAACTCCAGCACCTCCTCCTCCTCCCCCTCCTTCCCTGACGGTACGAACCAAAAGCCTTGCTTCTCATCTCATCCACACCAACAGCAAGAAGGTCAGGGCCTTTTGCGAACCTACATCATCCTTTTCCCCCCTCTCTTCTCTCTGTTCTCATCTCGAAAGTAGCCTCGCAACAGCAGCCACAGCCAGCACAACCAGCGCCACATCGCCTTTGTACTGTTTCCCGGCGTGGACCTGCATGGCCAGCCCGGCCGTGAAGAACAACAGGCTGAGTGACGCGGCGAGGAGTTTCACAGCGCGCACACCGAACAGAAGAGTGAACCCGACGAGGGTGTCGATGACGGGCGTCACCGTCGCGGCTGCAGAGCCGTCGTCTGGCAAGTGGTATTCCTGGAAGGCGTACCATATCGGCGTGTACGCGCCATGGGTGAAGCGGGAAAAGGCGCCGAGGAGGACGACGGACGCGAGAACGTAGACCGGGACGGTTTTGAGGGCTGTAGACATTGATCAGCGCGCTTTTTTGGGGGGGGAGTATTCAGCAGAATTTGGGCCGCGAAGAGATCGGGATGCGAGAGTGGTGGGTGCGTTAGAGGGACGCTTTGTCCAGTTCGAACTCGCGTGCTTGCTTCACAGGATGTTTGGTGACTGCGCAGCCTGCGTTCAACTGGTGCGTCCTTGTGCGCATTTGCTCCGCAGTAGCAGAGTCTCCTATTATTCTAGACATATTTCTGCGGCTATTGATCCGCCCCGCCTGTCAACCAAGTCAGTTCACATTAGTTTTCTCACTTGAAGGTCGGTCAATGGTAAAGTAAAGGGGACAAGGAAGATCAACCGCGGATTCCCATGTCCGTGATTGCAGGGGTCCGAGTTCCATGTGCTGTGAGCCCACCATGCTGATCTTTTACTGCACCATAATCTGTTGATTTCCGACACTTCGGCGGATATATAGATCGAGTGCTGAAAGATTTTCCTCCCAGCCTCACCCCACCGCCAAATTCAAACATTAGGTTCTGGGGATGAAGGTTTTGAGCTACAGCACCCCTGACTGAAGATGTCTGTCAAGTAAGACTTATCATGAAATAAGCGCCGTCTATACCAACTTACAAACCTCAGAAAGAACTACTCCCATAGTTGTAATTGCTCGTAGGCCTGGAAATATATGCAGCATCCTAGAAACCGCAGTGCCAGGTCCACAAATATTATACCAACATCAAAAGGCGGGTATTCAATAGACCTTCTCCTGCTCCGTGAAGGGCTCTGGGAGTCTTTTTCAATCTGACAGATTGATAGTTTGCAGACGGCGGAGCCGCATATCAGTCCAGCATGCTTCTACCAGTCTGCCCTTCCTGGAACGGCCCGCGAGTCATCTTCACTGATCGTCAGGGCGCAGGGTGAAATATGACAAAGTGGCTCGGAAAGAACCGTCGGTGTAGATGTATGGTCTCGGAGGACATTTCTGTCATGACTTTTGGCATCGGGAAGAAGGATCGGTACCTGCTTTTCCTCATGCCAGCGCAAGAGAAGGGTTGGACCGAGCGAACCGGGACTTTGGCAAGAGCCCTTGTCGAGGGCGAAAATCGGTGAGAAGCCGTGGCAGATGACCGTGGGAGCGAACATGCACCAGAATGTAATGGTCGCTGGGCAGCCTTGCGAAAGGGCTTAACGAGGCCTGTCAGCACTCAGTGACATCGTCGGCCCCTTGCGCCAGCGCAGACACTACACGACCATAGGAGTTTCCCGGGGCAAGAACCCACTGACATGACAGTCACTCTGGGGGATTTTCTGACCTCAACCCTTCACGCCACCTGTACCTTAGGTTAAGCCGTCGCAAAGTGTAGTCTTTTGACACCTGGAACAAGCACTGGAGAGCTGCAGCGTAGATCAAGGCAACGTACCGCCCTACTATCGGAACCAAGACAGACATGATAGTGGACAAGGGGCCGGCAATGATCCGGCCAGTCCCCTTATAGGGACTAGGGACTCGGTACATACCAAGTACTCTGTACGTACTTAGGCACTCCGTACTCGGTACGTCGTGGATATTGCGTATCTTGGACCCCACCACGGGCTCGATAGGAGAACTGGTTTCAAGAGTCCTCCCGCGGCACAAAGGAGGGGTCAAAGTGATTGCTCACGTCTTCTCCTCTCCTAAGATAGCCCAAGCATGAGGAATCTCGCTCCAGTCACGGACCATCATCATTTGTTGGGCCTCAGCAGCCTCAGGATGGCGTTCAAACGCCATCCATGTAATCGCTTCGGCGGTGTGAGGGGTTCACAGCCCCTTTCATGTGAAGTCTGGGGAAGCAGCTGAAAACCTCGCAACGCCACACAGCGTGGGCAGCAGGGATGAGTCTGCTCTAGCGAAGCTTGAGAACTCTCAAATTTCGTGAGCAAGGAACAGTCCTGACTAAAAACCAAGGACCTGGAGGGGCAATGTCGAAGTTTGAGACCTGCCGAGGAGAGTTGAAGGTGAACGTTAACCGAAACAAGAAAGAAGCAAAGTCAGAGCTGAAGAGAAAGCCAAAGACCAGCTTAATCGTCAGGGGTTTCGGCGAACAGGACGAAGTAGCGGGACGCCTCGGGTATGCACACTGCACGTAAGGTTAGCGAAGACGGAGGAGGTGTTCACAGCTCTTCTGAGAATGGGTTTCCCGCGGCTGGAACATCTTCACATGCGAAGTTGTCAACGGGTTGGGAGATTGATGACTGGCCACTTAGGTTCTGATACTCTTGGGTGACTCTGATCAGACCACGAGCACCAAATATTGCTTCATCGTCGTCGACCTGACAAATGGTTCAGTTGTATACCTGATGAGTACGCAGGTAGGAATGTCACCATCCGCCCGCGGATGATGTTTCCAAGAATCATGCTTAATAGCCCTCACACCATCACCGATACCAGGGCAAATCGATCGAACACCATAGATCGACAATGAGGAACCCCACCATTTCGCCAGTCGTGGAAATTGGAATGCAGCCACATAGTGGAGGATGAAAAAAGTTGGGGAGAAATTTAGCGATAGCTATCCAGGGCACACAGGGCGGGTGGGAAGGGAAGGTTGCATCTTTAGCCAGGGGCCCACGCATCGAACGCCTAGCTAAGAGTGCCACTACAGCACCTAGGTAGGGGCATGTACCTAAGTGTCGGGCTTGCGGGGGTGCCTGAGAGTTCCCGGGTGCCTGAGTGCCTGACGATGACGATGCTTGGCCCTACAAGACATCCACAAGGGACCTGTACAGGGGGACCTGTCTTAGGGCCCATGGAGGTACTTATGAACTAATACTCGGTACAAGTACAGTACCAAGTACCAACGCTATCTGGTTTCTCCGTGCCCCATTATCTCGCATCCCGGGGCTCGCGTGCCAATGATTATCATTCTCTCGTCCTGCTCGCGCACCACACATCGTACCTGAATCCCTAACTCCTCATACCAAGCAGGCTCCCCTCAGCCTACTCGTAGAAGGCTTGACGCCAAAAAAATAATCCTCCTATCGGCCCAAGCAGCCCGCTTCTGCCTCGTATGGCGAACAATGGCGAGAAGCGAACCTCCACCATGACATTGTCCAATGCCATGTCTCTGTCCATGTGTCAATTGACTGCCTCTGTCATCCGGGAGCCTGGCTTTGGGGCTCTCCAAACCTGGTCCCTGTCAGAATTTCTATCCACAATCCACCCATCCCACTTCAGGTTCAATTCCATTTTTTGCTTAACCTTGCCTGCTTTCGTTCGAACTTCCCGTCTGCGTCTCTGCCTGCCCAATCATGCCCTCGACGTCCAAGGCCTTACAGATGACTCCCGATGCCTCAAGGGGATAGAAGTTGTCTGCCGGAAACGACCTTCTTTCAACATGCAACCCTGATTGAGAGCATTGTCGGTTCTTCCTCGACAACATTATTGTGCAGCATTCCTCTCTGACGGACGGACCTCCTCTCTCCAAATTCTTTTGTGGCCCTCCCACCTAACTTTACCTCCAAAGGCACATACGGCGCAGGAGACCAACTTAAAATTGATTACGGTTCTTGGGCCTTTCAGAAAATCCGAAACCTGGGGGGACGACTTGTGCTGAGCGCAGGTGATATTTCCATTGCTGCCACTATCCCTGTTAAGAAGGATGATCTCAGTGGATCTTTAGTCAATCTGTAAGGGAAGGGGTTGTGTGAGAAGATTGCTGTTCTGTCTATCTTTCGGATCAAGCTAACCGTTGCTTGAGATATCCTCTCGCCAGTTCACAGACTTCCATGATCGGCGGATCTTATCCGGGTCCCACACCGAAGACGAATATCCCGAGCCGGTCATCACAGGACTTTCTTCTGAGGTTGGACAAGAGGAGGTTACCAGACACACAAGATACGGGGAAAGCCAGTCGATCTGGACATTGTGATAGGGCACCTCGAGCCTTGAGGCTGAGACCCGTACCCCCGCCAGCAATTACAGCGACGGGGCTCTCTATATCGTTGAACCTCGACAGCACATACATCGCTGAAGCTCTGAAGAGACTTTGAGTTCAGAAGGGGTTCTCACTTTCGGTTGCAGAGTACCACCAGTTGCGGTGGCATAAACGCTAAATATCCGACTTCCTTCATCATGTCTTCAAACCAAAGGCCCTCGATGGGACCCCCAGAAACACCGAGCAGATATATGCAGCAGCAGTCTCCAGGCCTTTTTCCAACATTGCAACTCTCTCCAGACATGTATGCTCACCAGTTCTCCGTAGGGCCGGTCACGGCTCCAATATTCACAAGTCAAAGGCTCTTTTGGGACCCCTCCAGCGTCGACTACAATGATCCTTCTATATCCCAGCAGTACCATGGTTCATTCGCCTACAGTCCAGTGGCACTGAGTAGCTCTTTTGCCTCTTCGTCTACAGTGGTACCCAGTTTTGTTGCACAAGATCCATTGTCCGAAGAGCAGCCTTATGACTTGCCTAGCCTACCCCGGTCCGCCAGTTATTCCAATGTCGACAGTTCTGCCTTTCCCGCCCCATTCACGACCTCGCCCCGCGTCTTTCAACCGCAAATGGAGAACCCAAGCATGTTTCTAAGCTCACCAGCACGGCGGTTTGGCAGCTTTGACCAGCTTCCAAGTCGCTTCGCGCAGAACACTGCTCCTGAGCGGCCGGCTTACGCGCATCAGATCGAGGAATCCAAGCGAGAGGAAGAAATGAAACGCATGCGGCGAGCGGAGGTGAAAAAACCGTCAATCACTCGGTCGGTTATGGAAGCTCTACGACGACCCATCACACCGAAAAAGGACAGCAGACCGGGCCTCAAGCGGAGCCTGACACATACTGGAGTGCGGAACGATCGCGGTCTGAAACTCCAGACCCAGGGCAACCGCGAAGGACGCAATTCTCCCATATCCTTTGAGCCCAATAGACACCGGTCAGGGCGCTCGTCTCCCCTGAAGCCGAACGCGGACCCCATCTCGCGGACTCTCACCAGCAGCCGCAATGCTAAGCGAGCATCTCTGTCGCTTGCAATCGATGAAAATGGCGTTGCCAAGACAGTCATGACACAGAACACTGGAGATATGGACCTTGATGAACCGTCAGACAGCGGAGCTGAGTCGTTTGACGATAGAGACTTTGACATCGTCTCCAGTCGAAGCAATTCCTTTGCTTTTGCGGGATATCAGGATCAAGCTCAATCGGATAAGGGCCCCGGTCATTCCAAAACCAGTTCTCGTTCCACGATGGGCTCGGCCAGCTCTGCCAGGCTGTCATCTTATCAAAGCTCTGTCTCCAGTGTATCAAACACCAGAGGGACTGATGTACATCATGGCCGAAGGCAACGGCCTATTCTTGGCTCTACGATTGAAGACGACACCCTCATGGAGGAAGAATCTACTGGTGATGCCCAATATGCATTGCGAGCCATCATCCAAGACCGGTCTCGGTCCACGTCGGCACAAGGGGACCACAATAGCCGAATGCAGTTACATTCTTCTCCTCCCTTGCAGCAAGGTCAATATGCATATTATAACGCCTCGCCAACAACAATCACGGATCCAGATTTGGCAACGCCGAGCACAGACAGGGAAAGTCTGGCAAGCAATGTGAGCATGCGTTGCTTGTGCAAGTCTTCCATGCTCGACGGATCGATACCCATGATTCAATGGTAAGTTTTGCAATCCCGGACAGTCTAAATGGTCAACCCGTCGTCGATTTTATTTTGATGCACCCACTAATGCGGCTTCCTGCAGCGATTCGTGTTCGAAGTGGCTACACACCAGCTGTGTGGGTATCGACCATCGGAGAAGGCCCGAGCCATATATCTGTGGTTTCTGCACACAGACTCCAGTGCGCCCAAGCTATAGCTCACTACGGCCGTCAGCTCTCCCATCAAATGCAAGCCCGCTGGCGCACAAGGCCAAGCGCCATCGGTGATGTTGAGGATTCATGTATATGTACGCTTCATATTCCGTGCAGAGCCGTGGACTACATTATTGAGTCTAAATTGGTCTCTGCCACGCGTTCCTGAGCGACACCGTCACCTTACATTACTTTGTGTATTGAAGAAGTTTATATATAGCGTCCTGAAGCAAGGAGCTGAGGTTCTGAACCCTTATACCCCTGGTTCTATTTGAATCTGTGCTCTCTACCCGCAGATATGAAACATAATCACCTGAACACGACCTTTGATAGGAACATAATTATGGATCGGAGGTTGGAACCAAATACCTCCTGGCTTTGTTTTGCCGGGCAGTTGGGCAGCAATTGAAAGAATGTCGGACCTTGGGTGACACGACAAGTCGATCTGGACTGCCATGTCTCAGAGCCAGTCGCGATATCGTGTTTGAGCAAAAAAGGGATTACTATACTCTGCTATAAAAAGTACATGGCCATAATCTGCAAGTTCTGCCTCGTGTACATCGACCGTGTCAATCATTGCCTCCTCCAGCAGAAATGATGTGGGCCAGCGCGATTGCAGCTCTGCTTCTATCATCGGCTTCTTCAGCTTCTTTCCTTGACTTACTCGGACGAGCGAACAGACTTTGCCCGATGATCGTTGATGCCGTTACCACGACGTCAACCGTGAGCGCTCTTGTTCCACCTATCACTATCACTGCAACTCCAAGCCTTGCTCTCGCTGCGTCAACCGATGTACTGGCTACCGGATGCCTGAGTGATGCCCAAGCGACAAACATAATCACATCCTGGAAGACTATTCTTACCTCATCAGATCGAGGGGATGCGAGTGCTATAGCTCAAGCACTGATTGCGGACGAGTATCTGGAAACAAGTGACTCGATCAATTCTCTAGCCGGGAATTCGGTATGTGTTCGCCCACACAATTTTTTTGCAGCCCTGCTCAATTGCTAACGTCGAAGCAGTTGGGAAACGCCACCTTCTCTGGCAAGGATAGCTTCATCGCCGCCGTGCTAGAAAAGCCACCCATTCCACTCTTGACAACACTGGACATTTTCCACGACTGCACTCGAATCGCATTCTACTGGGCTGCTAGTGGAGTAGGTTCAGGGGTGGAGGATGTCAGGGGGGTTGACCTGCTATATTTGACCGAGGACAAGGAGCAGATCAACATGGCCATGGTCGAGTTTAACAGTCTTGCATGGGCGAAGGATGTGGGTTGGCAGATTGAGAGGGCGAACGGGACAAAGTATTGAGCGTTATGAGTGTCAGGTTGTCCGTCGTATGACTTGAGTACCAATTAGCACAGCTTCCAATAGGGGCCACCAGGGTTGATCTCTGCTTGTCTGAGAGTCAATATGCGGAATGTAGGGAGGTGAAGAAGCAGGCCCAGAGCCTTTGTTTTTTCATGCATGCCGCTTAACTGGTCAGGGCGCCTACGGGCACGAGGAGACGGACCCGCAGCGCCGAGCATGGGCATTTTGGGGGCGATGGACCGAGTAGGGAAGCAAGTCAAGAAACCCCAAGACCGCAGGCAACAGGAATTCAACCTTCATTTGTGCGTAGGCACTGCGTGGAACTGGCACCTGGTCCTTGCAGACAACAAACACACCATCGACGGCCAATGTGCTTCAATGCTTTCTGGTCCTCTGTTTCACCAGTCTTCAATCTCTTCTCTCTATCCAACTTCTCTTTGGTTCGACCCGCCACGTTCGCCCACCCCTTCGCCCACCTCACAGGACCTTGAGATCCGAACAAAGACGAGAGGTGCCATCGCCTGACCCTCCCTTCTCCCTTGTTGCAGGACCTTTCTCAATGGGCCATCTTCTGTCTCTCGAGTCGGAGTCTCCACACGGGCAGACGGAACCATTGAAAGTGGGCACCTGGCTTGCCTCATCGCCACAAGCCAGCTTGGATTGGTCGACAAGATATACCAAGAAAGACCCAGGGTCACCCGCCATCACCAAGCGCATCCAAGCGCATCCACTCCTCCTGGTGGTCCACTCGACGCAGCTGACCGCATCGATACTGGCCTTCCACATGCCATTGCCATAAGCACACCACTCGCCTCCTCGCGAATTGCCCGACTCTTACTTTCTTCCAACCTCTCCTTTCCTTTCCCTGGTCGAATCTCGAGTGACAAGTCCGGCACATAGACCATCATGGCCACTGCTACCGTCACCGAGTTCCTGACAAGGACGGTCAATGCCACAGCGGCCACAAGCACCTCCAGCAATCGAGCAGTTCCTCAAGGCGGTGTCTTTGAAGGTCTCAATCCCACCCAGTATGACCCGAAGAATCCCATTACACTCTTCATAATTCAGGCTGCTATAGTCATTATCCTCACACGTATCATCCATGTACCTCTGGCCTACCTTCGTCAGCCTCGAGTGATCGCCGAGGTCATCACTGGCATCCTCCTGGGTCCTTCGGTCATGGGGAGGATCCCGGGGTTCACAAATGCCATCTTTCCCCCTGCTTCCATGCCAGCCTTTTCGCTGGCGGCGAATCTCGGTCTGGTGCTGTTTCTGTTTCTCGTTGGATTGGAGGTCGACTTGCGCTTTCTGGCCAGCAACTGGCGCATTGCTCTGAGTGTGGGTGCTCTTGGAATGGCTCTCCCTTTCGGGCTCGGCTGTGGTATTGCATGGGGCCTTTATCGTGATTTCCGGAGTGATGACGGTCTGGCTCCCATCAGCTTTGGCGTGTACATGCTATTCATTGGTGTGGCCATGGCGATCACTGTATGTATCCCTTCATCTGGGTGGCGCTGAATCATCACTTACCGAATTCAGGCTTTCCCAGTCCTTTGCCGCATTTTGACAACTTTGAAACTACTCAGCACTCCCGTTGGAGTTATCGTGCTATCGGCGGGTGTTGGCAATGATGTCGTGGGCTGGATACTTCTTGCGTTGTGTGTCGCCCTCGTTAATTCTGGCGCCGGTCTCACCGCTCTATGGATTTTGCTAGTCGCTGTCGGTTACACATTGTTCTTGGTCTTTGCTGTGCGACCAATCGTCATGTGGTTCCTCCGAAGGACGGGGAGTCTCGCCAATGGTCCGACACAAACGGTGGTTGCATTGACAATACTCCTCGTCCTGGCATCCGCATTCTTCACTGGGATCATTGGCATCCACCCCATTTTTGGCGCCTTCATAATTGGACTCATGCTGCCTCACGAAGGAGGCTTCGCCATCAAGCTCACGGAAAAGATTGAGGATCTTGTTGGCGTGCTGTTTCTTCCCCTTTACTTCGCCTTGTCGGGCTTGGGCACCAATCTAGGACTTCTCAACAACGGGTTGACATGGGGTTATGTGGTTGGCGTGTGCGCAATCGCCTTCATTGGGAAGATTGCCGGTGGAACACTGGCTGCCCGATTGAATGGCCTGGTCTGGCGAGAATCGTTCACGATTGGCGTTCTGATGTCTTGCAAAGGCTTGGTTGAGTTGATTGTGCTCAATATTGGACTTCAAGCCAAAATCCTCAGTACCCGCACCTTTACCATTTTCGTTGTCATGGCTCTCGTTACCACGTTTGCAACCACGCCACTGACCACGTGGCTATACCCGGCATGGTATCAGCGGAAATTGGAGCTCTGGAAACAAGGCAAGATCGACTGGGATGGCAATCCGCTTCATCCCGACACTGACGCGGAATCTACCAGCGAGGCGGACATTCTTCGCACGACCAACGTTGCGAAAAAGGTATTGGTCTATCTTCGTCTCGATGGTCTCCCTGGTCTGTTTACCATGGTTTCCCTCCTCGCCGACAAACCTGGAGAGCAGGATGCCGTAGAGCATCAAGACCAGACCCGAAAGGAAGAGCCGATGTTGAACGCACAAGCACTGAGCTCAGTAGCAAGACTTCATCGCCCTCTCCAAGTGCACGGCCTGCGCCTCATGGAGCTAACAGAACGAGAGTCCAGCGTCATGCGCGTCTCGGAGATCGAGGAGTTTGCTGGGCGAGACCCAGTCATCAAGGCGTTTGGCACTTTTGGACAATCGTGTGATATGGCAGTGGGTGGACAGATTGCGGTGGTGCCTGATCACAGCTTTTCAGGCACGTTGTTGTCCCGCGCCAGGGATATCAAGAGTGATCTTGTGTTGGTGCCTTGGTCTGAGACCGGAACATTGTCCGAGTACCCTAGCTTGTTCGACGCAAAGCCAGGCGATCCGCTAGCGAACAAACAATTTGCAACACTTGCAGCAGAGATCTTTGAGAAGGCCAGAACAACATGTCCCGTTGGTGTAATCCTGGACAAGACAGTCCTTTGCACGCCCTCTGGACCTTCCAAGATCGACTCTCCAGGACTTGAACGCTCAACACGACAACTAAACAAGACACTTACTGGAGTCAGTCTTGCAGATCAGATGAACTCGACCGTCCAATTCAGATCGGCAGAAAGTGGACGGACTCGTCTCTTCGCTCTTTATCAAGGCGACAGTGAAGATGATCTCTTTGCCGTACGCCTCGCTTTGCAATTAGCCAAGAATCCCAAAGTTGATCTGAAAATCCTGAACGCAAGGGTTCGACACGACGATGCGGATGTTGGTCACCACGCTGCAGACACCAGTCATGATGACAAGACAGCCACTCTGTCGAAGGTCCACACTCTCCGGACACCCACTGATTTTGAATTCGACGCCCTCCGGTCAAGCATCGCGGATTGCGGCTTCGACACGAGAGTGACAGTCGTGGACGTGCCTTTATCAGGTCTGGAGACACTTGTGACAGCGATTTCCGAGCCTAGCCCCGCGGAGACGCTGGTCATCGTTGGGCGCAGCACTTTCTATTCCAAGTCAGCCAACGCCATTTTTAGTACCAGCACTGCGGAGTCATCGATGTCCAACTCGATGGTTATCTCCAGTGGTAGCGGACTGAACTCTGCACGCGACGATAGTCAGGCTTTGGGTCCCCTAGCCACGCAACTCATTAAAGTCGTCCGGGAGAGACAGTTACAGACTGGATTACTTGTGGTCCAGGCCCGGAACGAGCGTGCGTTACAAAGCCCAGACGCATTTGGAGGATTTGGAGCACCGCCTAGTCCAACAGACGCGAGGAGTCTGAAAGGAGCGGCATTGGCCAAGAAGATAAGCGCCTTGAGTGATGACGATTAGGCGCCGTTGTTTTCCTGTCCTCGGCTGCTGTAACGAGCCGTTACGATTCCATCTATCTTGCCAGCATATCTATGAGCGTTCACAGGAAAGTTTGGGTATATGACCAGGGACATCTATATGTCGGCCATGTGAGTCCACGAGACTTCAGACGACCAGTTGAAGAATATCTACGAGCTCAATCTGTATGGAGTTGAGGATAAGATAAACCGGGTATTTCGAAGAGAAGTGGTTCGAATAAAATATTGATGAATGACTATGACTCGGTATAAGAGAACAGCAGTTCCACCATGATGTGTCCTGCCTGATGTACATCTTGTCTCCCCTGATACTTGAACTCGTATGCTGTGGTGGACCTACTTGTACAAATATGTAGCTACCTTCCTCTACATCCATTATAAGTCGGTCACACGAGACTTGGATATCATTCGAGACTATGCGATATGACATTCATGCATACCTCGTATACAAGACGTGGTAGGTAGATACCTAGGTAGATACAGGTACAGGTTATAGGTGCAGTCATCGAGGGAAGACGTGGCCATGAGAACACAACAGATTCGATATGATACGAGGGGTACTAAGGGGTAAGGAGGTAGGAGGTGGGAAGTACGGGATACTCTACGAGGTACGAGGTAGATCGCTCGGTCCTCGGTCGCTTCGCGGAACGCTCAAAGATTGTTTTCAGCCAGGGGGGTTTTTTGGCTCTGCTTTGCTTTGTTTTGAGTGTGGGAGTGAGTATGAATGGGCACAGCTGTGGATAGATGGATGGATGGATGGGATGGAATGGATTAAATAGCAAATCGCTGGCGAAATGTTTCTCATAAACCGTCATGTGCCATGGAATGGGGTGCTGATTTCCTTCCGACGACGACATACTCACACAGAAAGAAGACCAAAGCGGCCCCCTACTCTCTCCATCGACTGCTCTCGGTTCTTCTTCCCACCCAACATCGCCTGGTATCTCAGATGCCCTTGTCGATGAGTTCCGTACTTGTATGGTAAAACCGACACCTCCATCACAGACTTCATTGCGCTCTCGCGCGCTTCCCTTCTGACCATTATGCCTCCGCACTACTACCGTCCCACGCGAATCACACCCGCGGCAATCAACTTTTGAACCTTCGTGCGAATTCCAGGGTTCTTCATGTGTTCGTTCAGTGCCGCCGGATCGGACTTGGCTTGTTGCAAGATGGATTGCATGACCGGATCGGAAAGGATTTGCACTGTGCAGAAAAAGAGGTGGTTAGCTATCAATCCATAGAAGGTAGCGAGTGTGGAAATGGCGGATGTGTTGAAAGCAGGCTGTGATGGCAGTTGACGGGCAAGGGGTCACACTTACTGATTTCAGGGTCTTTCTGGATTCTCGCGCTCGTCTCTTCTTCCGTTTCTCCCTGGCGAGCAGCGTACATTGCTTCGAGGGCCTTGGATTGCTGCTGTTCAATTTCTCGGGCGTTCTTACCGTCTTCGTCATGTTCCATGGCTTCTGTACACACATCCAGGCACTTGTTGTATTCCTTCATGCCGAACAGAGCTTGAGCTTTCCGGAGGTATGCTTTGATGAATTTGGGGTCACGTCTAATGGCCTCGTCGCAGTCTTGGATGGCAGTCGGGAAGGCAAGGAGTTTGATTAGTGCTGCAGCCCTGTTGGAATATCCTCGAGGGTCATCCGGCGCACGTTTGGTGAGTTCAGTGTAGGCTTCGACAGCACCTGGCCAGTCTCCATTTTTGAACTTCTCGGCTCCCAACAGACGCGCTTCTTCTGCCTTTTCTGGGTCGATATATGCGTCCTTCTCGGCTTTGATCTGAGCCTTCTCGGCGGCCTTGAACTTCGCCAAGATTTCGGGCGTGCGGTGTTCAGTGAGAGATTTCTGGTAGTTGATCAGGGCTTTGGGCAAGTCACCCATTTTCTCATAAGCAGATCCGATGCGGCCGAAGGCTTTGGCGATAATCTTGAAGTCGGCGAGCATGGCGCGGCCTTCCTCAACGGCCTTCTCACAAGCATCAATACACCCTTGGTAGTCACCCTTTTCAAATTTGGCCGCGCCGAGGTTGGTTAGGTAAGTTATATCCTTGTGCAAGTCCCAGGCTTTTCCGTAGTGTTCAATAGCTTCGTCGAATTTTCGCTTCTTGTAATTTTCTGTCCCAAGTTTCTTTTCGTTCTCGGCCTCTTCTTTCGCCTTCTTCGCCGCGATAGCCTCTTCGTCTTCGGGCTCGGGTTCGGGTTCGGGTTCGGGCGCCTTCTTCTCGGCTTGCGGTGGAGGATTGGACTGAGGCCGGGCATCCGGCATGGGAACGTCCTCTTCTTCTTCTGCGGCTCTCCGCGCATCAGAGGGGCCACCTTCCGGCGGCATACCCATCTGCATGTCGACACCCAGTAGTACACCCATGACCTCGAGGAATCTGGGGTCGGCGAGTTCCTGACCCATCTCTTGAGGGTTCTTTGCCAGTCGCTGCAACTTGGCCATGAATTGAGGGTCTGCAAGGTATTTCGATGTCTTTGGATTGCTTGCGAGCTTCTGGATGAGCTGAGGATCGTTGAACATGTTGCCCAAGCCACCCAAATCGGCACCGTCTGCACGGGCTTCCGCCTCAATGGCTCTCTCGACAGCCTCGAGGCCTTGCCGGGCTTGAGTGTTGGAAGGTTCGAGCTTCAAGGCCTCTTCGAAAGCATCCTTTGCACCGACCAGATCACCAAGACCGTGCTGCGCAGCTCCTTTTCGACCCCAGCCTTTTGCCCAGTCAGGTTTGAGTTCTGTCGTCTTGTTCGCATCGTCAAGGGCTTTCTGGTACTCTTTGAGAGAAGCATATGCACCGGAGCGGTTGGAGTAAAGGACATGGTTCGTGGGATCTAGTTCAATAGCTTGAGAGAACTTGTCACTGGGAACAAAGAGTCAGTCAACTATCAGGGTGCATGTCATGGGCTGAGCACTCACACGGCAGTTTTGAAGTCTTTGGCCGCAAAGGCCTTGTTGCCCTCGGCCTTCAGAGCGTCGGCCATGGATCGGATGGAATTAAGTAGTCAAAGTAAAGCAAGTTGAAAGGACACCGGTGGTTCAGGTAGGGTAGGAGGATGAGACACAGGTGTTGCAGAGTAAGAACTTCTCGTTGTACACACGATCGACTGAGCCTGAAAATGAGTTGGAGAAATCGACAGCCTGATGTACTTCTTGGTTCGTCAAATGCGGGCAGCGAACAGAATTGCTAGAAAATTCGGTGCACGGGCCACTACGGAGAAGCACTGCAGGGACCTCAGGTGAGGTTTCCAGAAGGCTAGAAGCCTAAAGTGCCTAGAGCGCAATCATCGCCGCCCGCACCGGCACCTGGTGGCAGCCTCGCCTTGCCTGGAGCAAATCATTTCGCAGCCTGATTGAATACGACGACCCCCGCTATTCCGCATCCTCCTGCGCCAAAATTTCCAGAATAATAGATTGTTCACACAACTCCATCCTCAGTTCCACTTTTTGACACACTCACATTCACGTACCTGCAAAATTTCTCCTAGTATGTCGCGGTGACATCCAATTTGTTCTCGTCCTCCTTCTTACTCACTCTCTTGGTCAGCGGCCTCTTTGCTTGACCCATCATGTACTCAGATCTCTACCCCCATCGGTAGCACATCTCCCTCCAAGCCATTGCTTCAAAATGGCGCCTCCAAAGACAGTCCCCGCCCCCGATCCCGGTCCTTCGACGGTCGGCCCTGTGCGAGATCGCACTGCTGAGGCTCTTCATGCTTGGTGCTGTCAAAACTACGAATACGGCTATGTCTTCTCCCAAACCGAACTGTTGGGTGCCGGAGTCATCCCGAATCAAGATCTTCAAATCCTCCTCTCCACCGTCGAATACCTCACGAAAAACTCGCTCTTCCGTGTGCATGATAGGGTGGGCGGTGGTATAGGCTGGGAGTTGGTAGACCCAGATGTAGCAAAAGAGTAATACTACACCAATTTGCAGTGTCTGCTCAGGTCCTGACTTTTACAGCTACGCCAACCTCAGTCGCAATGAGCAAATCGTATTGCAGGTCATCGAAGGCGCGAAGTCGTCCGGGATGTGGACAAAACAGATCCAGTCCAAAACCGCCCTCCATGGGAACATCCTGGAAAAAGTCTACAGGGTCCTTGAGGGAAGAGGTCTGGTCAAGCAGATGAAAAGTGTCAGTCACCCATCGCGGAAGATGTACATCTTGGCCGGCTTGACGCCTTCTGAGGATGCAACGGGTGGCTCTTGGTTCTCCGAAGGACGACTTGATATCGGACTGATCGATACCATCTCCACCGTTATCGAGCATTTTGTTTCCACTCAAAGCTGGCAAGAAGTCAAGCCCGATGAAATGGAAGAACACCCAGGTTCAAAACGCAAACGACCCAGTAGTGGTTTTGAAGAGCACGGAGACGATAGAGGCAAATTGGTCAAGACTAACGAGGGGCAGAATAATAAAACCAGGACTTCCAAGCACCAAGCGGCTCCTCAGAAAACGTACAGGCCCTTCGGTCTGGGCCACAAGTCCTATCCCACCCTTGAAGATATCACGAGGCATATCCTCAATATCAAAGTTACAGGTTCTATGCTACCTCAAAATGCCATTGCACAATTGCTTCAGGTCATGGTCTATGATGATCGCCTCTTCAAGCTCCATCGGCCTCCCCATGGCAGCGAGCTTCCCGACGACCATATTACCAACACTGTTACCATGTACCGCTGCTTCAAAACTCCGCAGGACATTACCGAACGACTCCAACTTGACAAGCGCAAAGTGAGCCACCACGACGACGTCAGAAAAGCCGCGTATCGGCAAGAGGAGCTGGAGAGATTAGGCGCAGGAGGGACGAGCGAAGTGCCTTGTTTAAGGTGTCCTTCGTTTGACATCTGTGGTGACGGTGGCCCCGTGAATGTGATCACTTGCAAGTATTTCGATGAGTGGTATGACCGTCTTGAAGAAGCAGACAAGTGGAAACCGGAGAAGGAACGGGGAAAAGAGATGACCAAGGAGCGGGACAAGGCCAAGGGAAAAGATAAAGAGCGTGCAACGGTCAACGGCGATCGAGGGCCCCGTGTCGACATCGAGCTGGAATCGGAGCCTTCATAGCACAAAGCTCCATTCTCGTGTCGTGTCGAGCTCCCGCGTCCACCCCTCTGCCTCTCCGCGACCGACAAAGAGGAGCTACCAGTGTTTCGATGGCCCCTGCTGCTCAGATACCCATGCCCCTTTTTTTTTGACTTTCGCCAAATGAGATGGCGCAATCAAACGGACCAAACAACAGAAAAGGAACGATGGAATCATATGACAGCGTGTTCATATTCTCTTGAGAGAGCGAGAGCGTTCCATAGTAATAAAAACAATCAAGTCCCACACTACAGTATCTATCGACTGACTGCGGTCGGCAGAAGTGTTCCGAACATTGCGCTTTGTAACCTGTTCTCGTACTTGTACATCAAAGCATCTCTCTGTCTTTCCCTTTCTCTTTCTCTCTTTCCATTGACCTAGCCAGTGCCTATGTATTCTGTTCTTGATATCCGGTCCGCGCCGGTCTTGCTTGCGGAGGAATTAAAATTCCCGTGAGACCACGCAAAGATGCATTCGGTCGGTCGGTCGGTCGGTCGGTCGGTAGATGATAGAGAGTGGTAGGTAGGTGCCTTTGTCAATAGAGCTTGGTGGAGGGGTATCTTGTGCATCGATAAATCGCATCTTGTCGAGAAAAACAAGATGGGTGGAAGGTGGAAGGTGGTAGGTGGTGGTACATAGTATGTACAGTACATGCGAAAACAAAAATCCTCGGTCCCAGACTGGGGGGTATCAAACACCGGTTTCTCCTCAATGTTCTCGGTACCTCGTTGTTGTAAGCGAACAAGCTTGGTAGCTGGTAGCGCCAGCTGACTCTGATGATCCTGTCAAACTCATCGTGTCCATCGGCGTATCGTGTACGAGGCATTTTCTTCTTATCAGCTGGGACCGTCGCCCAGCCTCACGCTTGCTGCACCACTCGCCAGCGCCGAGCTGCCGCCTGTTCTCTCCAGCTCTCTCCTCCTGCTTGCTTTTGCCACAAGGCCACCAGCTCCGTCTCTCTCTTCCGCCTTTTCCTCCTTGTCTAGTCGCTTGGCCTTCAATTCCTCCTCGACTTCATCCCTCCAACCCTGAATGTCTTGCGGTATGTGTTTCATCTGGACGCTCGGGGCGCCGCGGATCTCTGTCAGTTGGTCCTTCACGTGTCGTATGATCTTTTCCACGTCCTGCCTTGAGACCTGGTTCTCTTTTTTCCAGCCGGCGAGATTGGGGAACAGAGTGAAGCCTTCTTTCCGAAAGGCTTCACGGTACGGCAAGAACTCTGGTAGTTGCGGATTGAGCGTGTGATCTGCACCAATGCAGATGGATGTCTCATGTGCCCATGCCCGTGCGACGTTTCGCGGGGTATAACCGCCACCACCCACGACTAATAAAGGAATCTGAAAGGATTTGACAAACGAAACGCACCTGCCGTGGCCGCTAATGTTGAGGTTGAAACACCCCAGGCGATCATGACCGAGAGAGTCGGCGCCGCACTGGAGTACGATGGCCGAGGGGCGGTAGGTCTTGATGGTGGGTTCGACAACACTGCGGAAGAGGTAGTCGTAGGTATCGTCGTCAATGCCATCCTTGAGTGGAACATTGATGGTATAATTTTTTCCTGGATTGTCTGGGTGTATCGGTCCTGTGGACTCCAGTGGACCGGTTCCAGGGAAAAACGTATCCTTGTCGTATTTGTGGAAGGACATACACATGACACGGTCAGTGGACCAGAATGCTTGTTCTACACCATCCCCGTGATGTACGTCGATATCGATGTACAGGACACGCGGATGGTAACGGAGCAGTTGAAGAATGGCGAGTACAATGTCGTTGACGTAGCAGAATCCGCTGGCCTCGGCCTTTTTGGCATGATGCAAGCCGCCAGACCAGTTGATGGCGATATCGGATTGTTTGTGACAAAGTTTGCGCGCAGCGTCGATGGATGCGCCTGCGTAGGTCGAGCAAAATTCAAAGACGCCATCGAAAATAGGACAATCGTCTCCGACACCAAAAACGGCGGAAGAGTGGCCTTGTGGTCCGGTTGAAAGTTCAGGGTACAATATGTAGATATTGTTAGGGGTGGCGACCTTGAGGAAATCGACATAGTCTTCCCTATGGAATGCTCTGATCTCTTGTTCGGTGGCTGGACGTGAGGTAAAACAGTCCATGGCCGTGTGCATGCCGTAAGACAGTACAAGGGATTTTGTTAGTGTTAGACGCCAGGGCTTCATAGGATGGGTTTGGCCAAAGTGATGATTCTCCACGGCAGGGTTATGATGCCATGAGACGTTGTACCCTTTTGGGCGGGTGATGCCGTTGGCTTCTACCTCGCGTTGGATTTTGGCGGAGAGAGTAAAGGTGGGAGTGTGGTTGGTGGACGAGGGGTCTTGATATTCCTCCACGATAGCCATGGTGTAAGGGTTGTTGGAGAAAGCGTGATGTAGAAGTGTTATAGAAAGATAAAGGACGGTGATCCGGTTTTTCTCAAGCTCATGACGCGATCAGCAGAATTTGATGATCTCTGCGCCCATGGGATACTGTCTTAACTCATCGCCAGACTTTATGCCAGGAAACTGAGGAGCGCGATTATCCTTCTTTGATGGTTGGAATCTCCGGTCTGAGGCGAGTCGACTTATGAGCGCGCGAGTTCCGAGGACGATTTAAGGATAGAAGCCAGTGAAAGGAGCATGAAGAGGCTCAACTGGAGGCAAGGCTCAGAGAGAATCGAGAATCGAGTCGAAGTTCCAGAATCTCAAAGACTTTGACGTTGCGCGCAACTTGCGCCACTGCACACTAACCCATAACAAGTTTAGCCTTGTATCTTTCTTAGTCATCGAATTCAAACTCTGGTTGTCGTCTGCCTCGCTGTCCTTCTAAATGTTTGACCACACTATCTGGTTTCATTCATCACTCATGTGACAATCACGTCGGATATCATCATAATGACTGCTAGATGGACAACTTCAGAATCTCTGAATGAATGAGAGGCAATAAAATCGAGGTCTGGCCATAATTGTGGCTCATCCCTGCCCTGTTCTCCGCCGAGAAACCGCGGAGCCACAACACGTTCACCAGAACCTGAGATCCTCAACTTCCACCCATCCACTCCTTCCAAACCCTATCAAAGTTGTCACAGATGGCATCAAACGAGGATTGCGCGTCGGTGTTAGAGCAATTCATTCACGATGCGGCGAACTTACCAGCCGAGATTACCCACATGATGGAGGAGATTCAGGCCAAGGACAAAGACCTGCAGAAATGTTTGTCCATCATCAATCAAAAGGACACCAACATCCAAAAACATCTCAGACTTAACGGAGTACTCGCTCCACATCCCAAGGAGAACGAGTATGTTGATCTAGTCAAAAAGAATTACGAGCTGTGCCATGGACTGCAGGGACAGAAAGTCGCCCTGAGTGAAAAAGCATGCACCCTGTTGGAGCGGCAGGTCAAGAAACTGGATATGAAGATTCGAGAATTGCAGAGTGATGGCCAACTAATCGACGGCCCGCCCTTACCAAGTGTTTTCAACCGCAAGGCTGAGACACAAAAGACCTTTATTGACCTACCCACCAATTTACCTCTACAGAACGCCTCGATTAATGCTCTCAACACAAACGCACATAAGATCAACGCACAGATCTCTGCGACCATGCAGCAGGCCCAAGCTAGACAATTGCCGCAAATTACGACTGGAAGCACACCTGTCCAACGGAGCTCTGCACCAGCCACACCTGCTTCGGCCGTTCAACAACAGCGTCAACGAGAGCGAGAACACTCCCAAGGTGCCGAGAACAAGCGACGGAAATTGGGAGGCCCACTTCCAGGCACGACCCTTCCTGCCCAGCCGTCCGGTCTTCGACAATCCTCCCTTGGCCCAGGCACTCCAAAAGCAGGGACACCTACAGGCACAGGTACAAGCCGAGCCGGGAGTATGCCTCGATCCGTAGGCGCACAAGTATCAGCTGGACCTCCCAAGAAGTCAGGCCTCTCCAAGAAAGTCATCTCACATCAGCAAGTCAACAAGCTCAAGCAAAAAGGCTCAACTAAGGGAAGGCTATCTGCTGGGCGCAAAAAGGGGCAATCGCCGTCAGTGCGGGGAGGACGTGGCGGCACGGCAGCCTCGGAAGATGCAGACTCTGTACTATCATCCGCAGATGCCTCCGAAACCGATGCCTCTCAATCAAGGGGAAGGCGAGGAAATAAGAAGCAACAACAAACTGCATCAGAAGAGCCCGACGGTGACATGGGCGAGGATGAAGAAATGGAAGATGAAGAAGGAGAAGACGACAAGCGCTACTGCCTCTGCAACCAGCGCAGTTATGGGGAAATGGTGGCTTGTGAGAATGACGAGTGTCCCTTCCAGTGGTTTCACACGGGCTGCTTGAACATGAAGAAAGTTCCAGATGAGGACGAAGACTGGTACTGTCCGACGTGCAGGGAAAAGCCAGAGATAATTGAAAAGGTCAAGATCAAGAAGAAAGCTGGCAGGAAATAGGTGAAACCTCGATATCTTGGAATATTGTAATTCTCAGAAATCAGGCACTCCGGCTCCGTTGGTGTCATACATAATGATACGATGCTTTCCATATGACCTACACCCTCTGCCGCGTCACAGAAGATAGCTTGTTGTGCTCTGTACAGTCTGTCATTGTTTAGGAGACGATTGGATCCAATGCCCGCCTTCGATCTTGCGTCCCTAGCGAGCAGCAAAAAATGCGATTGGTTGCACAGTGAGCAGTTCTGATGGCCGTGCAACCACAAGATCGCAAGACCCTCTTGCGCAATTAGTGTTCACCTACGAGCACTCCGAGATACTCGTAGGTCCACAGAAGCATATCTCCCGATGCCATCAATCGGCAAATAGTCCTGGTCCTGCTGAAGAACGAGCTAGCTCCAACGCCGTCCATCACTGGGGGCACAAATTTCCTTCTTTTTCCTCTAGTTTTCCCACACGTGGGATTGTAAAGCCCGAAAGGACGGGACTCGAATTGCTGGGGCAGTCCAAGCTGGGCGACTCGTATCTTCGCAAGGGGATGGCGGAAAGGGGGGTGGTTTCGATCGGGAGGTCAGCGAATGAGAAGAAATCAGGTTGGCAGGGTGGCAGGGAGGCAGGGTTTATCTGTGGCGATGGCGGTGATTCCAGCGATCCCAGCTTGCTTGGTGCCCGTCAAAACTCGGCTGGGTAGGCGAAACAGGGCAGAAGAGGGCACGTTGGAGAACCGTAGGTGGGTCTCACCAGCCTGCGGTGATTCCGGTGAGTCTAGTAGGCGTCACTGGGGCGCCCCTAAACGAAGCCAAGCTGCCCGAAGCTGCACTGCCAGTGGCTCATTAGGCTGCTTGCGCACGCCTGCGCTTCCCTGCAAGCTGAAATTCACTTTTAAGGTTTAACCTGGACCTCTCCGCATCTCCGTCACTCATCACCAGCCGACCGCCGTGTCGAGCAAGGGAACAGAGAGAAGCATTGGCCGAGCAGCTGTCCTCGCAGGCTCACCACATCCATTTCTATTTCACCTCTCTATTTCCCCTGTCGTAGAGGTCGCCAGTAGCACAGGTGGCTTGACGTCTTGTCCTGCCTACTTATTCTCCGTCTTCCATCTCCCTTTCTGTTTCCCTCCGCATGCTCTCCGAAATTTAGAGCAGCTCGGACCGGGGGTCGGTTGATCGTCCTCGCCCAATCATCATGAGCTCCGAGAGAGAGAAGAACGAGCTCAAGTCTCAAGGCGCCGTCGAGGCTGCTCGTGACCCCAACAGCTCTGTCACCGGCGATGATGCAGAACGGGTCATCTTAGAAGAGAGCAAAAAAGCTGGCTCTACTGCTCTACATTTCGATCCTAACGCGTCGCCAGAGGAAAAGGCCGCGCAAGCCAGATCGGTGAGATTCTCTTTCCCCAACTGGCGGTAAAACAATATCTCTGACCTGCATCACAGCGGCAGAACGATACTCGTCGCCCACCCAAGGGAATCGGAGTAGTGACGGATCTTGTGAGTAATATTATTCTCAACTCTTCCCCCCTCTCTCTCCACCTTTCATTGACAAATGTGGCAGGATGATGGAAAGCCCTCTCAGTACAATCTGCCTCCGCCCGAACCCATTTCCGTCGCTGCAAAAGTAGAACCCCCTACGGCCCAGGATGGCGCGACAAACGGAGTGGTCCCAGAAGATGGACAAGACTGGACCCAGGTCGGGTGGGCTCCACGCTTCGGCTCTGGTGAGACGGATGAAGAGAAAGAAGAAGGCAACCTATTAGACCATCAAACAGCCCTCGAGGGGAGGTTGGATGAGAAGTTCTTTGGTGGTTCGTATACCTTTGCTTTCAATATACATGGCCACGTCTCTAAGGGTTCCAGATTGGTATCACAATACTGCTGTCATCATCTTTGCCTGCATCGCATCATGGCTCATTGCTACCCTCGGCGGTGGCCTGGCATGGGTCATCATCATCATGGCCACATGCGGCACCTACTACAGAACCTCCATCCGACGCGTGAGACGAAACTTCAGAGACGATATCACACGGGAACTAGCCAAAGCACGTTTGGAAACCGACACCGAAAGTCTTGAATGGATGAACAGCTTCCTGGTCAAGTTCTGGCCCATCTATGCCCCACAGCTTGCCAAAGCCATCATCATGTCCGTCGACCAAGTTCTGAGTACCTCGACGCCGGCATTTCTCGACAGCATGAGACTCGAAACCTTTATCTTGGGTACCAAGCCACCCCGCATCGAGCATGTCAAGACCTACCCCAAGGCTGAGGACGACATTGTCCTAATGGATTGGAAGTTCAGCTTCACTCCAACTGACACGATGGATATGACTGCCCGCCAGCTCAAGACAAAGATCAACCCGAAAGTCGTCCTCGAAATCCGGATTGGTAAAGGCGTAGTCAGCAAGACAATGAAGGTCATCGTCGAGGACTTTGAGTTCTCGGGGCTGATGCGGGTCAAAATGAAGCTGCAAATCCCATACCCACATATCGATCGCGTTGACATCTGTTTCCTCGGTCGACCTACAATTGACTACGTCTGCAAGCCTCTAGGTGGAGAAACATTCGGCTTCGATATCAATTTTATCCCTGGGTTGGAGAACTTTATTAAGGAGCAGATCCATGGCAATCTTGCCCCGATGATGTACGAGCCGAATGTCTTCCCCATCGAGGTGGCCAAACTGCTGTCGGGCAACCCCATCGATTTAGCCATTGGCGTTGTTGCCGTGACGCTCCACAATGCCAACGGTTTGAAGAACCCGGATAAGTTCTCTGGTACACCAGATCCCTATGTGGTTGTCTCGTTGAACAGCGCCAAAGAACTTGCACGTACCAAAACGATTCACGAAGACCACAACCCGCGCTGGAACGAGACCTTGTATATCATCATCACGAATTTGACGGACTCCTTGACGCTGCAGGTCTACGATTACAACGATGTGCGCAAGGACAAACACCTCGGTACCGCAACTTTCACGCTCGACAGGTTGGAGGAGGCACCTGAGCATGAAAGTTTGACTCTAGATGTACTCGCCAATGGGAAGCACCGTGGAGTGGTCAATTGTGACATTCGTTTCTTCCCAGTTTTGGAACCGGAGAAGCTCCAGACTGGCGAGATTTTACCACCCCCAGAGTCAAATACGGGCATTGCAAGAATCACCATCGAGCAGGCCAAGGATCTTGATGGAAGCAAGAGCCTCGTCGGCGCTTTAGATCCATATGCCGTCCTCCTCCTGAATGGAAAGGAGATTCATATCACCAACAAGCTCAAGCATACCAACAACCCTGTGTTCTCGAACAATACGAAGTCAGTTCTCATCACGGATCGTAAGAAAGCGAGGGTCGGACTGGTCATCAAAGACAACCGCGACCTTGTCACTGATCCCATTCTAGGCACCTTTCAAATCAGACTGGACGATATGCTCAAACTTGTGGACAAAGGTCAGGAGTGGTTCAATCTGCACGGTACGACGACCGGCAAGGCCAAGTTGATGCTGGACTGGAAACCAGTAGCACTGAGGGGTGTCACCAGATCTGGCGGCTACATCACGCCAGTTGGTGTGATGCGCATCCACGTCCAGAGCGCGAAGAACCTGCGAAACTACGAGACAATGGGCAAATCCGACCCTTATGCTAGAGTTTTACTGTCAAGTATTCCCAAGGGCCGGACAGTAACGTTCCAGAACGAACTCAATCCTACTTGGGATGAGGTTATATATGTACCTGTGCACACACCTACTGAGCGACTGATCCTTGAGGTGATGGACGAAGAAAAGCTGGGAAAAGACCGATCTCTTGGCCTGGTCCAAATTGCCGCTTCAGATTACATGAAAGAGGCCGAAGAAGGCGGGTATGAAGTCCATGATACCAGGACCGTGCTGTCAGAGGGTTTGCGAATGGGAGGTGCGGGCGAGGCGAAGGGCACGATTAACTACACCGTTTCATTCTTCCCGACCCTGAATGTGGTGGATCCAGAAGAGGAAGAGGAAGAGCAAAAAGCCCAAGCAGCACTCGAAGGGCACGAAACTCCAACCGCCACGCCGTCGCACAGCAAGAAATCATCCGTTGATGTCAAGGCTTCGACCGAGATAGTAAGGCCGAGCGTGGATGGCCGGAAGAGCTTGGATACGGCTGGCCGGCTTGGTGCTCTCGTGAATGGAGCCGCGTCTATCAACGGCTCCGTCTCTTCCGTCAAACGACAGCCACCAAAAATCAGGATCAACCCAGAAGATATCCACAAATACGGTAAGTCCCATGCTACTAAGAAGTGGTCGCCGCTAATCATCAATAGAATCGGGTCTAATTGTTTTCAACCTGGTCGAAGGTCACTTTGCACAAACTGACGTTAAACTCGAGGTCGTGATGGACGACCATGCCTTCCCGGCTTACACGTCCTCAAAGATTCGAGAGAAAGACCACCACTTCGGTGAGACTGGTGATGCCATGGTTCGTGAAATCGAGATGTCTCGAATCACACTCCGGTTGACCGAAAAGGTTGACCACACTGGCAAGGGAGACGACAATGACATCGTGGCTAAGCTGACGGGCCCTACTCTCCCTACGTTACAACAGTGCTTGTATAAGCCCACAGAGCTTACAATGAGGAGCAACAACGGAGGTCTCAACAAAGTGGTGGTCAGTCTCAAATATCTACCCGTGAAGATGCAGCTTGATCCCAGCGAGAGCATCAACAACATGGGCACCCTGCGCGTCGACGTGATGGATGCGGCCGATCTTCCGTCTGCCGATCGCAATGGGTACAGTGATCCATACTGCAAGTTCAGGTTGAACGGGAAAGAAGTGTACAAAACCAAGATCCAGAAGAAGACACTCCACCCTGCTTGGAACGAATTCTTCGAGGTGCAGATTCCATCCCGCACAGCAGCTGACTTCAAGGTCGACGTTATGGATTGGGATTTCGGCGACAAAGCCGACCATTTGGGTTCTGCGACGCTGAATCTACAAGTTCTGGAACCCTTCCAACCACAAGAGCTCCAGTACGCGCTGGACGGAAAGTCGGGGGTCCTTCGACTTAGGATGTTGTTCAAGCCCGACTACATTACCCGCACTCGGCAAGGGACATCTACCTTTTCAGGGACCTTCGCGCCAGCAGGAAAAGTAATTGGTGCACCTGTCAGAGGTGTCGGGAAAGTCGGCGGCGGCGTGGTGAAGGGGGCTTCTTTCATCAAGCACGGCTTGACGAGAGGGCGAGGCAACAAGGAAGAGGCATCGTCGAATACCAACGGCACGATGGAGACTTCGGATAGTGCCCTGTCGACACCGGCTAAAGCCTCCCCCATGGTAGATGGAAGTGCGACTCCTGTCACCCCAGCCACACCCTCCCCGATGATGCACTCCCGCACTAAGAGCACCCATTCAACCATGACGACTCAGAAAGGCGGCGAGACGGGAACAGCGAGTTTTATCATCGTCTCTGCCACCGGATACCCTCCCAAAGCTGATGTCCAGGTTCTGATCAAGATCATAGGGACCAGGGGAGCGAAAGAAGTGCACAAGACCAAGGCAATCAAATCGTCCTCGGGCACTGTGGAGTTTGATGTGAACCACGAAAACTTCAAGGTGCCGTGCTCGGCAGACACGCAGTTCCAACTACAAGTCAGAGATCACGACATGCTCCGATCCAGAGACCTCGGGGAGGCGATGTTCTTTGTATCTGACCAAGGCGCGGGATCCGATCAGATTGTCAAGGCTGGGTCAGGTACGGTCACAATCCGCAGCAGCTTCGCAACCAACAACGGAGTCGCCTCCGAAAGCCTCAGGCCAGTCACCAGTGGACGGGACAGCCCAGACTCGAAGCGAGAGGGACGACGAAGCTTCTTTGGGAGAAGGGATGTTAGCGGCAAACACGAGGGGTCCTGAACGAGATAAAGAAAATGGTTGGCACTGATTGTGAATATTCATGGTTTCAGCAATGCGGCGTTTGGGAGGAATGACGCCGGACGGCCGCCCAAAGAAGGTTCTTGACGACTACCTACCCGGTGAGTTCTCAGGGCCTTGTTCTCTCGCTAGATTATTGCGTGTACTTGATTCAGAGATACCAGATACTGTTTGTAATTGCGTGGGTTACATACAACCTGCAAAGACCTAGGCGAGCCTTTGATCGCAGGCTCAAGGAAAATAGTGCACAAAAGGGAATACTTCACAGAATACAATCTAGATTCAAGGTAATCGGTATACGTTGCAGCTGTTCTTTTGTAGGATATCTTTCGTAGGGTATTTTGTGCGTGAAAAGTGTTTGCAGAGGAACCCCGGTCGGTTGTCCTTTGGAGTAACAGTGATTGGCGGAAGATGCGCTGCCCTGAGACAAACTTATGGATTATAGTGGCAACCGAACCAAGCGTATACGAGGTAAGGAAAACCATACCCGAGAAGGTCAAACGCAAACACGAATCAAACAGGCACGCAGGTATACCCCCAGTGTAGAATGGTGAGATGTCAGCCTGATGTTTGAAAAAATTTTCCCTCACGATCCTCCTCATACTGTTTAGCTCTGATCGATCGGGATGTTTGAGGCGATGGGTGCTCTGCGAGGATGGATGACAGCGGCGAAACACGCAGATTTGGCGGTCCGATCTAGACCGAAGCGGAAAAAGATATGGGAGGTGTGGCGTAGGATGGGGGAAGCGTTTGAACTGTGGCGGACTCGGGAAGCAGTGAGGGGCAGACGTGGGCGTGGGCATGGGCGCCGATCAAAATGGTGGGATGATTGAGAGGAACGGGATCATGGCTGTCGAGGTTTTTGTCCGAAACATGGAGTGGAAAATAACGCTTCTCGATCGATCGATACTACCTTGACACCAAGCCGGTTGCCCAACAAAATATGGGGGTGGGTTGATGGATGGTGGTGAGGACGGGAGGATATATTTTGGGCAAAGGAGCGCAGGCACCGCAGGGAGGAGATGGATAGACAATTAATTGACGGTACAGAAGCCTCCACGTTGTCGTTGTCGTCGACCAGTTTCCCCCAATCAAGCAATTAGTCAATCACGAGAGGTGAGTTGCAAGTTACAACACCCTGACCGCCAGATGGGAAAAAGATGTGCTACACCCGCGCAGTCCTCAGGATGGAGCCCAATTGTTCCCACTTTTACCCATTGGGTTCCTCTTTGGTCCCTCTGGCTCCCCTTTGGCTTCCTCTGATTCCCTCTGGAGGCTTCCCTCCGGCTCGTTATCATTTGTTGCAGCTGTCGGTCAGGGACCAAACACTATGCACAACTACATCACCCCTTGTCATGGTTGTTTTTCTGCCATGCTCACCCATCCACAGCCCATCCCTCCCTCCATCCATCCATCCACACCAGATCCTCGCCCACAGCACATGCCGGTGATGAAATCGTTGGCTCTGAGGCGATAGTTCTGGTACCATTGGACCAGTCGACGCCAGAAGCTCTCGCTAAAGCTTGCTGTTTTCATTTTTCTTGGATTGTCTCATCCCACCTTGAGGTTTTGCATCACCGCTCCTACTTTTCTACAACTCACCTCTTTCACTTTCTCTTCACTTCACCCTCACATTCCACTCTACACCACAATCTCTGCAACACCCATCTGGACGAGTCTCGAGCCTCCAGCGAGTTGCTAATTCGTCTCCAGAACCCCTAATATCTCGGCCTTCCCAGACTGATCTGAGACTGTCTCCAGATCAAATCTCGCTCCTCCACTCCGTTTCATCTCCTAAGTGCACAGCGCAGCCATGGCCTCGAAAGCGATTCCATCTCATCTCCGTCCTCACGGTGCAGCCAACGGTTCCAACGGTCCTGCCCCAGCTGAGAAGAGACATCACGGCAAGACACAGTCTCATGTGGTAAGGAAAAAAACACATTCCTTGATTCCTTGCTGCTCCTCGTACCACATCACTCCCTGCCATCCACTATCCGAGATGCAAAATAGCATGACACGACGGCAAACTCCCTCCCCCTTCCCATGACGCACGGACCCGTTTTCCGCATACCCCGGAGTCCGTTCTGGATGCCTCGTCTGGAAATCAATACTACGAGGTCATGGTGTTGGCGATCGGTCCATGTTGAAATGAGGTGTCAAACACTGTTTTGTATTCGTCATCTCATGCTTCGCGCAATATCCCTCGAATCTACTGCTGGGGTTTATTGAAAAAGCTGCCTTGATCGGTTTCTTTGCTCTTGCTCTTTTTCCCTTTTTCGATCTCTACACCTTCCCTTGTTCAAAATGCCGCTACTGGAACCTCCTCCGCCAATCGAGTTGCGCACTTCTTCTCTTTCTCCCAACTCTATCCACCATCTACCAGACCCTCTGCTAATCAAGTCTCCCGCAATGCAGGCCTTTGAGAACACCTCCACCAATGTGGCTGCCAGCCAGATGCGCAATGCCCTCAACAGCCTCGCAGACACGGTCAAAGACCCGGCGGAAAAGAAGAGGTTCGAGGCGGAAATGGACAACTTTTTCTCCCTGTTCAGAAGATATCTCAATGACAGGGCCAAGGGCAACACCATCGACTGGGCCAAGATAAACCCTCCAAATCCAGACCAGGTGGTCGCCTATGACGATTTGCCCAACAGCGACGCAGTCGAGTTCTTGAACAAGCTCGCAGTGGTCAAGCTCAACGGTGGTCTAGGTACTTCGATGGGTTGCGTTGGTCCCAAATCTGTCATCGAGGTCAGAGATGGAATGTCGTTCCTTGATCTTTCCGTCCGCCAGATCGAGTACCTCAACCGCACCTACGACGTCAACGTTCCGTTTGTTTTGATGAACAGCTTCAACACCGATGAAGATACCGCTTCCATCATCAAAAAATACGAGGGCCACAATATTGATATCCTGACGTTCAATCAATCCCGTTATCCTCGTGTCCTCAAGGACTCCCTGCTTCCTGCGCCCCGATCGTACGATTCCCAGCTTTCCGACTGGTATCCTCCCGGACACGGCGACGTTTTCGAATCTCTCTACAACAGTGGCATCCTTGATCAGCTCTTGGATCGTGGCATTGAAATCATTTTCCTGTCCAACGCAGACAACCTTGGTGCCGTGGTGGATCTACGCATCTTGCAGCACATGGTTGAGACCAAAGCCGAGTACATCATGGAATTGACCGACAAGACCAAGGCTGATGTCAAGGGTGGTACCATTATCGACTACGAGGGCCGCGCGCGACTACTGGAAATTGCCCAAGTTCCGAAGCAATACGTCAATGAGTTCAAGTCGATTAAGAAGTTCAAGTACTTCAATACCAACAATATCTGGATGAATCTGCGAGCTATCAAGCGCGTGGTCGAGAACAACGAGTTGGAGATGGAGATCATTCCCAACGAAAAGTCGATCCCGGCGGACAAGAAAGGCGAGGCGGACATTTCTATTATCCAGCTCGAGACTGCTGTGGGTGCTGCCATCAAGCACTTCAAAAACTCCCACGGTGTCAATGTCCCCCGTCGACGATTCTTGCCTGTCAAGACTTGCTCAGATCTCATGCTGGTTAAGTCGAACTTGTACACCTTGTCACATGGTCAATTGATCATGGACCCCAACCGATTCGGCCCTGCACCGCTAATCAAGTTGGGCAGCGACTTCAAGAAGGTCGCGCAGTTCCAAAAGAGAATCAGCAGCATCCCCAACATTGTCGAATTGGATCATCTGACTGTCACTGGTGACGTGAACTTTGGCCGTGGAATTGTTCTGAAGGGTGAGTGTCTATCTCGTTTGCGGCCTTGCAGACATGCTAACTCGTTGTGACCACAGGTACCGTCATCATTGTGGCTACTGAGAACAGCACCATCGACATTCCCCCTGGATCAATCCTAGAGAACGTCGTGGTTCAGGGTTCTTTGAGACTGCTTGAGCACTAGTTTGAACGCGTGTGGGCGTGTGTTATCTACTGTGCAGATGTGGCAATGGCTTAGTACCTTTGATAGTGTGTACAGTGCCATACAAATTGTGGGATTGGATGGTGCGGGGAGAAGTTGTGATTCAAATGCTTAGACAAGAGATGATGTCATCCTCTTATTTCCCAAGATGGGAAGACGGAAAATGTGTGGAAAGCAGAAAGGGCATGGATTTGTCGGACGGCTTTTCTAGCTCTCATACTAATTAAAGGGGGTCATATGGCATTATCAATGGAGCGAGACTGTCTGTTGTGTAACCCCGGGTTCTAATCGATATTGTCGACAATGCATCACAAAAGCCCCAATCTTGCCCACCTCCCGAGTAAACAGTGTGATGTCACAGCGTTAGCTCTTGGCATGTTACATAAGTCCCACACAGCTAGCCGGATAAACTTTACCGGAACTATTTATTCCGGTGGTTAGTCATTTCTCCGGCCGGGCGGGACCACCAGGGCGGCACTTTGATATTCCTGGGCCGGAGGCTGAGGCTCAACCTTGTAGGTGCGATTCATGGATATCTACTATATTATCTACCGGGGACGACGTTCGTAGTCGATCTCTCCACAGGTTCTTTCTTTTTTTCTCTTTCTTGTTGATCCCGTTTCCGACGCTGTTATCGAGTTACTCTATCCTATCTTCCTAGGAGGGGCAGGCTGAGCGGCTAGCCATAGCCGATATTGAACGTTAAGGGGCAGAGGAAACGGAGAAGGAGAAGGAGGAGCAGGAAAGACGACGAAAGACGAGAACAAAAAGAAGAAAAATCCACAGGGCGCACGAAGGGGGGAGATAGGAGAGTGAGTTCGTGGGAGTCATCCCAATTCCACTCACTGGTCGTATTGAGTCTCGGGAAGAAGGAGGAGGCGGAGGATCAGTTGGCAAACGAAAAGCCGCCGCCGCCACAAAACTTACTTCTCCTCGCCAAAGAAACCTGTCCAAAAATTAGAACAGAAAAAGAGGACTGATTGCAGTCCAAAGCAACAGCCAAAGCGAAGGAAAAACAAAGAAAGGGAACCACGTAGAGGACATAATGGCCTCGACCACATCCACCAACACCAACACAACCGGCACAGCAAGTAAGACCACGACCGGGACATTCACACTCCTCCTCTTCGCGTCCGCGAGCACCTTTGCCGGCGGGGTCGAGACACTCCGGCTCCCCGCGCCGACGACGCTGCGCGGGGTCTTTGACGCCCTCGAGGCGCAATTCCCGGGCATGCGCGACGCGGTGCTCCGCAGCGCGGCCGTGACGGTGAATCTCGAGTATATTGACGTTGATCCTGACATCGACGCTAACGCTAACGCCGCCGCTACCGCTGCCGGGCAAAAGCGAGATGGGGACGTCGGGGGCGATGCGACCGACAAGGGTGACGGGCTGGATATGGTGATCAACGCGGGCGACGAGGTCGGAATCATCCCGCCGGTGAGTAGTGGGTAGGTACTACCTACGTACGGTCCTACCTACAGGATGTATGGTACGTGGGATTATAGATAACCTGGTCACCCTGGTGAAAAGGGGAAAGGGTCGAATGTCACAGGGAGTATGGGTCAGGAGGAGTATTGGAGGGAGGAATCAATTTGATAGAGACCGTGAGATGAAGTGGGAAAATACTCATTGATTCGTTATCGTGTACCAACTCACAATGTCCCAAGCACATATTACTCCGCCTTCAGAGCTCTTATTCAAGTCTCATGGCTTACACATTCGTTAGTCGATGATAATAATGGTGTCTCCAGTTTCGTCGTCAGCATCAAAGCCTCCTCCCTGAGAGTCGGGGTTTTCTTCTTCGATTTCTTCTTCGAATTCTCCTGCTTCTTCGCTTGAGTAGCCTGACTCGATATCTGGCTGATCTGTTCGTAAAAGCTTGATATCTGGGCGGTTTATTCGGGCACGCTCGATCTCGGATTCAAGACAGTTCCAGCACACGACGTTGTTGTTTTTTTTTAGTACGTGTACTCTGGACCTCCCAACGGTCTGCTCCGCGATGCAGGCCGCAGCCAAACGAGCCGACCAATTCTCGTGTGCTCGGACTATGCCAACACCATCTGGAGGATCCAAGAGCTCCTCAAAATTGTCGATACTAATGCATTCGGTCTTCGAGTTCGCCTGTCTGGACCCACATAAGCACTCGCCACTTACGCAGCTATCTTCGATTTCTTCAAGAGCTGCGAGGACATTGATATCTCCGTACCACCGACCTCTGTCGTGTACTGACACAACCGCCTAGACCTGGAAGATATCCTGGTCAATGTTGCCGACCTTGCTGGAGGAGAGAACAACGGGTACTCTCCATTCAGTCAGCGAGAGGTGTAAAGAGGTGGCGCCAAAGTTATCTTCCCGTCTGTAATCGTACGGGGCATGTTCCACGGCTCGAAAGTCTCTTGTCTTCTCTTTCACCATCACTGTTTCTGGGCTGATGAGGATAGACACTCCAGAGCGGCCGAGGTTGCCGGCTATCCTCCGAATAGCACAGTCCGGTTGCTTTTGTGATGGGTCCGAGAGGAGCGATTCTGCAACGAAAATGGAGTTGCCAGCCGCTACAGCCAAGGCACGATTAAACAGGGACCTGTCAATCTGAATGCCCCCCATTTCCATCATACAAACGCATGCAAGCGCATCTCGCCTTGAGACCCAATCCAGATTGAAATCACCAAGACGATCTTCTAGGACACAGAAACGACTTTCCGCGACTTTGATAGGGATCGTTGCACAGGGGAAGCGTGCATAGATTCTTAACAAGTACGCCAAGCAGAAGAGGGAATTGTGGGTGGTCATTGCGAGTGGTCCTCGTGCCAGAGGCTGGTGGGAATATCTGGTTCTTTCCAGCGAGTAGGGGCCTGAGAAATTAGTTCTAGAACGGAGATTTAGCCTTTATGGGGGTTGGACACTCACTGGCCCTGAGCAGACTGGTTAAATATCGGACGAGTCTGCCTTCGGAAAACTGCTTGAGTTGTGCGCGGCGCAGCGCCTCTTCAGCCTTCAGAGCTGCCTCGTTTGCACTTCGGATGGAAGAGAATGTCTCCAAATGGCGCTCATAAAGCGAAGCACTCTCATAAATGGTAAAGAGACCGATTTCTCGCTGCCCGACACTAGCGCTCCACACTGGGCAGAACAACCAAAGGCCCACCTCAGTTTTCTGCGAAGTCCCTAAAAGCTCGGGAACCGGACGCTCCAGGTCCTGATCCAAGTGAGTATGTCTCTGGCTTTTCCCTGGGACCTTGCTATATAACCGCTGTGATTTTTGGGAGCCTACTCTCTTTAGAGGCTTGACTCCTTGAAACCCGGCATCGGATATGAAAGGGGGAAGACTCCGCAGATAGAATGAGGATGGCAACACTCTCCTTGCAGCACAGTCACCTCCGCTGAGAGGCAGGTATTCGTCTCGGTCGATGACTCTAACAATTTCGACAAACGATGCTTGCCGGTGGTTCAATTCTTGCTGGAATCTTTCCTCGACGTAGGGATTGTATGTCACAACCCACCGTACGTGAACATTCTGTGGCCGCTGGCCATCAGCTACAGAATCTTGCTGAAACGACAAATTTGTAGGAGTGGCGGTAGCTAGAACAAGTACCTCGGTGTCTGCGATCTCCTCGAAATATTGAATGACGGAAAATGTCAAAATGTTGGTGCTTTCTGCTACCGATTGGACATGACGAAGGTATTCCTCCGAATAAGAAGAAGAAGGCATTGCCAGACCATTTGCAACGTGTGGATTGCATAACCCGAAAAATGGACTGTTTCCCCGTACCGAAGAGTTTCCAAGGAGATTTTTTCCGCGTCTGCGACCATAACGAACTAGCTTCTCAAAGTCTGCAGATTCATCCTCGGACTTCTCTACCAGGAGCCTTGATGCCTTCATCAGGGGCTTTAGGTACTGGAAATTCACCACCTTCTTCTTGGATAGATCGTCGCCATGATACTGCTCTATCAGACGATCAAGGGAACAAAACCATGAGGCAACATCAACCATCATATCGCAAGGCAGATTCCAGTGGAAAAGTAAGGATCCGAATGCGATAAGGCACAGCTCGTCCATCGTGATCCGATAGTTGTCATGATCCGTCTGAAGGCTGACAGGTTCTCCATAGTATCTGAGATGAGAAAGTGTCAGTGACCATTGAAACCCTGGAGAAACGCCGTCATCGTCTTTGAGCGATAAGCCCACGGTAATTGCGACAGAGGCTGGGAATAATGTATCCTGAAAGACCACTTTTTTCGTCTCGGACGAGAGGACGATGAGATCAGGATACAAGTGCCATGCCGACAAAGCCAGCAAGACAGAGCTGTCGGTCGCATTCTGTGGGTTCCCGTCCAGAAGAGCTTCGAAGCCATTAATTGCCCCTTCCCAGGCATTGATGATTTTGGCATACGTATCTTTGCCAGCGCTTACGGGCAGAGTGGTCAGGTTGTCCAAGATCAGCCTGAGTTGCTTCAATTTCTTGATCATCACTTGGTCAGCTGTGATCAACCAAGCACGGACACTTGCATCAAAAGTGGCCAGATCCTCGCGCAAGATCCTTTGGTGAGCTGCAATGACTGTCTCGTTCATGACGAACCCTGTTGATTCGGCTGTGGCAAGCACTTCCTTTTGGCGGATTGCCACTATTTCTACCCAGAGTGCGACACTCAATTTTGGATCGTCAAATTTTCTTGCCAACAGGCATGCTAACAGCAACACCGCGAGGGATGCAGAGCCAGATGTGTAGCAGCTGCCCAGATGGAAGTGGCATCCGCCCCGACCGAGTCTTTGAACGGTCCATCTTGAGACGTACCCGCGGGATTAGCACCGGGGGTCTTGATGATCTCGGAGACTCTTTGGCCGAAAGCACGGAGAAGCTTTGGGGCATTGGGAGCAACGTGGGAGAATAATGCTCCTAGTAAACGAGCGGTCTGATGGTGAGAACCCAGCTCAGCCGTCCGTCGTCGCTGCAGCGATAAGGCAGAGCCAAGAGGTTGAAATTCGATGGGCGCCTCAAGCTTGACGAGGGAAAACCCCAAGTTCAGGTTGGCAAGGGAAAAGGAGGTCTCATTGGTCCCAGACAGCACAGCATTTGTCACTTTTCCAAATATCTGAGACATTCCGACTGGCTACGGAGAAGAAGCCTGGTCGTCGACGTGGATTGTGGAAAAGACAGACTTCTTGATATTTCTAACAGATGAGAAGACGTGGTTTGAGGCTGGACTGGAGTTGATCAGGCAGCAAGCAGCTAATGCGAACCAGGTGCGCTGTACGCGCCTCATTGTCTGTGAGGGCGAATCAGGGCTGCAGAACGGTTCGCGATGGCACTGCGGCTGACCAAGGGACAACATCCACAGCCTGATTGCTCGACAGAAATCCATGGCAGACTGGGTTGTGGCGTGATTGATAGAGTTGTGAGGACAGGGTGGGAGTGCAACAAGCAAGTCGTGAGAAGAAGAGTGAAAAGAGCATTAAATGACTGGTAGGCACCCAACGCAGCCACACGTGACTGCGCCCTCGATTCCAACCATGCTGGAGTGGCAGGGGCGAACGGGAAAAAATGAAACAGGCAATGGGGTTGAAGGAGCAAAATACACAGCCATTCAAACGTGACAAAGCGCTGATGTTGACACCGGATCATGGAATCAGCAGAAAGCCAACGACGCTAACAACCCCTCGGAACGGTGAGCGCCCTCATTAACTGCGCCTCACTGCGGAGTATGAGTAGGGACGATAGACACGACGCAGGTACACGAGACCGAGCCGCATCGCATATTACTGTCGACATCCTTGCTTGGATTATGGCATCCATCGAGTCGGACCTACAGCGCTCCCCCGTGTTGATGGCTTCCTGCCGATTCGCAATCCTGCCGGTTCAATCCGTCAAGCTGATGGTTCATGATGACCATCACAACCAATACACACCCATTCCGCGCTGGCATATATAGCCCCTCCAAATCCTCGTCTGTGGGATCATTCCTCATTGCCTCAGATTCCTGACTGCGAGCGTATAGAGTGACTAACAGCGTGTCATGAATATGGCACACACACTTTCCAGAGAAGTAAAGTCACTCTTCAAATCCTTTGGCTCTTCTTCTCCTCCTCCTCCTGATGGCTTCGATCGCCCTGATGCCGTCGTGAGACAGGCCGACACTGAAGGCAACATTTCAACGACCTTCTCCGCTGCTCAATCACCAGCGACGTCGCCGACTTCCTTGGAGCAACCCATCCTGATAGAACTCTTTCAATCGCAGGGCTGCAACTCCTGCCCTCCCACGAACGACAATCTCATCGCCTTCGTTCAGCCACACCAGTCCTCGTACCAACATACCTCGCCACCGCGCTTTTACGCCAGCCAATCCCCCTCCTCTTCCCCAATCACCACCCCAAATTCGCCTCATGGGCGAGAGTACCTGTTGCTCACGTACCAAGTGACATATTGGAACTATCTGGGTTGGGAAGACACATTCAGCTTACCCAACAACGACATCCGTCAGCGAGATTATGTCAGGAGGATGGGTCTGCGTGCGGCTTACACGCCGATGGTCGTGGTGAATGGACGGGGCGTCGGTGTGGGCAACACCAGGGAAAATCTTGAGTGGATCGTACGGGCAGGACAGAAACCTGCCCGCGAGACAGAAAGAGTTGGTATGAAGAGATTGTTAGAAAGGGGAGGAGATGGGGAGCTGGAGATCCTTGAGATCGATGCGACTGCCCTTCCACCGTCATACTCGCAATCTCCAGGCCACCACCTCGAGGTGTGGGAAATAACATACACACCCAGCTCACAAGACGTACACATCTCGCGTGGCGAAAATGTGGGCCGGACGCTCCCACATCTCAATGTGGTCAGCGAGGTTCGAAGAATTGGGTCTTTGGAGCGTGGTACCAAGGAGCGTTTCCCATTCTCAGGGCAGAACGAGAGGCGTGCGAGTGCTGGGAAGGAGAAGGTGGTAATTGTGCAGGACGGGAAGGGTGGTGAGACTTGCGGTATCTTGAAGCTGTGAATACGTTCGAACTTTTGCCGCAGCCTCTCAGCCCTCTATAACGGAGTCTGAATCGGACTTGCTGAGGTGTTCAGTCTATGCAGTATAGATTAATCTTGCAGTTATTTCGACTTCAAAGCCCTATCACCGCTGTGTTTCTTACCGTGCACCCGTGTCGGTGAGGTAGTCATGTCAAGCACCAGTCTTGTACAAGGTATCCCTGCTGGCTCTCCGACTCATTTCCAGCAGATGACTTCTCCCTGGAGCGCAGCGTACCACGCCTCGGGACTGTCGCCCCAAGCCCTCAAGCCGTCAACCATGGCGTCGATCTCAGCCTGACTACGGACGAGTTGGAGCTCTCCCAGCCACTTTCGTCCGATCTCACCTTTGAGCCGCTCGACTTGGATGTTGGCCCACCATTTGGATTCGTCGGGTGCGGGATGGCAGGTTGCGCCCGCGCGGACCTGCATCTTGGACCTCTCAAACCCGGCCTCTTGGGCCCACAGGTGAATCCGGCGGCCGGAGCCGATGCCTTGGGCCCCAGGGGACACTGCCTTGGCCATGGCTGCCAGAAAGGCTTCTGTCCCCGGGTTGCTAGGATGGTAGATCAGCGTGTCGGTCTCGCGCATGGCGAGCATACCGCCTGGCTTCAGGATACGAAGCGCTTCCTGTATAACGCGGACAGGTGTAGGGATGTGGTAAAGCACCTGGCTGGTATAGACGACGTCGACCGAGTTGTCGTCCCAGGGCAAGCGGGCGGTGATGTCGCCCACACGGAACGTCAGATTAGGATGTTCGTTCTCTGGGGCCCCCGAGCGGGCTAATGTGATGACCGACTCCGCAGCGTCGATCCCAATCACCGACCCTTGAGGAACATGGGGGCAGAATCCTCTGGTGATGGTGCCAGGGCCACAGCCCAGGTCCACAATCGTGAAATGTGGCTGCAGATGAGGAAGCAAGAACGCTGCAGAGTTTTCAACCGTGCGAGACGCGTGTGATGCCACAACGGCCGCGCTGTGGCCTTGGGTGTAGGTCGACGTTGAAGATTGGGGCTGTGGGTTCATCGTCGGGAGTTCGGCCCGGTGTCAATATTTCGATTACAGGGAGATTAAAGCAGAGGATTGTCGTCCTTCGCAGGCTGGAAAAGGCAGGTATCGACTTTGCGGGCAAAGATGAGTGTCGCGCTCTGATTTGTGAGACCTGTGAAGTGCAAGGAATGATGGTTAGCGAAGCAGAGTGCATGAGAAGAGGCCGCGGCGTCCCGAGTTGTACGCGCAAGTTGAAATTCCCAATGGCGAGCTAGTTTGATTGCAGGGCGCTTCGGTACAGCAGGGCGTACTCGGTATAAGTCCTCGTACACACCTGGTCACAGCCTTCAAAGGACCAAGTAGATGTTGTGTATCGAGTGCAGAACATTAATTATGCACCATCATAGTCGTAGTCCGAAGCTTGGCACAACGTAAAATCTCTAGGGCAGAGCGTTGGGGCAGATGGCGTAGTCCCCGTGACTAAAATGGAAGGATTTCTTTGTGATTCCGAATCAGGATTTAGTGTTCACGCTACCCACACGTGATCCACCTGTCATCATGGACACATTCCTCTTGGGTGCCTCTCGCTATAAGACCTGATTATTCACTTTTCCCCTATAGAAGCGGATTATCAATCTTGTTCCTGCAGGATCTTCATTGCTCCGCAGATATACTGACAGATATGTAGCATAACTTGACGACGAGGCATCTACTCTGAGGGAAAGACCTTCGACTTAACCACCCAACCACACCCCTGGCGCGAGTACATAGCTTACGCTAAACCTTCACAAAGTCAAATCCCCGTCGCCTACCAGTGCCACCCTGACTAGTGGCAGGCGTTGATCTCCCCTGAATAACACGCTAACACAACACGCGGGAGCGTTGGCCACAGTAGTCGCCCGACTTTTGTCACGGAAAGAGACCGGAGAAGAAAGAACCCTGCGAGCGGAGAGACCCATCTTCTGGTCGCTCAAGATTCACTTCCTACTACTTCCCATACTGACGAAGATCTACATCGAACAGTTGACATCATTGCATCCCGGTCCTCTATCTTCAAAATCGCATCTGATAAACCAGCGGAATCTACTGTTGTGGTTGGAGCCTGTCCCACAGTAAATCGCACGTGTACAGTTACGGCCACGCAATTCATTAGTCCATCAGAAAACATGCAAGCGAAACTTTCATGGATCATTTCAAATCGCCCTGAAGATGCGTGAAACAAGAGTACAAGGGAATAGAACACCTTCCTAGCTTGTGCAATACCGTCCTGTGCTAAAATCCAAGATGCGCATTCAATTCAATTGTCTTCTACGTCAATTCAGAACCCAAACGTCTGCATATCCGTATTCTGCACATTAACACTTCCCTCCCGACAGATTTTCCCCTCTACATGCCAAGGCCGAGAGCACGGGCCCGGAGGGCAACAGAGCTGGCCACGCTGGGCGGGTTGGTGGCGCATGACAGGCCGAAAGACTGGAGCCAAGCAGCGTTGTCGAATTCAGCATAGTTCTTCTGGATCTTGCCCTCGCTGTTGATGATCATATGGTTGATACCATTGACAGGGAAGCGAGTCGAGGTGATTCTCCATCTCCAGGTGATGGTGTTGCAGTCGTGCCAGATGTTGAGAGCGGTAACAGCCACCTCGGGTTGGAGAACACCCTGACCGTAGTCGAAAGCTTGCTTGCTAGGGAAGGTGACAGAGCCAAGCTAAAATCCGTTAGTGCAATACAACATTGAGATATCAGATTAACTTACAGGGAAGCCAGCCATGAAGTTGATCGAGTCCGAAATGTCGCTGAAGTCGGATGCCAAAGTGGCGTCGGAGACGTTCTGTTGGTAACCCCGGCCCGGTGCTCCTTGGGTGCCGTTGTACGAGGTGAACTCGAGCAGGATCATGAAGTTTTCGACCAATGTGGTGGCCAAAGCATCGTCAACAACGCAAGACGAGGGAGTGTCCGGCGTAGAACCGCTGCCAGGCTTCGTAACGGTGGCAGTCTCGGTTGTTGTGACTGTGGTGGTGGTAGCCGTAGCTGGGCCTTGAGTGATGGTGACAGTAGTGGCAGTGCCGGCCGCAGGGCATGAGCTGTAGGTAGGGATGACCTTCGTGGAGGTCTCGGTGATGGTGGAAGTGGCAACCGGGCAAGTGCTGCCGCTCACGACGGTGGTGGTGCCAGTAACTGTGGTAGTCAAGGTCGAAGTACCGACTGTGCAGCTGGCGCCGGAGCCACCTGTGGGCTTCACCCAGATGGTCTTGGTGGTTGTGGTCGGTGCAACGGTGGTGGTCTTCACCTCGGTGTAGCCGAAGCACGAGCATGCGCTGGTGTAAGCGGCCTCGTTGCAAGCGCTGGCGTAGTTGGGAACCTCATTGGGGCAAAGGGCAACGGTGGCGCGCTTCCAGTTGTCCTTACCGCCGTGTCCAGTGATGGTCTCGGTGACGGTGACGATAGGGGTCACAGTGGTTGCCAGGAAGCTGGCGCAGTGAGAGGCTCTGAGCGCACCGTCTCCCAAAGCAGCCTTGCCAGTCACAGCAGCCAAGCAGGCGTTGTTGGCGCAAGAACCACCGTGCACAGGATTAGCCAGGACACCGCTGGCCAAGGCAGCCAGCGGCAAGGCGACAGACAAATATTGCATAACTAAAGTAATTCGACGATTGTAACTGTTGAAAACGAGTGGAACAGGCCAAAGACCTTAGCAAAATGATAAAACGAGCTCAAAAAAGAGTGGATGATTGAAAAGTCAATCAAAGTCGTGAGATGGTGTAACGAGCTGGGAGAGAAAGAACAGATGGTGTGAGACTGGAGGGGACCGTCCGAAGTACTTATGGGATGCGAGACCTACCGTCTCGACTCCCGCCATGGTGGACCTGGACTCTATGACATTCCGGCGCTCAATAACCCCAGCCAGCCACGAGGGCGGCCTGAGACTTCGGCTGTAGCGTGAGGTTCAGAAGCTAATTTCACGAGTGAGGCTCCCCAAGATCCTCGAACGCCGAAAAAAGGAGGTCATCTCAGAAAACACTAGCCCCGGGCAAGGAATCGACAAATCCAGAATACCACGGACAGTGCAAGGCATGACGGCTAGAACCTTGTGGAGGTGACAGACCGAGATCCAATGATGGCTTGTGATGGGCAAATTGCAGCTGGACTTGGCCACTTCCAACGGGACAAGGCCTCGCCGGCCTTGATAGACCTTTGCCTGCGGGAGGAACGTGGCAGGATTTACCTTTTTCCCGTATCCCTGCATGAAGATGACACCAAGAGCCAGTTTGATGCGAATTCAACCTCATCAAAGCTTGATTATGGCGATGGTACATCCAAGGGCGACCTACCGATGACCGACACTCATTCTGCGCCTCTGCAATTCCCCTCTTCCAGGCTAGGGGTACCGACAAGGGTGGAGATATTTCAGGAGACGTTTGTAGACTCGAGGCGTACCTGGCGGACAGACCGGGTGGCTCAAACAATAACGGAACCAGTCCCAATTGGGAAATGTATAGGCCAATCAGTAGTAGAACTTGGCCGTTTTACGGCTGGGAGCCATTGACACCCTATGCATGTTCCGGATCCACACCTTTGTTGCAATTCACCCTATTCGGCAGTGCCATCCAGTCTTAGGCTTTTTGTTTTCAGCTTGGGCGCGTCCGTTGTTGTGATGCCGGACAACGGGCGCGCTCTGCAACGTGTACCGAGCAGAGCTTTCTGGATCGCAGCCCAGCAACAGGCTGGATCGACATCACCAACGCCTCCACGTTTCCTGGGTTTAACTCACCACAGCCTCATGGCATGCGGGACATCTTTCTTACCTTCCCAAGTCAACTCACGTCTCCAGTGCTGACCGTGTTGGGGCACTGTTTAATCACCGCCTTTCTCGCCTTATTGTCTTTGTCATATTCCTTCCATTTTCAACCTGCATAGGGTTGCTATGAAGAGTGAGCAGAACTGGGGAATGGCTCCGTAGGGCAGCTGCCCGTATGGTCAGGGGTGGGGGAAATTAGGTGGTGGTTGACTGGAGGGTTCCAAGCAGGGGTTGCAGTGCGTTTCGTGTGGTACCCTGAAAAGGCCTGACGAGGACGAGGACGGGTTCCTTGGTTGCCCGCCCAAAACTCGTGTGTTTCAAGGCATCCTGTTCTGGTGCAAATTTACCATGCAGGCTCTGACGCCAAAGTGGCTGTTGTGAGTTCACATTCATCTTGTTTGTGTAGATTTGTTGGGCGACATTCCCGTTGGCTTCGGGTATCAACGTTCGTGTTCTGCGATTGATGGAGAAGAAAAGGGGACGGTTTGAGTTTTACTGTAGGTTTAGCGTTGACATTCAAGCAGCGGCTAGAACGCCAAGGCTTAGCACTAGAATGGTATATTGGCCAATCATACTGTATAATGACGTATTAGTCAGATCCATAGAGAAACATTTTGCTTCGTCCTAATTTCCACCGCCATGGCCTTGGCTCCAACCAAACTCTTGGAATCAAACAGTTTTTTTTTATCTCCCTACCCAGACGAGTAACTAATACATTCTTTGTACAGCACGGCTTGATTCGATCCTTGTCCACTCGTACGAGCATAACGGGAGCTACCATACTAGTGCGAGGTACTCGGTACAGTACGAGTACTGAGAACAGTGATCAGCCTTCCAATCACGGCCATTCAACCTTCTATTTTCGATATGAAAGTTTGCCCTCCATCACATCACACATCAGATGGCAATCCTCGGAGACGACGGGCATACACCCAACGGTGCGCACGCGGAGGTTTCCGACAATGAGCCGGTAGCTGTGGCTCCCGAGGTGCCAGCGATGCTCCATGGTAGGTCAAATATAGATTACCCGTCTCACTCCTGTATTTTCATGTTCCATTTCCAACCTCAAGTGATGCAGTGCATGATCTGCCCCAGCTTCATCAGAAGCCATCAGCAACCACGCTCCTTCGCGCCTTGGATCTTCTCGTTGCAGAGCCATCGAGCTTTTCGCCTTTAGCAAAAACCAGGCGTCCCGAAGTAAGCGAGCAGGGGGTTTCAAGATATCTTACCTCGATTGTCTCCTCGGGCCTGAATTGGATTGGGGACGAAGATCAAAAGGATGCAATATGGGGCGCTGCAAGTGCCCGCCTCAGCGAACGTTCGGGCAGAAGTGCAATGCCTGCCATGACGCGCTCGTTCGAGATTTGTACCGACATCACGGTTAATTTGCACGAGCCTACCTTGACAGAAGACAATCTTGGGCTCAAGACCTGGACCTCATCGGTCTTGCTGTCACGCCGACTCCAAGATTGTCGTAGATATCTTCCAACCGAACCCACTCGAGTGTTGGAGCTAGGCGCGGGCACTGGTTTGGTCGGGATTTCGGCCGCATGCATATGGAAAACTCATGTGCTGCTAACTGACCTGCCGCAGATCCTACCAAATCTTCGAGGAAATCTTGAGCAAAACCAGGAATTGATCACAAGGAGTGGTGGGAGCACTGAGTCACGGGCACTTGACTGGGTTGATGAGATGGACACGCCAAAACGTGACGAAGACAAGTTCATGGTCATTGTGGCGGCCGATTCTATCTATGCTCCCGAACACCCTAAGATGCTTGTGAATGCTGTCACTCGCTGGATCTGCCGTTCGCCAGAGGCCAGATTCATCATTGAACTTCCGTTACGTGATGGTTATGACGAGGAGAGACAAAATTTGCGAAGCATATTGCAACAGCACAAGTTTGACTTGGTATTCGAAGGCACAGAGGTCGGTTTTGACGATTGGTACCAACAAGATGGCAGCCCATCCGAGGTTACATGTTGGTGGAGTATATGGAGGCCCAATACCCAAGTCTGAGCGGACCTGCCCTAAGGCACATCTCAAGCACTCGGGCTGCTTCTCTCCTAGCTGCTTCGACACATTTTGCTGCCTCTGCGACATACTCCGAACGGCGTCCCAATAGCCACAACCCAACTGACCTGGTGATCGCACTCTGGTTTTGATCGTTTGTCCAAGGTTGGATAATGGATGACCTCTTATAACCTTGAATTCCTCAAAGCGCCATGACTGGAGCCGTAGATGCCATTACATCATGCTGTTGGAATGCTTGCGCATGTAAAACTCTTGAAACCCCTGAAACACCGACCTTTTCCTTGAAGCCTTCAAATATCATCTTGTCTCGTTATGTCATGATTGGGTCTTGATTCTTCGTTCGGAAGGGTCGTATCTGTCCATCTCTTGTCAGTCCTGCATCTCTCTTCGATTCTTCTTCCCCGTCGCCACCCAGCAGCAGAAAAATGGTTCCAACGTACTGTAGCAACTTTTCAATCAGATCGACGTGTGTCATCAGCATGCGCCGACAACAGTATCGTTTCGCGCCAACTTGATCCATGGCTTCGCTACAACCCGAAGGACCAAAATGTTAGAATTCGTCTCCGGGAATGAAGCCAAAGCGCGTAGATACTAACCCATCAGGCATGCCACCCTCGAGAAGCTTCATATATCGTTCCCAAATATCAGCGATCACCTAAAAGAAGCGGAAGGAGTCAGTTGGTGTATTCCACGTTTCAACTTTAGTGGCTATGCGCAATACCTTTCCGCAGGAGAAACATCGTATTGGGATAATCATTTTGACCCCGGACAGTACAACAAGCGCACAATATCGTAAAGGAATCAGTAACGACTGACTCGCTATGTTGGTTGTGTTGGTGACGGATGGCGGGAGACTCGACTGCGAAAAGTCGCAGAAATTCTTCTCCGCAATTTCTCTACACGTGACGCTCTCGGAAAACCTTCCACAAAATTGGTGCGGAGAAAAAAAGTTTCTGATTTCGCTACACATCCTGTACAGCAATTGGAAGCGTGCACCGATCCTTTGCGTGGTCCGCCAAAGTCTGTCTCAAGATGTCACAGCCTACAAAGCGAGACGCCGACACTGCCTTCGAAGGCAATCATGTCGGCGACTCACAGAAGCCGAAGCGCCAAAGACGAAGAAGGAGCGGGAAAGTCGAGGTCACAGATACACCGTCACTATTGAATGCGACGGCTTCACCTGCGGCGCTGGAAACGACACCCTCTAACGACTTTAAAAATTCCACTTCCAAGATCAAGGATGAAATCACTCCGGAGACTGCTTCTAGTGGCAGCAAACCGAAGAAGCAGACACCCACAAAGACTCCGACCAAGGGACCTACCTCCAAGGACAACTCAGAAGGATTGTCACAGAAGGTGAAGGGAGTTGAAGCTGCGCTTAACAAGAGAAGAGACGGAAAACAAAAGGCTCTGACCAATGCAAATGAGAACAAAAAGAAGCCTAACTCACTGGGATCAGAACCTAGCCATAAACAGTCACATCCAACAAGCACCGATGGTGGACAGTCCGAAAAGCCCGAGTCAGAATCGAAAGTGTTGGTCAACGAACTGACTACCGAGGGGAAAGCTGTGAAGTCTAAGAGGCCAAGGAAACGAAAGGTCACTTTGCTGAAGGATAGAGAAACAAGCATTGAGAATCAAAAGGTGGAACAACTTGCCGGAGAAGACAGATCAGACCAGATCGTCAAGAATAAGCAGAAAAGACAACTGACAAAGCAAAAGTCCAAAGTCGTCGCGCAATCAAAGACACAAAAGTCGAACCTGAAAGGCAGCGGCTTCAGATTATCTTCCGGCAATGGTGGCATGTTTATCGACCAAGATCCAATTTTAACTGCTGATGACCAGTATCTGATCCTGCCGACACACTCTGAAATTCGAGTGTATTCGACCAAGACATCCTTGCTGGTTAGAAGCTTCCGAGTTGACAACAGATCCGATATCACCAGCTGCTCTATATCGAAGGTCGATCCGAAGAAGTTGTACGTCTCCACTTCGAAAGGGTTGGTGTCTTTGTGGGATTGGACGACAGCCGCCGCAATAGGAAAGTACGATACTGGGAATGGATTGCGGCAAGTAATTCCACTTTCTCAACAAGAAGAGAAGGAGACGATTATTGTCTTGAAAGACGATGTGCAAGGCCCTAAGCGCCTTGCCGCTTACTCCGTCAACACCTCTCAAGGCAGCTTCACAGAATCCAAAACTGTGTTGCAGAGGACCAACCTATCACCATGCATTAGATCTTGCGCAGATGGAAACGTGCTATTGGCATGTGTGGAGGACCAACTCTTAATCGGTCATTGTCAAGTTACAACAGAAGGTCATTCGGATCCCAGCTACACGTGGAGGGAAATCACCTTGCCAGGATTCATAACGAGCTTTGACGCCCAGGTCAACCCAGGCAAATCTAAGACGTCACGAAAAGTTCCCTTCCTCGATGTTGTGGTTGGTCTCAACGATGGGGTCATTATGCTCTATGAGGATATACTCTTCAAACTGATTGGAAAAGAGAAAAAGAACCAAGCTTCGACAGATGACATTGTTGGCCGCAGACTCCATTGGCATCGAACGGCCGTCAACACTGTGAAATGGTCTCGAGATCGAAACTATATTGTCTCTGGTGGCAATGAGACGGTCCTCGTCATCTGGCAACTAGACTCGAACCAGAGGCAGTATTTGCCTCATCTTTCAACACCAATTTTGAATCTCAGCGTCTCAGCCGCAGGGTCTTCCTATGCTTTACGCCTTAGTGACAATTCTGTGATGATTCTATCCACGGCCGACCTGCTACCATCAACGAATGTATGCGGCTTGGCTTTGGGGTTAACTCAGAAGAACTCGAGCCTAATTGTCCCTCACCCAAACATTCAAGGTCGACTATTGGCAGCAGTGCCTTCTGATGCGGCTGCAACAGGACCATTTCATGGGCGATATGCGACACTGCTACAAGTCTACGATGTCGAAACAAACGTTCAGGCCGGTCGTCAAGCGCTAACTCGAAACATGGTCACCGCGTCCAATGCTGCGCCGACTGGACAGCCAGTGAAGGAACCCACTGTCACGCATATCGCAATCAGCCACGATGGCAGATGGTTGGCCACAGTGGATGAATGGCAACCCAATTCACAAGATCTGGACAGCATGTACATCCGTGCCGATAGACCGGATCTTCGGCACCAATCGACCGAAACTAGTCTGAGACTATGGTTGTGGAATGAAGAGAACAACAACTTCGAACAGGTGACCAGGGTCGATGAGCCTCATACAGCGGGCACAAACTCTGTTCTCGGTATGTCATTCGACCCCACGAAAGTGGAACTGGCCACGATTGGCAGCGATGCAACCGTTCGCATCTGGTCGCCCAAGGCGCGTCACCGGAATGGAGTTTCGGTCAGGAACAAGGCCAACGAGCAGCTTTACACGTGGAGCTGTTCAAGGACGATCCGATGCGATCATGACACACCCCTCGGGCCCGAAGGCATCGAAACAAGAGCAACATCGGCAGCCCTTGCCTATTCGGACGACGGCTCAGTAGTGGCCGCCGCTTGGTTCTGGCCTGAGACCCGGTCCAAGTTGTCGTTGGAACCTCCTGGAGCCACCTTCAAACCTTCTCGAACTCGCTTCGTGCATCTCATCGATCCAAGCACAGGGAAAATCGCTTTCTCCGAGCCCTCTCTTCTATCTAGGACTAGCAGTGCAGCAAAACTCCTTTTTCATTCACGCTATCTCATATGTCTCTCACAGACTCTTACGATTCTAGACACAATTACGAATCGATTGGTCTCGTCGCCCATCCAGCTTGACGAACAATACGTTCCACCAAGAAGCTGGAGCCCGTTTTACCTTGCGAAGAATAAATTCGACGGCACGATCGCACTGTGTATTTCGCGTTCTGAAAAGCCGAGGGGGACCAAATTAGTGCTGTTAAGTTTGTCCGGTGACAGCTCAGGTGGCCCAGGGGTGCAAGTGAAGGTTTTGTATGAAAGTTCTTTCACGGCAATGGTCAAGGGACTGCTTGCCCTGACCACGGGGCCGGGATACTTGGTTATTGATGAGAGGAATCAGTACCGGTTTGTTCGGCCAAGCACCGAGCTATTCACCAAGTCAGTTGGTGGAGGCAAGGAAACCGAGCAAGTCACCAGGAGTTTGGACAGTATTTTCGGTCGACAGGGTCTATTGGGACCATCAGCCTCTGCCACGCATGGGGAACTGCCGGCTCTGCCTCCCAGCACTGCAGATGAACATGTTGGCGCCAGGGGCGGGCTTGATGCAGTGCTGAGGTTCCCTTCATCGGCACAAGTACCTACGCCAACAGAGTTGTTTCAGAGAGTCGTGGGCGTCTTGGCCCAAGGAGGGGAGACCGAGGTGGAATAAAGATCGCGCATGCGAGTCACCCTGGGCAAGATGCATCGATGAGGTGGAGGAGGGAGATGCGATCCACGTATCCGTACGATGTATCTGATCCGGCCCGAACTGATAGTTTCCCAACGAAAGAATGATAGAAAGATGTCGTCTTGTTAAAAGTGAACAAGGAAGAGCTAGGTAGCTCACTACACTACACTACGCTATGCCGGGGCGATGCGAGTGGAAACCGAGTCTTCTTGAGCCTGATGTGGTGGATATACGGTACACATACTATATTTCATGTACCAATTAGTCATGTCACAGACCTCTTTCTGCTCAGTACTTACAGTACCTACCAGGTACAAGCTAATTCAGGCGTGCGTGCGGCAAATGCGGCCGCGGTGGTGGTGGTGGTGGTGATTGTACAATCAGCTATGTAGGTAGCCAGCCTGCCAGTTGCCCATTGCCCATTGCCCATCCAGAAATCCCCCATCTGATTACATATCCGTCTATCTATCCAAACCACACTGTGTACCTTCTCGCCAAGTACGAGTATTCCGAGATCGAGCCGGGGAGAGGGGGCCGTGGGGACTGGATTTCAATGATGTCTCTTTCCCCCCCTCCTGTACGATGCGCTCGGCAAAGGGCCGGACGAAAGGCCGTATGTACAGAGTACAGCGAGCAGGGATCTGGTGCCATTTTAGGACGCCCAGATAATGGTACAATGTTACAGGATCGGGATCAGGATCGACGAGGAGGGACGTACTCGTAGCGGGGTTGGTTGGTATTGGTATGCGTTGATTTGGACATGGCGCATCTCTAAGCAGGGCCGCGCGGACTAGGACGGAAAGGAGGAAATGGACGCAGAGGTAGTGGTGGAGGTGGTGGAGGTGGATGATGAAGAAGAGGAGGAACTGCCGCCGTTCTCTGTTGGTCGACTACTGGCAATAGTCGCAATCTGGCCGAGTGCGGGGAAAAGGATGAACGATTGAGGATCTGGTGTTGATGAGCGTGTCGAGCTTATCGAGCATATGGTGCAAGGGTACGTACGAGACTGGAGATGAGTCCACAACTCTGTCAATCGTCAGTTAATCAGCCAGCCCCCGCTCATCGCCAGTATCTCGCGTCCGTGACGCCGAAGTGTCTCGAGAGGGGCAAAGGAGGGCACAGACGGGGTTTTTTCTTGAATGGGTGGATGGTGGGTTGGTGGGTGATGGTAAAACGGGATTACTATAATAACATGACCTCCTCTTTCTTCCCTTGCACAGAGTGACATTCACCTCATTTTTAAGCAGCGTAGCGTCGTCACTGTTGTGGTTTGTTACTTCTTGTTCCAGAACACGCTTCTATCCACCCTCTTCTCGCAGTTCAAGACCACAGCGATAAGATACCCACGCTTCACCCACCGCGAAAAACAACAACAAAAATGGCCGTCAACGCCACCGTCCTGTACCCCGCCGAAGAGGGCGCCACCTTTGACATGAACTACTACCTGAAGACGCACATGCCGCTGGTCAGCGAGAAATGGGGCCAGTACGGCCTGCAGGGGTGGAAGGTGATCCAATTCCAAGCCGCGCCGGACGGGACCAAGCCCTACAGCGTCGGGGCCCTGTTGACCTGGGAGACGGCCGACGGGCTCAAGAAGGCGCTCAGCAGCCAGGAGGCCCAGACCGTGTTTGGCGACGTGCCCAACTTCAGCAACAAGTCCCCGCTCTTCATCGCGGGTGACATTGTTGGTTCTTCGTGAGTTGCCGCTGCTGCTCTGTGTGTGTGGAGGACGAGAACAACCCTGAAAGAGGTATATATACACGACGTCAACGGTCCCCTCCCAACAAGATTTGTTTCCGTTGCTAACAAGACGGTGTAGGACAGGGAAGAGTCGGTTGTGATGGACGAGCTCGGACAGAGATAGAACGCTGGTCGCAGAGACAATGCAGATATTCCTTGAGCCTTACCAAAGAAGACTTGACCTGAGTATCGTGTCCGTCCGGATCGTCGATGACTCACTCTCTTGACATGCGGACCTCCTCATGAGCATGTGGAATTGCGTCTTACCGTCTTATCTCGCACATGAGTCTCTCGCGAAGGGAGAATGGCCCACCATCTGTCGCGTTTCGCCTTGTTTGTCCTACGGCGCGGATAGCCCATGGTAGCCCAAGCCCTCCTACTACAGGGATGATTTTTTTGCCAGGCTCGTCCACATTGGATCTCTTCTTGCACGGTCTCACCGCGGTTATGTGATATTGAATATTTTGACGCCACTTTCATACATAGTTCACGGGCAATCCAGCTCTTAGCCTAGCAGAGGAGAACCCCTCATCAACCAGGCCCTTGCTTATACCAGGTCGCTCGTGGGGACAGGATCCTTTGGTCCCTTCTGCTCTGCTCTGCTGGCTAATAATGTTTGCGGAGAGACAAAGCGGGACAGTGACAACGGAGGCCACGCGGTAGGGTGTCTCCTCGTAGAGACTAGGCTTCGAGCACACCAAAGGGAGTGAGTGGCTTCAGGCTGACGCAGCGTATGGGAACTCGCAGGATCTGGGTGACTTGTAAAGGTGTTGTGCGAATAGCGAATAGTGACAAACGTCGAACGTCGAGCTGCGGGGGATTTCTTTACGTCAGTCAGCAGGACTTGTCTGCGCAGTGTTGGACGGATGACATGACGTGACAAGTATGTGGCGATTTGATGTGTCCAGTGAGGAAACTTGTACTCGTACGAGGTACCGGTACCGCGATGTCTGAATATCAGCCTCAAGACAGGAAATACCACAACAGGTGTTTGATGCCGTGCGACTCCAAGAAGTGCTCAAGAGGGGCAGCGCGGGGTGCACAGCTCCTGGACTATTACCCCTAATTCTGGACCGCTCGTACTCCTAATTAGAAGGTCCTAGTTCTCAGCCTTGTCCTTATTCCTTACTACATTAAGGCTACCTTCGCAGAGAGAGCACACCCATCTTGTGGGCAAGTGTCTGGCCTTCCCGAGCATAGGCCAAATCGGACATTGAGTCGTGGTGGTCTCGATGGAAAGATTCGGGGACTTGATAGTGCATGCCGCACGCCCTCCATATATCTATCTCATTCCCAGGCTGATGGTTCCGAGTCTATCAGTCTGACCAGGAGCACCTCACCCACATCTTTAAGTCCGGAACACCCAGATCCAATAGTGACGACGCGCAGCTTCCTCGATGGTGTGTATGTGGGCACTGGATTCATTCCACCGGAGAACATCTTCCGTTTGCAAATGCGGGTTTTGGAGAGACTCCATTCTGCCCTGTCGCAACGGCATCGTCGTTGACCTGGGGGCCTTCCTGCACCGTGGCTGGCATGGTCGATTATTCCTGGAGCAGCGATCGAGACTGACCACTGCTTATATCCATACGAGGCTGCCTCGACTTGGGTGCATTTTTCCTCCCATAAGGGGTTAGGTAGAATTACGGCGAATGTGACCTCGGGACGATGGATATCGATGTCCGCGAATATACATTAGCCAGCCTTGCTCTCTCTCCACACCTGTATGGCTTTTTGGCCGAAGTCGCGGGGAAATCTCCCCATCCTGATCGCCCGAGGCACAGAATGTATTCTCTTGGGGGCAATATATTGTGACCATCGAAGGAGCATCTTTTGAGATTGTATTCTGTAACTCACGGTGGACCTGAAAATTTTTTCATAATTTAGCTACGCCGAACAAAAATGCTGGCTCTTCGATTCCACGGCAATAGAGACCTGCGCGTCGATGAAATCCCCAAACCTGAGCTGAAACCGGGATGGGTCTTGGTGAAAAATGCGTGGGCTGGAATTTGCGGGTCGGGTACGACTTTGAACGAGACAGGTCTTTCCAGTAGGATTTATCGAGCTGATCAGAGAGGGTCTAGATTTGCACGAATATGTGATTGGTCCCGCGAACATGCCCGTCGAGCCTCACATTCTCACGGGTGAAACTATTCCGTCCGTCATCGGTTCGTTGAGCGACTGAGAAATTTCTGGCGATCTAGGCTCACCCAAGCTGTGTGGCAGGTCACGAGTTTTCCGGCACGATTGAAGCTGTGGGAGAAGGTGTCGACGATCTCTCGCCAGGGCAGAAAGTGGCCGTCTTCCCGGTCCTCACCGACGGTACATGCTACTGGTGTCAACAGAATACATACGGCATGTGCGATAAATGGGGGTTCCTCGGATATAGTGGCTGGGGGGGCGGGATGGCGCAGTATGTCTGTGTCCAGAGGAGGGAGATTCACGTTATACCCGACAGTATCCCCTTGGATGTCGCCGCGTTGGTTGAGCCCCTCGCCGTAGGCTGGCATGCCGTCAAGAAGAGCGCGGTGAAACCAGGCGACCTGTGTCTGGTGCTTGGAGCAGGTCAGTCATGAATTCTCTGGGCCCCAACACTCGAGCAAACGTATCTGACAACATCCCAGGTCCCATCGGATTAGCAGTGGTTCATTGTCTGCGTGCTCATGGAATCGAAACCATCGTGGTTTCCGAGCCCTCTCCCGCGAGAGCCGCGCAAGCGGCGGAAGCGGGCGCACAGCATATCCTCAATCCCATCAAGGAAGACGTACCCGCTTTCTGCCAAACATTGGGAGACAAACGGGGCGTTCACGCAGTCTTTGATTGTGCTGGACTCCAGCAAGCTTTCGACGTCGGGCTCGCGAGCGCACGGGGAAAAGGCCAAATCCTGCAAGTCGCCATCTACGAAGGGCCGCTGACCATCAAAACGCCAAACGTCATCACGCGGAAACAGATCAACCTCGTCGGCTCCAATATCTACACGCGCGAGGAGTTCCAAGAGGTCATTGACGCCATTGCAAGTGGTGAGTTTCCACAGACACACACACACACATCTCCTAAAGCTATTCTGGAACCTTGCTAAAAGCTGTGAGTAGGCCAGTTCAAGGAGCCCGAGAAAATGATCACCTCTAAAATCCCCTTGAGGGATGCCGTCTCCAAGGGGTTTGAGGAGCTCCTGAAGAATAAAGACCGGCACATAAAGATTCTAATCGACCCGCATGCATAGAAAGGATATAGTGTCAGGATCAGCGTTGATTATATATGAGAGACTTTCTCGTTCCCCGCTACCAAATCTCCCGCGGTAGAAAGAATTACGTTTGTTCTTAAGACATGCCACTTGGGTAGTGAAGCTAGCTTCTCTCAGTAAGAGAGTATGGAATAACGTCACTCCTACCAATCAACTTCTGTGATCGTAGCTCTAAATGTGGGTCTTCATCAGTAAGGATGATACAACGAGACAAGCACTCTGGGTTTTTTGAACATCTACCTGCCGGCACTTTATTACCAAGGGGTGTCAGATGCCTCATTACAGCTACGGGTCAATGAAACGGTATTCATCATCGAAACATCATCCCTCCATCGACAACTATACTTGTCCCAGTGACGAAATCCGACGCCGGGCTGGCCAGAAATATAGCTGTCCCTCGGAGGTCTGAAGGATTGCCCCATCTCCCAGCCGGCGTGCGATTGACAATGTATTCCTCCATTTCGGGGAACTGGTCCAACAGTGCTTGTGATAGGGGTGTTCTGAAGTATCCGGGACAAATACAGTTTACCTAGGGGGTCATTGACGTTAGGTATCCGCGAGAGGAAGAGAGAGAGAGAGAGAGAGAGAGAGAGAGAGAGAGAGAGAGAGTGTGTGTGTGTGTGTGTGTGTATGAACATGACACTCTACTTGCCTGAATTCCGTGACACGCCCACTCATTACTGAAAGCTTTGGTCATTTGTAAAACTCCTCCTTTGGTCGCCGCATATGCCGAGACGTTGGTCATTGCCACGTAAGACGTAAACGAGCCAAAGTTGATGATCTTTCCCGGCCGACCAAGTTGAATCAAACGTTGTCCGAATTCTTGAGCGGCGACGTAGGCCCCTTTCAGGTTGACTGAGAAGATCTGTTGTTGGGAATGAGACTTGTGTTAGCTTTTGATGCTTCTCTCAGAAAGATACACGCGTGCGCGGCGCCTGGCCAGGGGCTAGCACGACCACGACCATCACCAACCAGGTCAATCTTGTCATCGGTCATGTCCTCAATGGGACCCCTCCGATTCAAGCCCGCACAGTTCAAAAGAATGTCTGGCACGACGTCCGCCTTCCACATGCGGTCAAAAGTCTCCCGGAGTTGCTTCGAGTCTCCGACATCGCACTCGAACCCGATCACTTTCCTGCCGAGTTTTCTCACGCCTTCTTCCAGCGTGGTCTGGCCGGGGTCCCGGGGAAGATGGATGGACACGATATCGGCCCCGGCCTCTGCAAGAGCGATACAGATTTCCAACCCCAGGCCGCCGGTACCTGTGTTGAATACGGTCAGTATACATGGCCATCATGGCCTCAACTGGACCAATTGAGGGGATTCCGAGCCCTCGCCTACCTCCAGTAGCGACCACTGTTTTGCCTTCTAAAGAGAAGAGCTGTGACGTTGGAACGCGAGGGATTTGGGTGGCCATGGTCTTTATTCGGGGCGATAAATATATTCCAACTATACAAGGGGACGAAACTTCGTTTGTCTTGTTTCCCAGTTGCGGTTGTCACCTTTTTTCAATCAGACACTTTCATTTACCCCGCATCACAACGGAGAAGCTTCACCGAAACTCGGGGATGGTTGAATTTCAGCCTCATTTCCAGTTCTCATAAACCACCCTTCTGGACGATCAACAAAGGTCTCGGTCGTAGCCTGCTTGAACCGGACAGGCTACGGAACACCATGTTCGGTTGGCATTTCACAGATACACACCCTTTCTCTGAGGATTTGGGCCTTTGCGGTAGCGTCCAATGCCACTGACAGCAACGGCAACACGGTAATTAGGACTTTGGGTTCGTAATCTTGAATTTGATGTTTCGATTCGTCTGCGCGGTAGGAAGCATTTGGGAGAGACGAGATACCATTTAATCCGTGGATTGTCCAGGAGAGAGTCAAGAGATCAATCTGGACTTGGTGATGTAGCATCTATGCTTTAGGGCACCACTTCTTGGTCATGACTGTACAGAGCTGGCTGCGTGTCGTCCCCTCGTTTTCTTTCAACCTTGGTCGATCATTTCTTTTGGAGAGGTGTTCCATCAACCCGGACTTGGTCGCCTCTGATACCGAGAGACGAGCCCATCAAGTGAGCTGTACCGGGAGACATGGCGCCTGCTAGCTCGACAGAGCAAGAGGCATGTCTCCAGCTAGATATATGCATGAGGGATGATCGAAGACGGAAGATAACTCGTCGATTTTGTCAGCGTGTACCGAGTACTCGGTAAGGTTGCTGAAAAGCGAGGCGAGGGTATGCCCGGGCACGTGCCAGGATAGTAGTCACGTGATATTTCATCTGAATCAAGTCGCGTGAACAACCTTGATGGGCAGCTCTCTAAGACCAAACAGGCTTGGATCCTGCGAAACTGCGGTCAAGACTCCAGACCAAAGTCCCAAAGCCCAAAGTCCCTGGGGCCAAAAGAGGCACAGGCGATTGGTTACTGATATGCACATGGTGGAACTTTGGATCTGACTTGTGCAATCCTCACCCTCACACGACTATCAGACGCGTTGTTGTTCGCCTTGCTCTCTTCTTCGATGCCTTCTTTGCGTGGAATCCGTGTCTCATGTGGAGCTGTTGTCGTCCCCTTGCGCCATTGCATGGGAGCATTGCTACGGTACTTCCGGTAGATGGTGGTGGCTTGACCCTGCACTGCCACTGCTCCAACCTCCAGAGATGTATTGGCTTCAGCTGGTATTCGTCCTCAATCAATCTCGAGCTACAAACATTGGCTGAGATGCTGTTATCCTACCTAGGTGTCGATGTTTGAACTCTCTGTTGCCTCATCTCTAGGCTGAAGCTCCTCCCTCTCCGACCTTCCAATGCAGTCTTACACATGGCAGACATTCACAGACGAATGCTCGTCTCATGGAGAAAATGGAGCCAAAGTCGAACCTCTGTCCAGTCGGCTCTCAGCCCTTTGGAGCTTGAAGCCGTGAATGCCATATATTCGCCGCTCGACCACGATCTTGACGAGATCAGACTCGTGGAATTACAACCCTCCGCGAGAATTGATGCCGAAATTGTCTGCAAATTGAAGGTGGTCTCATTTGACCAGCGTGTGCCGGACTACGAGGGTCTGTCGTACGCATGGGGCGATCCTCGTAGCGTCGATTTCGTCAAACTCAATGGGGTTCTCACCCCTATTACTACCAATCTAGCCGCAGCCCTGAGACACCTTCGAAAGCCCTCCGAGGTCCGAGTGTTGTGGATCGATGCTCTGTCAATAAATCAATCCGACAACCGCGAGCGCGCCCACCAGGTCAAAACGATGAAGAAGATCTATCAGAATGCACAGGCAACGAGGATTTGGCTCGGACTGGCTGGACCAGAAAACGACATTGCGTTCGATTTCTTCATCTACCTGGCTCTCGCTATGCGGGAACGGACTTTCTCTGATACCATGCCTACGTTTTTGCAAGAAGGCATGAAGCATCTGCTTCAGTTCAAAGAACTATTCCAGCGGTCGTGGTGGAGCCGAGTCTGGGTTCTGCAGGAAGCGATCCTCGGTCCTGTTGCTTTCCTGCATTCTGGTCACAGACAGATACCTCTGCATCAAATGCTAGACGCCTACAACTTCCTGCGAAGCTCGGGAGAAAATGGATTACTCAGACTTGCAAGACAGATCATCAATGTCCAACATCTCTCGGACCTGGTAGCGTGTATGCGCCAGAGCCTGGACCTGATCGAAGACTTGCGGAGTTTCTATTTGCACACGGATCCCGCACAGGATAGCAAGGAAGTGACATGGAAGTGGACCACCTGGAATCCTCCGAGCAAACCCGAGATCTTGATCGGCTTCATCGAGCTGCTGGCCAAGTGTCGGAGGAGCTACGCAACTGATGCCCGCGACAAGATCTACGGGTTGCTGGGTCTGGCACCCTCAGAAGTGACACAAGAACTCGAGCCTACGTACGAAATCTCGGCTGAGGTCTTGTTTACCGAGACGGCCGTTAAACTGATCGAGAGCAGTAACTCCTTGATATTGTTCAATCAGATTTCCCCTCACAAGTCGAGAGGCCGAAAAACTGCTTTACCTACCTGGGTGCCTGATTGGGATTCACCTGGAAGCCATTGCGCCGATATCGAGCTCCGAATCAAACAAGAAAAGATATTCAACGCATGCGATTCGGAAGAATTGAAATCGGCCAGAATCCACGACTTCGGGCTGGCCTTGATGGGCGTCTGCGTGGGAGAGATATCCGATTTCACCAAAGTCATGCCCCCTCACTGTGAGCACAAAGATGCTCCGGACCGTTTCAGTGACTGGGAAAAATTCTCGACAGGGGGTTCGACGCGGGTTTGGGACGAAAGGGTAAAATCGTCCTTCTCCAAAACATATTGGCGCACCATTTTGAATGGAGCGGTTCCCGACGACAGCGGCTTTAATCTACGCAAGGTGCAAAATGAGGACCTCGACGAATTCTTACAATGGCGACACGAGAACAAGTGGGTGGCTGGCACGGAGCACGACTTCGTGCTTCTGCACGGCCGGCACAAGTGGAACGAGCACATTTCGCGCACAACGGGGGGACGCCAATTGTTTCGGACCAGATACGGGGACCTGGGGCTTGGACCCGCCGGGATCAAATCGGGCGATCTCATCTTCGTCCTTGCAGGAGGCAGCCATCCGTGTATACTACGACCATCCAAGCTTCACGAGCGCCTGTATACACTGGTTGGAGAGTGCTACGTCGACCACCTGATGTATGGGTATGGAGTCCGCCATCCCACGGGCGACTGGCGGCACTCCATGCCTCGGCACCCTGTATGGCGTCTCTGGTCACGCCACGCCAGCCGTTCAGGTTGGGTGCGCACCATTACCTTGAACCGGTCTCGAAACGATGCCAAGAATATCCGTACGGAACATTCTATGTTGTGGATACACGACCGCGACAGCAACAACTATTGGCAGACTATTGTTCTATGCTGAAAGCATCTTGCTGCAACTCGCCAGGTCGAGAGCTGTTAGAGGCTTCGACAATGTTCACGAGACGCATACCCGTCAGGAAGCCTCCTACAAACTTCACTTGCCCCCCTCTCTCGCTCTCTCGATTCCGCCTCAGATCTCACCATGTTCCCCCAGTGAGCAGAAGAGCTTCTCTGGCAATATGGTCACTGATAGGAGGGGGGACAGTCCCCTTGTGGAGCATTCTTTGCCTGCACAAAGGCTGAATGTACCGGCGATTGATCGAGGTGAGGACGAACATGACGGGAAGGGAGGGTCTCGTATCAGCGACACAGGCCACGGGTACCTAGGTAGCTGGCTGTTGTTTTACTGAACCAACGCGACAGCAACCATGCGGACACCCATTCCAGCCGTATTACCGGCCTCGCTTCGACGTCGACACATACGTACCTATCTATGTACATACCTATGTCCTCGGTCCATGTCTAGGTGTCATTATCAACAATCGAGTGTTCCTGCCTTTCTAGGAAAGAACCGCCCCATATCCACTTTTCGACCAGCCATTGCTGGATCGAGGATGGTCTCAAAGTCTCAATCTCTCTCACTACACTGGCAGTACTGGAAGGCACTACTCTGGGGCCGAGTACTCTCCTCTCCTCTCCTCTCGATACCATATCCATCGAGCTATGACTCAGCTTGTCATCCTCCTACCTACCTATTTTGCTACTAGACCTATTAGGTACCTACCCACCTACCGTGGCACCGTGGCGCGAACCCTGCATAATATGCACATCAGACGAGGCTGGCTCCGCCTCAGCAAACGGACATACATACATACATCCACACATGTATACACCACCACCACCTACCCTAGCTACCCTACCCACCTAGGTGTCTATCTACCTGATCGTCCCGCCCGATTTCCCTGTTTCCCTGTCTCCTGGGCTTCCCTGCACCTAGTAAATTCGGCGGTTCTGCGCTCCTTTTTCTGGAGCTGATTAAGCGCCACGCCGCACCGCATCGCACCGCAATTCCACCCGGCCAGGACTGCTAGGCGAGCACTAGCGCCCAGAAACCCATTTGTGGCCTTTTTTTGAGATGGATTGAGTGAGTGGGTGGGTGGTATACGCGTTCTCGGTCATGAGTGATGAGGCAAGACGAGAAAATATCGAGCACCTCTCAGACAATGGGCGAGAGACTGATTGACTGACGAGTCACGTCCCCTTATCGGGGTGCAGGAGAGAAGAGACAAAGGACAAAGCAGGGCAGGCCTATAAGACCTCATTTGATGGTTTTAGAAGTTTTCTATCTGAACAGGTTCAATCCCTACAACACCAAAGACCTTTTCTACTTCCGCTCCAATTGCGACCATATCATGACTCCTCCTCCTCTTCTCGCTCTGCCATACGAGCTGCGACGGCAGATATGGACGCTTGTCCTGGGCCCAACCCAAGTCCACGCCTGCAAATGCTCCTCAACACCTGGCAAGTGCACGTCCAAACACGTCGACGTATGCTGTGAAGCGCTCAACGCCTACAAACTATTCGATAACCGCTTCCTAAGGGCATGCCGCCAGATCCATGACGAAGTTCGTCCGTTGCTCAACTCGCCACCTCGATTCAATGTATGCAGCGGGCTCTGCATGGAGAGTTTGTTCTTGGGCATCCAACCTCGTCATCGGCGTTGGATCAAGCATGTGAGAGTGTATGTGTATATCGGTGATGCCACGCCAGAAGCTCTGAACGGTCAGAGTGGCCCAGAGCTGGTGCACAGAGCAGAGGCATCCTGTGGTCGCTTCGTCCAGAGTGCACTGAAGTTTCAGGGAGTCGGACGTCTGTTAGATGCGTCGTCAGTAAGAGAGATCGAAGTTGATGATGTCGGAAGAAGAAAGCTATGCGTGGATCTAACGCTGGGTTGATGCTGAACATGTAGTGCACAAAACCTGCCTGGATTGGGAAACTATTATGCGCTCCGTAGACTTGCTCCATGAAAGTCTTTGAACAAATGCTGGAATGAGTGAAGAGGTGCTGGCACAGAGTCATCGGCCAAGTGCCGAATTGATGTTGAGAAGACAGGCGTGATGTGGTTCGGATACTCGACCACCTTCAACGTCCAGCGCAAGATCAAAGAGCCAGATAGCTCTGAACAGGGCTTGGGCTGAGCACGGGATTCTGATTTGGCGACGTAACAAACGACAACTAGAAGGACAGGGCGAGGCGAGAAGGGACTTGCTTGTGGAGTGCATACATTGTACATGTCGAGCTTGCCACTCATTAAACCATATTGCTGGTGTATGTTGCAGGCAGGCCCTTCGCTACCGCTGTGATAACAATTCCCGAGAAGTCAACACATCTTCGCATCGCTAGTCTGCAGGGTGACTGAGCAGGTATTCGATTGCGCCGTTCACATTGCCTCCGGTTCTTCGCAGCGCCTGAACATTTCGGTCGAAATCGTAGAACCCCATCTCATTCAACTGCTGTAGTTGCTGTGCATATCGCTCCTCAGGCGGCCGGCTGTCAGGCGGCGATGTTGGCCGGCCGGCACCAAGGAGATTGAACAAGCCACCATAATCCGTACCATCGCCACCTTGCCCAGTGTTCATGTCTTGCAGGAATCGTTGCATGGCCTCCGGGTTCTGGAGAAATGGGTTCTGCTGGGGATTGAAAGGATTTAGTGGGGGAGATGTGGTGCTGGGTCCTGTGGCCTGTGGAAACAGTGCCATGAAAGGGTTAATGCGCTGCGCCGTCGGGTTTGCTGTATTTTCAGTCTGTTGGCCAGCGGCTTCTTGGTTATCAGACCCAGCTTCTCCACTACGCACTCCCGTCGCCTGGGCATTGGGATCACCAAAGAGATGGGAAAGGGCTTGATTCGTTTGTCTCAAATTTTGTAGCATCGACAATAGCTGTTCTGTTTGCCCGGCCTGGCCAGGTTGACCTTGCGGCGGCATTCCTAGTGGATTGTTAGGTACGTTTTGAGGAGTGCTGCCGGCAGTGCCCGGTTCTGTTGTATTGGTGACGCCAGGTGCTGGAAATGCCTCTCCTCCGCCCGCACCACCGAAAGGACCCATACCCATCTGCTGCTGCATCTGCATCATGTTCCGCAGCATTTGAGGGTTCGTCATCATAGATCTGAAGTAGTCGGAATTGAGCATTTGTCTCGCCTGCGGCCCCATCGCTCTAAGATGGGGGTTCTGGTTGATGATCATGTCCTGAACCTGGGGATTGCCCATGGCTTCACGCATCATCTGCTGGAAGTGGGGGTTATCCAGTTGGCGCAGGAAGTCATCTGGTGTAAGATTCTCTTGAAACATGCTGGGATTTGGCAATTGGGCAAATCCCGCGTACCGGGCACCCGTTAAGCCAGCCAAAGGATCGTTCCCAGTGCCCGATGCCAGGTTTTGAGGCACCCCAGCTGCGGGTTGCGGTGCAGTTCCCGAGGTTGGAGTCGAGGTGGACGAGGATTGTGTAGCGGGGTTCTGTCTTTGATTGCTAGCAGCGCTCTTCACCAGATGCATCGTGTTGCCTTCTTTTACATTGTGAGAGGCGAGAGTTTCATGGTCTTTCAGCACCTTCCCGCTGTAAATCAGTCGCTGAGCTGAAGCTGGGACATTGGCGTATTCTTCAGAGGCGAGTTTGTTCTTCAGCTCACTTGTCGTCGTCGACAAAGGCAAAGTCAGCGTCCATTTCTGGCTACCCGAGGATTTGACGTGGAAGGTGACAGTGGCATCTTCGGCGCCAGCACTGTCGGCCATCGTTGCGAAGCCGCTCAGGCAGAGCGATTTCCCTTCGATGGATTTGTAATTGGGACGGGTGATAGGCGATGCTCAGATCGGACAACGGAGCTCTGATTAGGGCTGCTTGTTGGGTAATGGATCTGTCAGAGATACGCAAGACGAGGGAGGATAAGGCGTCGACGATCTCTAGAGTGAGTCGGGATAATTGAGAAGGTAAGAGGAACAAGTGTGGACGTAGAATGGCATGTCAAAGAGTTCTGATCAAGAGCAAGAACCGAGAGACTGACCACCTGGCAGATGGATCCGATGGCAAGAGTGACGAAGTTGATCGGCTTTGCGCAGTCGGTTTGTGCCTACAAGTACGAAGCTGCGGGTACTAGCCGTGGTTGGCCACATTACCGGGGGGGCCTTTATTGCGCAGTTCTACTTAAAGGGAGGGGCTGCCTGCGCCGCTAAGACCAGCACTAGAGGCGAGGGGAAGCTCCCTTGCTTGGCTCCCCTGCTCCCTCCCTCACTTGCAGTGGCCAAGTGGCTATCGGCGCAGTTGCCTCCGTCAGTTGGCTAGTGTGAGCTTGCTCTTGGCAAACTTGGAACTTTTCTGCGCAACTGGAAAGTCTGCGAAATGCGGCACGGTGCGAGGTCCATTCGATGAACCATGGCTGAGAATTGAAGACCTCAGAAAAGCACTCTATTAGCATACTCTAGGCTCGATACTCTGCGACAATGCAAGCAGCCATGTCACCGGGCGTCTCCTAGAGTAACAGCACATTCATAAAGCAATCCGGAATTCTCCTCAGTCAAGCGCAATCATGGCGACGACAAGCTCTATGTTTATGTATAGCTTGACTATACAACCGCCTTCAGCCATCACTCAAGCAGTCTTGGGTCAGTTTGCCGGTACAAAAGAGCAGCAGATCATCACAGCATCGGGCTCCAAGCTCACCATCCACAGACCCGATCCTACGCAGGGAAAAATCTCCCCTCTCTTCACCCAGGATTGCTTCGGCATCATCAGGTCTCTGGCCGCCTTCCGACTGGCGGGGAGCAGTAAAGGTCAGTATCTTCTTTTTATCTACCGACACATACTAATATGTCTGGTAGATTATCTGATTGTCGGCTCGGACTCGGGGCGCATCACCATCCTCGAATATCTCCGCGACCAGAATCGTTTCAATCGCGTCCATCTCGAGACCTACGGAAAATCGGGCATCCGAAGAGTCATTCCCGGTCAATATCTCGCTGTCGATCCGAAAGGACGAGCGTGTCTGATTGCGTCCGTCGAAAAGAACAAGCTTGTCTACGTCTTGAATCGAAATGCGCAGGCCGAGCTGACCATCTCTTCGCCGCTCGAAGCCCATAAACCTCAGACTCTCGTCTTTGAATGCATAGCCCTTGATGTCGGTTACGAAAACCCCATATTCGCGGCACTCGAAGTCGATTACACCGAGGTGGACCAGGATCCCAGTGGGCAGGCCCTGGAAGAGGTGGAAAAGCTTCTAGTCTATTACGAGCTTGACCTTGGCCTTAACCATGTTGTCCGTAAGTGGGCTGAGCCTGTGGCAAGGAGTGCCATCAAGCTGTTCCAGGTGCCTGGTGGATCCGATGGGCCGAGTGGCGTTCTCGTCTGTGGTGAAGACAATATCACGTACCGACACTCAAATCAGGAGGCTTTTCGTGTGCCAATTCCCCGGAGAAGAGGTGTGCTCGAGAATCCCGAACGCAAGCGCCACATCGTGGCGGGAGTTATGCACAAAATGAAAGGCCAGTTCTTCTTGCTTCTCCAAACCGAGGACGGTGACCTCTTCAAAGTCACCATAGAAATGGTCGAGGACGAGAATGGTCAGCCGACTGGTGAGGTCAAGGCACTTAAACTGAAATACTTCGACACAGTGCCTGTGGCGAACAATCTGCTCATATTAAAGAGTGGGTTTTTATTTGTGGCCTGCGAAAGTGGCAACCACCATTTCTACCAATTTGAAAAGCTCGGAGATGACGACGACGAGACAGAATTCACGAGTGACGATTTCCCTTCAGATCCAACAGCACCTTACACCCCAGCTTTTTTCCATGTGCGACCTCTCGCAAATCTCAACCTTGTGCAAAGCATAGATGCTGCAAACCCCTTACTGGACTGCAAAGTTGCCAACCTTCTTGATGAAGATGCGCCACAGATCTACTCGATATGCGGATCGGGTGCTCGAAGCAGTTTCAAGACTCTCAAGCACGGTCTGTCTGTTTCGGAGATTGTGGAATCTGAGCTCCCTGACAAGCCTGAGGCTGTGTGGACGACCAAATTGACAAGGGAAGACGAGTACGACGCTTATATCGTGCTATCTTTCCGCACCGGAACCCTAGTGCTTAGCATTGGGGAAACCGTGGAAGAAGTCACAGACACGGGTTTTCTTTCAACAGCTCCGACCCTTGCCGTGCAACAGCTGGGCGAGGATGCTTTGATTCAAGTACACCCCAAGGGTATCCGACACATTCGAGCCGACAAGCGGGTGAACGAGTGGCCGGCACCTCAGCATCGATCCATTGTCGCTGCCTCCACAAACGAGCGACAAGTCGCCGTAGCTCTGAGTTCAGGCGAAATTGTCTATTTTGAAATGGACTCTGATGGATCCTTGGCAGAATATGATGAGCGAAGAGAAATGACCGGAACCGTGACTTGTCTATCACTTGGAGAGGTGCCCGAGGGCCGGGTTCGAAGCTCATTCCTTGCTGTTGGATGCGACGATTCCACAGTCAGGATATTAAGTCTCGACCCCGATTCAACGCTCGAAAACAAATCAGTGCAAGCGTTGACTTCGGCACCTTCAGCTCTGTCAATCATGGCCATGGCTGACTCCACATCAGGCGGGAGCACGCTCTATCTCCATATTGGTCTCTACTCTGGTGTCTACCTACGAACCGTCCTGGATGAAATTACTGGCGAGCTCTCCGACACGCGGACGCGCTTTTTGGGTCTGAAGCCGGCAAAGCTTTTCCGCGTCTCAGTCAAGGGGCAGAATGCCGTCATGGCACTAAGTTCACGACCATGGCTTGGATATACGGACAGGCAAACAAACGGCTTCATGCTGACACCACTCGACTACGTTGGCTTACAGTACGTCTGGAACTTTACAAGCGAACAATGTCCCGAGGGAATGGTGGGCATTCAAGGACAAAACCTAAGGTAAGTCCTATTCCCGATGTCGAAGTCTTTCAAGTGATGAACCCATAACTATGCTCTTTCCGAGAGTCAACGACTCATGCGGACTCCAAAACTCAACCAATTGTTCCTTCTGATGTTCCTCCACCGCAATCTGTTCGAAAATATTCCTCTCTGGCTTTTCTGACTGTCTGTCCTAGGATATTTACGATCGAAGATCTGTCCCGAAACCTGCTACAAGAGAATATTCCACTCTCGTACACCCCCAGGAAATTCGTCAAACATCCTGAGCAAGCTTTGTTCTACGTTATTGAAGCAGACAACAACGTTCTTGCGCCCGCCACCAGAACAAAATTGCTCACAGAATCCACGGCTGTTAATGGAGATGCGGTCCAACTTCCTCCCGAAGAGTTTGGATATCCTCGTGGGACCGGCCACTGGGCGTCATGTATCCAGATCGTCGACCCAGTCACGACCAAATCCGTCGTCTTCACTCTTGAGCTGGAGGATAATGAATGTGCCACCAGCATCACAGCAGCGCCATTCGCAGGACAAGATGACGAAACCTTCCTAATTGTCGGGACGGCAAAGGATCTGGTGATCAGTCCTCGTTCATTCTCGGCCGGTTTCTTACATGTTTATCGCTTCCACGAAGACGGTAAAGAACTCGAATTCATCCACAAAACAAAAGTGGAGCAACCTCCAACCGCCTTGCTTGCTTTCCAGGGCCGGCTCCTGGCAGGCATTGGACCAGATCTACGCATCTATGACCTCGGAATGAAACAAATGTTGCGCAAGTGCCAAGTTCAAGCAGTCCCGAACATCGTCGTTGGCTTACAGACCCAGGGAAGCAGAATTATCGTCAGCGATATCCAGGAGAGTGTAACATACTGTGTATACAAGTACCAAGAAAACAAGCTTATTCCATTTGTCGACGACGTCATTGCTCGCTGGACAACGTGTTGCGCCATGGTCGATTATGAAACCGTGGCAGGCGGCGACAAGTTCGGGAATCTCTGGTTGTTGCGTTGCCCAACCAAGGCTTCTGAAGAGGCCGACGAAGATGGCTCAGGAGCACATTTAATTCATGAACGAGCCTATCTCAGCGGTGCACCCAATCGACTGAGTCTCATGGTGCACTATTTCCCCGGCGACATTCCCACCAGCATTCAGAAGACGAGTCTCGTGGCCGGTGGTCGAGATGTGGTGTTCTGGACGGGGTTTCAGGGCACGCTGGGCATGCTGGTGCCGTTCGTAAGCCGCGAAGATGTTGATTTCTTCCAGTCTCTGGAGATGCAACTCTCGTCGAACAATGGCAACCCCCCAATTTTGGGTCGAGATCATCTCATCTACCGGTCATACTACGCGCCCTCCAAAGGGATCATTGATGGCGATTTGTGCGAGACTTTCTTCTTGCTCTCGAATGATAAGAAACAGATGATTTCGGGAGAGCTGGACCGAAGTGTAAGGGAGATCGAGAGGAAGATTTCGGATATGAGGACACGAGTGGCATATTGATTCTACCATATGATGCTGGTCACAGCCCGGAGATGAACGGCGCCAGGGAAAATGATCTTGCTGTGTTTATGGGAGGCCGAATGTGGGTGGAAGCGGGTTTGGATTGACGATACCCTTGGCCGTCACCGAATGTTTGACGGAGGAATAAATGTGAGTCGAGCTATACTCTTGTCAAAAGAACACGAACACTGTTTGGAACTGGGCAGACCAATCTTGCCCTCTGACCACGCGGACACAACCCTGGTGTCATGCTCTCGCAGGCTCTCATGCCCATGTGCCCCTGTCGAGTCATTTGTGACGAGACTACCATCAACCCTTTCTCCCTTTTTCCCTTTCTCCTCCCTTTTCTTTTCTTTCTCCCATCTCTCTGTTACAAGTCCACCCCATTGTCGTGCTGGCACACATCTCTCCGCGATGTCCGTCTCTTACCTCGCTCGATCTGCATTCTTTTGCTCCCATTGCTTGATCTTGAGCTGGATGCCTGCTTGACGCAGCGCATGAGACCAGAATAAAAAATTTTCACCTGCCGATCTTTGAGTACGAGTCCATCTTTGCCGCGTGCGTGCGTGGTGGGTGTTGTAATTTATCCGGCGGGACAACTTGCGATAATCAGGTCGGGATGGGATGAGGATGAGGATGAGGATGAGGACAGACAAGACAGGTAGGGCGATGTGGTGGTATGGTGATAATGTAGGGTAGGATGTGGTAGAGATCCTTTAAGGATAGGAGAGGATTGAAAAAGGCGTAGATGAGAATGAAGACAGGATTGGACGGCCAGGGCCACCGAGGCTTGCTGGGGAGCGTGAGAAAAAGGGGAAAACAGAAAAGGCATAGTTATATGGAGGGTGTCTTCTCCGGCCATGGTCTTTCCACACGGTTGAGTTTACGTGTTACGCCTTTTCTTCCTTTGGCGGCTTGATCTGATGAGCAGGGAGGGTTGTGTAGTATATGGACGACGCACTTCCCATCTTAATCCTCGTGAAGATCCGTTTCTTTTGTTTATTTTCACAGTTGACCTATGATACGGAATATATACATATGTAGATGGCTAGTTTCAAGGGGGTGGAATCAACTCCAGCCCCTCGACGGTCAACTTGAACGCGTCCGGGCGTGCATAATGGCCCGTGGCGTCAAAATCCAAGTGTCCCCTCTCGCAATCATCAAAGTCGACCTCGGTCCATAGGAGCTCGTTGTCCTTCTCCCATACTGGGCCAGCGATGGTCTGGCCTAGCGGGTTGACAATGCAGGCGCCGCCTCGGGTGACGTATTCCTCACCGTCAGGGAGCGTAGAGGGAGTTGCGGTGTTGTTTACTTCCTGTGTCGACGATTCGAGGGGTTTGCTTTCGTCGATCGGAGAGTCTTTGCAGCGCCATGCAATCTCGTGATTTTCTTCCGTCCGGGTCATGGACAGCCTTCGGCCACCACTACCCACCGAGTGGTGGTGTGAAGAAGCAGTCCCATTCACCAATATCTCCGACTCGGGTTTCGGCCGCTTCGACAACCACTCGCTTGGGTTGCCTGTGACCCAAGTAGGCAAGTCCTTCTTCTTCATACATTGGTTGGTGCTGAGAACGAAACAGCGGCCCTCTCCAGCAACAGTCTTCATCAGCGGTTCCCACGTATCCCTCGCATCAGCTGTAGGCGCCAGCCATAGATTCACACCCTGGCTGTAGAGACTGTACCGTAACAGAGGCATGAAATTCTCCCAGCAAATCGCACATCCCATGACCACGCGGATTCCCTTGATGGTCGTAGCCACCGCTTTCAGTGTGGAAGGTTGGCCCTGCGCCCACACCAGCCGTTCCGACCCCGTAGGCATGGTTTTCCTTCTCTTGCCTATGATACCTCTCTTTGGGTCGACATATACTGCCGCACAATACAGACTGCCTCCTGCCTTTTCGATGAGTCCAGTCACGACGAACACGCCGGTCTCTCGTGCAACCTCTTCGAGAAACTCTCGGGTCCCATCTCCTCTCCGACCGGTCTCCTTGTTCACTGGCAGCTTTCTGTCCGTCCAGTCATCCCCAGCCCCCGACGGTGTATCGCCCAAGTCCACTGCGGATTTTGTGTAGGCGAGAAACTGATCACGACCTGCGGCTGTACGTGCTCCGATCGCAGCGCCAAAGGAACACGTTCTCGGGTACCCACCCAGGTAGGCTTCAGGGAAGAGAAGAATGGACACGCCTTTCTGCGCAGCCGACTGGGTGGTCTCACGAAGGGCGGACAAGGTCTCTTGCAGGGACGAGAGAGTCCGGGATTGGGATACCCCGATTTTGAGTAGCTGAGGCATTATGTCGAGAAGAATGCTTTGACACAAGAATTGGGAAACAGGCGAGCTGAGATAGAGGTCGGTGTCAGCTCATTGTAGCACAGACAAGCACAATATTTGAAAGCAGAATCGAAAACGCAACAGAAGGCCGCATGGAACGGAGTAGTGCGACATCAAAAGACCTTGGGATCCATTGCGGGGGAAGAGGGAAGATGCGCAGTGACGCCTTTGGAGAAACGCAGTAGTTGTTACTTGCCCTTTTAGGGGCTCGTTAGCCGAGCTGCTTCTCCCTGGAGGAAAGTCAACCGACCACGAGGCTCCCCCTAAATCCAATCAGCCTCGGGGAGTTTGTTCCTTGTGCTTTGGCCAGAACACTAGGTGGCAAGGTGTCGAGAGACACGAAGAGAGCCGCAACCTGTCAGTCAGTTGCTGCGACAATCACAATCGATCAGCAATGGTCCAGTCCCTACAGCGCATCGAGGTTGGGGACCATCAAACGCGCCCCTGACTTTGTCATCTTGACGGTTGAGATCGACAAATCCCGAACCTCTCAGCTCCAAGAAGAACATACTTCAGTGACGGCCTCAACAAAACTACGCCGTTGCGTTACAATGTCCCGAGAATTCGGTCACTGTGCGACAGCCTTGTTTCAGGGGTATCGAATTTTGAGAATGGTTCGAAGGAAGCAGGCCACACGCCCATGACACTCAAGCACAGGTGACACATCCTCCGATGAAGAGGTGGGAAAGATGCATGGCTGGAAAGGAGGCAAGACTCTCGCCTGGTATAGGGCACGACGAGATATAAGGTCATGATCATATCCTTACTGTCAACTGCGCGAAGCTCTTCGACACGCACCTGAATCTTTCGACCTCCAACACCTGGTCATCCTCAAGATTTACCCAGCGATCAGTATCAGAAAGCTCTCCACCCAGAAGATGAAGACTCAGATCTTGCTTGCGTTGTTGCCGTTCATGGCCAGCATGGCAAATACCAGCCCTATTGCGGACCCCCTGCCATTGGCACCTGGAGGTATGTGGATCGCTTGCTGTTCAGAATTCTGATAGGAGGGAGACTCACTCTGACCAGTGCTGAACAACCTCGCCGAAAGAGGTGGCATCCTCGGTAACCTCCTCGGTCCGCTTGAGGCTGACACTGGACTCCTCCTTACCGGCTTGGGTGTTTACGGTGTTAGCGTCGCGAACACGACCCTTGGGGGCCTTGTCGTCCAAGTTACCGAGACACTGGGGATTTTCATCTGACAAGTCATTGTTCGGGTTGCTGGAGGAGGGGGTTTGCGGGGGATTCATGGCATGGTGGATTGTGGCCATTTTCTGGATAAGTGGTCGGGCCGTCTTCCGTCAGAGAAAGGGCACGGAGTCTTTTTTGTCTTTGTCATCTACAATCACAACATCGACATGGAATTGTGGACAATATTGACCCGGAAATTCATCCTAGGGACAGGCCTGTTGAGCCGAGCCTGCTTCTGGAGGTGGGCACCAGTGGTATTTTCATTGGACCTACCGAGTATTCTCTTCGGGTTTTACGGATGTCTGTTTTCTTTGCTCTTTGACGAGGGAGAGAGAAACGTCCATCATCAAAAAAATATTCGGCCATCAAACCCCGTCCCGTCTTTCCCTTTCTCAAGCCCCAGGTCCAAGGTTTTTGTTTTTTACCTATGTACCTTGTCAAGCCTGTACAGACCAATCTTCGATCGCGGTAGCCCTCCTCCTCGTTCTATCCACCCCACATCTCCCCGGGAGTCGTGGAAGGATGGACCAATCCCACCGTCGCCGACGACGCTTCAGGACCCGAAATCGGGCATGACCCCGCATTTCCACCAGAGACTCTCGCGCCCCGTTCTAGTGGACAACCAACAACCAACCACTTACCGATTAACCACCAGGGTCAGTGACAAGTGTGTCCGGAATAAGAGGCAAGGAACCAAGTAATTTACGAGTCATGAATAATGGCACAGTCCTTCTCGGAAGACCATCCTCAGCGAGTGAGTGGGGTTTGAACTTGCACTTGGAGTTGGGACTGGGGGCCAGGAAGGGGTGTTTACTACTCGTACTCGTTGGTCCTCGTTGGTCCTCGTAGGGAAAAGGGGCAGGCATCCGTTCTCGTTCTCGTTCTTCTTTGTCCATCTCCTTCCTTGGATCTTTTTTCTTGGTCATGACCTACCTACCTAGGGGGGCTGCGTTCCAGAGTGGAGACAGCTGATGATGACGATGAGGATTCGAGGATGATTTCGAGGATGTTGGTGATGAAGATAATGCCGTGGAGCTTGGTGGCGCTGCGCCGAGGTTACGAGTAATTCTTACGAGTAGTAGGAAGTCTCTTGATTCGGTCCCCACGTATGTCCTGAGAGGCAGGGAGACTGGTCGGATAGACATGGGTTGATTGAGGACACCCTCAACGTTCTCGTCTCGTCTCGGTCTGTCCTATCTATCATGATCTGATCATGACATTCGGCTTCACAATAATTGGTCTGGCTCGGATACAGACACGGGCAACCGCCCAGCTATCGGGGGAACTTCTACACACGGTGGGTCACGGAACAATGGGCTAGGTTAGCTGGTTGGGTGAGTGGGCAAAAGAAGATTCCGACTTGCATTGTTTTGCAAACCACTGGTGCCAGGCTGCCAGCGCTGGGAGGGGATAGTAGACCAAGTAGTGTCGGAGATAGCGTTGCATGCATGGATGGTACACAGATCCAAGTCAATGATGGACAACGCAGCAAACAAGCCTCTGCAAGTATTGACCCCACGAATTCCATTGTCAGTATAGAACCTGAAAATAATACGAAAACTGTCATTCTCGCGACAATGAATTACTTTTTGGGTTCTCATTGTTCGTCCCACATAGGACTGCCCTTCATTTTGCCAGGCTGTAAACTAGGAAAAACAATCTCATCCTGCTCTTGCTCGGGTTCTTCTCAGTTGAGAGAACACCACGTAAATCGTACAGAAACACCAACCAATCCCTTCCCGTGGATAGCGTACTGTGCATCCTAATGACAAAGGAAAGTACTAGAAAAAACTCCTAAGCGTAACCGCTGGCATGTCAGGTGTTAAAACAGCTGTGCACAGAGAATCGTAATGGAAATTCGTCATGAGGCCGAAAGAATCGCCTCTGGCCCAAGAGATCAACGACATAAAGAGACAGCTTGGTGAACTTTTTGACGCAAAGTTGCCGGCGCGGTGTCATGTCCTAGTTACCCAACCTCAAAAACTGGTGGGTGACGACTTGCTCGGTTTGGGTGCGCTTGACTGACTCGACAGGAGACTCAACAATGTCGCTTGGCAGAGCAGGTTCTTCAGCGGCCGAGTTGGATTCGGCAGAGGCGCTGGAGCTGGATCGTCGGGTCTTTTGAAGTACAGGGACTACTGCTTCGTCGCTGGTGGCATTCTCGACGGTGATGGGAGAGGTCACATGGACGCGGTGGGCGGCAGGGATGAGGGTGAGGAACTTATTAGTGAGGGCGGACATTTTGTAGAAGCGACTGGTTTGTGATGTTCCAAGGAATGGAATGTGTGGATAGTTGGGAGCTGGTGGTTGAAGGACTCAAGAAGTCCAAGGCCGAATGATGCAAATAAAGAGTGTTGTGATGTTCTTTATGTGAGTTCTTTGTTTTCCAATATGACGCAACGACGACTTTGTTAAAGTTGCCTCGGGACACCGGATATCACGCGTGCGGGCTTTTGCTTAGATTATGTCGGCAGAAGCTGATTGATACCACGTGTGGCGTCAATAGATTGGAAATCAGTGCGTGCCCGTGATTCCTCAGGTTTTTTCAGGATGGCAAGAAGTGGATTTGACAGATGGGGACTTCCTGGTCGCAAGGAAAGAGAAGAGTGCGGGTGCTTCCTGGGCCCGGGTGCCTTTCTTATACTCGTAGACTTCCCCTCTCCCACAATTCCACAACAACGATTCCGAGATTTAGTTCACGAAGGCACTAGTCAATGCAGCGTTTGGCCAGGGGTTGACCTTACCGTTCTCGCCGTGAACAATGTCGAGGGCGAATTGAAAGCCCGTCGATCGCGGATAAAACCGGTAGCATGCTGGGGGAGTGCTTGGACGTGTCTCGATGGGCATCATCATGGTCGAGGTTTCCAACTTGGACATGGACATCGTCAGTGGTGGGTCCGTTCCAAGCTAATGTAAGCCCGGGAATGACCGTGGTTAACCTCGGTTAGTGTGGCATGATAATCAGGCCCCGAGCAACGCCTGTGTAACGCACGCTGATGACGGAGAATTTCTCGAAGCCAGTTATGCGTGGTTTTGATGCATCGAAACACCCTTCAAATGGTCGACTCCCACTTGGGTTTGTCAGTGTGACGGTAAAGCGGTGTCATAGCCACTGGTAATGGGGCGTCCAGCCGGGCCTTAGGCGGCAGCTCACTCGAATTGTGGCGGCACGTGGTGTGTGGCGACCCAAAGGCTGGATTGGACTCCCACACTACCTGAATGTGATACGAGACACACCGTGCCAGTGGCTTTGGGGGAGTGCAGCATCTCAAGGTCCCACGGAAAGCAACGGAAAGGCGATAAGGTTCTTTCTGAGATTGCCTCCGGACATTCTTTTGTGGGCAATGTACTGAGTACAGAAGGGGGAATTGTTTTGCTTCCTTCAGTCCGAGAGGGAGTACCCGGGGCTCGGAAATGCGTTTCCGGCGAAGAAGTGGGCTTACCTTGACCTTGGCACGTGGAGCAGCGTTTCAGCTGTCATCAAGAGCATACACGGACATCGTTCTCTCGATACATTGACGTGACGATGGGAAAGATTGACGAAGAATGAAGAGGATGAAGTTTGATCAAGAAGGCGGTGAAAGAGTCGCAGGGAAAAAGCCGCAATGTGCGGGGCTTGGCATGGACTCGCGTGTCTCGCTGCGGCCCTTGGCAGCTAAAGCAGCACCAGCTTCTCAAGTACCTTCATCAACCTCATCACAACACCACCACACATCACATCATGACTATTGACCACATCATCCCCTTGCCAGACCTACCTACAAGTCAAT